CCACAGTTAACACGCAATGGGGAAAAATTAATAATAAAACACCCTAATAAAAATTATGAATGCATAAGCGAGCTGCTCGGGAACATGTTTTATGCTCAGGGGTCACCCAGTTATCATGCGTCTGCACACACTGCACAGTCGCTTGGGGGAAGCAGTGAATCGGGCCCTGCTCGTTTTTCATTTATAAACCGAGATAGAATTATGACTTAGCGACGTAACAATTTATCAATTTTTTTGTGTTTCCATTCCTCCCAGTCCACTTTCGCGTAGGGATGGAGACGTGTCACACAGAGGAAGATTTCTCATACGCGTTCGGTAGTGAACACAATAATAATTAAGACAGTCCGCCGCCGGGCTACATGTTTTTAGCAAAAAATAAACACTCCCCCAACATCCGCAGTGAACTATTGTTTCTATTATAAACATATTGCACTTCAGCCAATTAGGCAGCATCAGTAAAAGCAGATACATCTTTTGTCTGAAAGTCTGCCATCCTTGTCACCAAACTCTGCTGTGAAAATAAAAACGCAGCAGAACGCAATTCAAGTTTGCGGTAAAACCTTGTAGTGAGAGTATTCTGTCAGGAGCTCTTGCCAATCATCTCCGTTACAAAAAACCCCGCTGAAAAACCATGCATTTCTTATTTTTTTTCAGGAAAGACTAAAAATTATTTGACTACGATGAAGGGACATTTCTGTTATCCTGAATCAAGTGGGACACATTAGCTTTGAAGAAGAAAGTTACGAGCAAAAAATTTTGACACGGCACAATTACATAAAAAAGAAGCGTTAACGATAAGGCATTTATTACACCGCATGACTGCCGCGTATTCAACTATCATCTAGGTTTTTGTGTCCCTTCTTTTCGGTCTTAAAACGTTTTTAACCACCCACAGACGCCAGACACTGGCATCAAATGGTGAATTTGTCAAACCTAAAAAAAAATCAGCTAAACGTAAAGATCAACGTACATGTCAAATGTTGTTAAATATTTTTCCCCTCCTTTGTTGGTTTTTCCTCCAACGGGCCCAGCAGCATCAGGTTGACAACACTACGGCACGCGTGTGCATACCAATAAACACAGTTCATCAACCAAGCCTGCCGCTGTGTTCCCTAGGGGGTCTTGGGCCCTAATGCGACCGCTTATCTTCAAGCCCTTGAAAACCACTCCATTAGCCAGGCTCCACGCTCCTAGACTCCGAAGCCCCATTTTGTTTTGCCTCCAAGGCCATAATGACACTCCAATGCCGCATTTGAATCTCAGTTTTGTGCTTCAGAATAATGGTGGAAAGAGAGAGCCGGACGGAATCGTAACATTACCAAAACAAAACAAATTGAAGTATGTAACTGGCAATTGGCAGATTACCACGGTTATCAGGAGATGTACTTCAACGTACTCTCAATTATTTTCTTAGAATCCTATCACCTCAGTCGCAGACTGATGGCTACCAAAATTAGCCTGAGAGGGATCACGGCCTCTGAGTGTTCTCGAGATTGTGATGATGCATACTTGCGAGGAGGGGATGGGGGTGGTGGGGTCGGTGGATCGTGTGGAGGCAATCATGTAACACAAAGTGGCTTGTTGATGGCAGTACAGCAAATAGGTTAACCATTCTCAAGATTTTCTAAAACTGTCCTCTTATACGCGTGACTTTTCGACAGACATAGTGCATACCAGATTCATACCCGAGCGTATAACAAAATTGTTGAGAACTCCAATGAAAATGTATCGAGACTGTGATATTTTCATGTATCTACAGAAACTATGATTACAAGTATGTCTTGCCTAATGCAGTAAAATTGGATGCCTAAAATAATGACCTCCACCAAGTATTTATTTTGATAATGCTGCTAAATGGCTGCGCTACCTTTTTAATGATTAAAATCGCATTCCGAGTTGGTGTAAGTGCCTCAATCATAACATGATTTTTGGCTCCAAGCTATCCATAGCTCAGGAAAGGTCTCTTTCGCCACCTCGTGGCCAGATTCCATCATCATCATCAGAAACGCATAGGCGACAAAGTTCCGTTACCGCCAATCAGAATGTAAACGTTTCACCGCATTGTAGGCGGCCTCCAAGATTAGACCGGGGCCACATTTGGTGGATTCATATTCATCATTGTCACCACTACCACCACCACCACCACGAGCCACTGCTATTCCATCTCTGGTCTCGTTCTATCGTCACGATACCCTAAATAGCAATGTATCCTGGCCAAGTCCACTTGAGTTGTCTCATAAAAAAACAGGTTCAACCGGTGCAAACTACCAGTCATGACAAGTATCAAAAACATGGGGGGATTGATAGCAACAAATACTTCACCACGTTGGTCAGTGCTGCTTAGTGGAGGCAGGGCAGGGAGCATAATACTTAGGAGCAGTTCAAATGATTTTGCCGCACTGTTCGCTGCTGCTCACAATGTAGCCTCGCAGCCATAAACATTGGCATTGTTATACAAAGACAAAGATCCCCCGTATAGCCTCAGACTTGTTGAGGCAAGTGCTGTAAGCGAGCGCCTATGAAGGCCAGAACGGCACACGATGGGGTGGGTGGCGAGCACCACGCCCGGCTGCCTTTGTCTCCCTCATGGCGACGTTTACACACCGCAAAATGTACTAATTTGAGGCTGAGTCGACGTAGAGGAGGTCCAGAACCGGTTCAGATAATCGTCACTGGTTTTGACCGTGAGCTGGAATCGAACTCGGGTTCGCCGGGGCTCGTAGCGCAGCGTGCTAACCGCTACGCCACCGCTCCCATTGTTATATACTGTACACACAAGACACATTTTTGTTCATTTAACACAGGGGCAGGGGACCTTTTTTCTGCCAAGGGCCATTTGGATATTTATAACATCATTCGCGGGCCATACAAAATGATCAACCTAAAAATTATCCTGTTATATTTGGTCAAACAATTAACTCACTCCTAATGTGATGGCTGGAACTGCTTCTCTTTGGCGAGGCGTGTGATGATGTTAGCCGGTGTTGACGATGTTGCTACTCGCAACTGCTTTTCCAGGTTTGCTCCGAGATTTATTGAATTTGGAGACCCGCCTGCGGTTGCCTTGGCGGGGCCAGAGACCAAATGATTTCGCGGGCCGGACGTTCTCCACCCCTGATTTAAAGGATTGTGTTTGATAGACCGATCTGTTGAGTTTATGCTGTTTCGCACGGTGGTCGTTCAGCCATGCACGATGCAGGCCTCGGAGCTGCGTTTCCCTTTCCGAGACGCGACGAGAGGGCAACCCACACACGAGGGCGGCCACGCACACCCCTCGTGGTGGGAGCCGCCACGCACACCCCTCGTGGTGAGAGTGGCCACGCACACCCCTCGTGGTGAGAGTGGCCACGCACACCCCTCGTGGTGGGAGCCGCCACGCACACCCCTCGTGGTGGGAGCCGCCACGCACACCCCTCGTGGTGAGAGTGGCCACGCACACCCCTCGTGGTGGGAGCCGCCACGCACACCCCTCGTGGTGGGAGCGTGGCCACGCACACCCCTCGTGGTGGGAGCCGCCACGCACACCCCTCGTGGTGAGAGTGGCCACGCACACCCCTCGTGGTGAGAGTGGCCACGCACACCCCTCGCGGTGAGAGTGGCCACGCACACCCCTCGTGGTGAGAGTGGCCACGCACACCCCTCGTGGTGGGAGCCGCCACGCACACCCCTCGTGGTGAGCGTGGCCACGCACACCCCTCGTGGTGAGAGTGGCCACGCACACCCCTCGTGGTGAGAGTGGCCACGCACACCCCTCGTGGTGAGAGTGGCCACGCCCACCCCTCGTGGTGGGAGCCGCCACGCACACCCCTCGTGGTGGGAGCCGCCACGCACACCCCTCGTGGTGGGAGCCGCCACGCACACCCCTCGAGCGGCTCTCAGAGTCGACCCCACAACGAGTCAACATTTGAACTCGCAACCTTCCCCAAATGTCCCGTGGTGGCGGTGGCGCTGCTGCCGCCTTGGCAGTAGTGGAACAAGCAGACAATAACGAAATAACTCAACACGGTCGCCAATAACGCTGTGGCCTTAAAAGGGAATATATATATACACACGAGGCGACGTTTCGGGCAATGGCCCTTTTTAAAATTAGAAAAAGGAAACCAATATATACGAGGCGACGTTTCGGGCAATGTCCCTTTTTACAATTAGGAAAAGGGAACAAATATATACGAGGCGACGTTTCGGGCAATGTCCCTTTTTAAAATTAGGAAAAGGTAACATATACGAGGCGACGTTTCGGACAATGTCCCTTTTTCAAATAGGAAAATAACATCTAGTAGACGACGTTTCGCGTCATGACCCTTAATGTAAATGTCTCCAGAAGGCGACATTTCGCACAATGACCCTTTTTTAATAAGGGTCGTTGCCAAAAACGTCGGATTACATTTTCCCGAAGGCCAGTGTGATTGACGAATGTGTTGATGGTTTTTTTTCTGTTTATTCTTTGTACAGTACGCCGTTTGTTGTAATCGAGGTGGTTCCATTTAACAAATTTAAAAAAAAACAATCGTTGGGCTGCTGACATTCCTGAACAAGTGGTGGAAATTCCACGTTCACATGACAGGGGGGCAGTCCGTCCGTTGGATCGCTCCTCTTGACTTTCGAATGGTGTTCCTATTTTATCGACCTCAAGGGTTGATGGGGTGAGTGAATCTCATACCTTGTAAACATGCAGCTGTGTACAAATTTTGCACCGATGGAACGTATCACTGTATTTTTTCCCTTAACGGGTAATGAATGTAATTTAATGACATCTACAAATGTTAACGTAGCTTAAGATTTTACTGTCGGGTAATGCATTTAAATCACGTGACTCCAGTACGGTAACGTCACAACTCATCACTTTTTAACAAGGCTCTCTGTGAAGCGTTTATATTTAAAACAAAATCCTGTCGCACGTCGTCGATTATTACAGTTATGATTCCAACTGCGTCTTACGATACAAACAAAAATCCGAATTAAGTGTTTCATGTTCTGAGGGAAAACCCAACCCAACTCACCCGCATCGCGAACATGTGGCCCTGCGATCCGGCGGCTCTGCCGGCAACTCCGCCAGCTGTCCGAACACCGTCGAGGCTCCCTCCTCGTCATCCTCCTCGTTGCCCCCCACCTCGTCGCCTCTCGAGTCGTCGCCGTCCTCCTCCTCTCCCCCGGCACAGCCGAGGCCGCTGAATCCGCTCACCACATCGCTCAGCCGGCAGCCCTCGCCATCGGCCATGACGCCAGTTGCTTTCCCGCCAAATTGAAACCCGCGCCGCCATCTTAGGTGAGGTCACTCACCCCGCTTCCCCCCCCCCCTCCATAATAGGAGGGAGGGGGGGGAACTCTATGCCGTCACGTCCCATTGAAAAGCCGATTAGCCCTCCTTGCCCAACATGGCGGCCTGGAGGCTGCGTGGCGACTGCCACGCGTGGTCAAAGGCAACATCGCGTCAAGTTGGTGCTGGTGGTGAAAGTTTCAAGTTCATTTTTTTATATTTCGTCGGGTGAGGAGAAATCTCCAGAGACCAGGACCCGCAGGACGGGTCCTTTGCAAGAGTCGCTTGGGTCACCCGCAATGACAACAAAAGCCGAATTAAGTACAGGGAGCAAACCCCGATTAGCACGGTTGGCTACGTACGGTGCGAAAGAAGTTCACACGACGTTACAGCAATGAGGCAAAAATAGAAAATGTGCAAAAAGCACAATTGCGTCACGTGAGAAAGAAAATACGGAGGGTTTCACGACCAATTTTATTCATAATTAGTTTTGTTTGTTTTAAATCGATGTGTTCACTAAAACCCATCCACCACCCGACAAGGCCAATCGAATTAAATCAAGTGGGCAGATATGCCAATCGAATTAGTTTTCTTTTTAAGAATTCAGAAGGAATCTTCAAAAGCAAAGCAATTTTTGCGATCCTGTACGACGTTTCGCTTGAGATTACACTCGGCATCATCAGGCGTTGTAGGGGGATGACATCGGTTTACCCCGTATTCTTGTACGACAGGGAAATTAAGTTTTAAAGTCCATACGGCGTACAGCCGTTTGAATAGGGGCAAATAAATCTCATGTGTTTCTCCCTTGTGATGGGACTTTGTAGGCTGAACGTTGAGATTTTTAAGCACATGGGCTGACCAATATGGTCTGAATTTTGTCTGTAATCTGGTCGGCACTGATAAGGGAAATTAAGTTTTAAATTCCATACGGCGTACAGCCGTTTGAATAGGGGCAAATAAATCTCTGTTTCTCCCTTGTGATGGGACTTTGTAGACTGAACGTTGAGATTTTTAAGCACATGGGCTGACCAATATGGTCTGAATTTTGTCTGTAATCTGGTCGGCACTGATAAGGGGTTGACAGATGTGTGCATATATAACACTGTCCCGTACAGATGTAACAGATGGAGATTAGTCCCCCACTTGCGGTACTGACTTGGGGAAGCCAAGGGAATGGTACAAGGGGGTTTAAACACGTAGCAGGCCATCGCGACCAATATCCATGAGGTTTTTGTTTGGGTTTGATCGCGTAAATGTGTCGGTAAACCCACCACCACCCGACACAGCTAATGAGTAAGGTTTGTCACGTAAACAAAACGTGCCAATTCGTTACTAGTTCATCACAATGGTGTGTTTGAGAGTAAAACGACATTTTACAATTCGAGTCCGACGTTTCGCCAGTAATGACAACCAGCATAATGAGCCGACAGCCAGAGTTGTGGACACATCCTCGTTTCGGTCTTAACGCTAAGGGAGTTTCACAACCTGTGTGTGGATCCATTGAACCATCGTTGTGCATCCACAATGCTGGATTAGAGGCCCACATGCTATCCACCAAGGCTTGGTTAAAGTTGTCTGAATAAAATTAATACTGGGAATGCAATGTATCCAGAAAGGCCTCATCGATTTTCAAGACCCAGAAGGGTTCTGTATGGGTTTTTGCGTGGCCAATTCCACGAATGAGTTTGTTTTGCCTAAATCCTTATGTTGCCTGGACATGTTTAAGACATGCATGCTGAATACTCTGGGCTATCTTGGAATGAACAGCATTAGTAATAGCTATTTGGCAGAAACCCAATAACACGTATAGTTAAATATTTATTTACAGCTCATTGTCAATACTTCAGGATGAAAGCCTCCGATGATCTGTAGGTCACTTCGGTTGCTTGACCATACTTCACCACACTGGTAAGTATGTATGTTGAACTTTTTTTTGCACCGTACGTACTCCCCACCATGCCAATCGGAGGTGCGGCAGAAGGACAACGAAGCACCTCAAAGCAATTAAAGAAATCGGTTTTCAATTTGGATTTTTAAAAGTTCCGCTTAGTGATCGGTTGTCGGCAGTCGAGCCAGTTTTAGTTAAAAAGTTGTGACAAGAGTAATTGGTGGGTTTTTTTTCAGGACAAATCAGCAAGCTGTGGCCTGTGAATCGCTGCTGTGATGTCTGCAGGTGTAGGCAAGAGCTTTTAACAGTGGAGTTGTTCATCTCAAAGCATTGTTAAAGTGTGGAAGAAATGGGCACCCAACTACTCCTGAAACGTGACAGGTAATGAATGTAACGTGTGTGTGTGTAGCCCATACAGCATTACAATAAATTGCATCACTTATTATGTGGCCGTAAAACCATAGCTTTTGGATATTGTTATCAACTCTTCGTGGATTATATCCCAGACACAACTCGGCCCAATATCATGCAATGCAGCTGGAGAATAGTGCCGACCAACAACGTACCACGTTTGATTCCCATCTCTTGCTCCGTTCAGTTTAATTTTCTCAGTACATATTTGTTTTTTTTCTCTCTCGCAACATTTGTGGCGACGGCCCGTCCGTCCGTTCCCCATCCCACGACACCCATCTCGCGTTGCCATCGCCTCGCCGTTCACTCGGCGTGGCCACCACCGCCAACAAGGAGCTGGTAGAGGGCCCCCCCCCCCGCCGCCCCCCGGCTCCACATCGCCAATTCATTTTTAGTACCCGACGTGAAATTTCGCGGAGAGAGCTGCAAACCTTTTACTTGGGATTAATAATTATTAATTTTACGTGCCTTGATTATACAAGGTCTCAAGACATCCACTTCGCCGGGACGGCAATGCTTTCCTGGGTCGCCGAATGCGTCCCGCGGTGTAACCTGGCGACAGGTGGTCTAAGATGTGGGATAAGATAAAGACGCCGCCGTGCGCGCTGTGGTGCAAACGAGGCCCGTGCAGCCCACGGCGACCGTCTCCTCCCTTGCTTGCCCTTCGAGGCTGCCCTCCGAGGTCACGCAGGACAAGGACAGATGCAATTGGCCACCGATCAATTCTAGCCGGGCGACGAATTTAAAGCTCATTAACGGCACGGATCAAAGGGCAGCCAAGGTGGGGGGGGGAGGGGGGGTTGGGGCACCCCCCGCGCTCCGATCCACAATGCCCCCACCACCGATAGGCACCGTGAACACACACGCACACTGCAGAGCGCTGCGTGCAGGCCACATGCGTCGCTCGCAACAGCAAACCATGTACTTCGGCACGCTGATACTATTATCTCCAGAGGGCTGCGTACATGCCCTCTGGAAGGAGGCATTGTGGCTGCGGGAAATGTGTTTTTATTTTACTTTCCATGCAAAATTGGCACCACATTGCTGACTAACAATGTACAGCCCACGACCTCAAATGCCTAAAGCTAGTGGACAGACTGGGCTTAACCAGGATATAGAGACATGGTCACTTGATGGACCTCTGGGATACCCTAACGGGAAGGCGTGTAATGATTTCTTCCCCCAGTGATATGATGAATTGTCACAATTCGATTCAAGAATCAATTATTTTTGTCTCGTATTTACATTTTGATTAGTTTCCTTTTCTATTTTCCATCTCATGTATAGGGTGTTGTCTGCGGCATTATCGTAAATATAACAGGAGTATGTCATTTAAAAAAATCAATGCACTGTTAAATTCCTACTACAGTCCTAATGAAGGGGGATTTTAATTGTCGAAAAAAATGCAACCGAGACCCTCCAGATCAATGTTTTATAATGGCATTTTCTTAAATAATATTGGCTGTACTTAAACGTGTGGCCTGTTAAATAATAATAATAAACTAATGGTGAACATGCACCCGGGCAAGCCTCGCCGAGTCTTAAAGGCTGTTACAAGGATCCTGCATTGGGATCTTTGGCTCATTCCTTTCGTGTTTGTCTCGTGAGAAGAAACCGGAATATCGGTAGAAACCCCACCTGCACAAGGGCGATAAAGCTCAATACAGATTTCATCCACAAACTCGATCCAGCAGGTGGACAAAATCTGTCCTCAACCCATTGCCGTACTGGCTCGTCGCAGCACTTGCAGTGATATTCCTCTAGTCGATATTAATCTGTTGTATGTATGGTGGTCACACCCATCCAAGCGTTAACCAAACTAAAACCTCCTTGGATTGAGAACTCCTGAGATTGGATGCATTCAGGGGGATTCGGTCAACGGGAAATCGATGCTGCTGGCCCGATGTTATTGACAAGCGTAATCTACGAATACCTTGAAGCCCCAAAAAATTAGGTTGTGTAAACAAATGCTACTCGAAACCATTTATCTGGAAAGTCCATTGGCCCAATGAATGTAATTTCCTTGTGCTGAATAACTTACCCTGCTGGATCAGCGAGCACGCCAATGTTCCTTTAGATACATACCCAAGATGCCTCGCTCCCGACTCGCTGGAGGCTGGCCATGGGGCGACCTACTTGTGGGCACCGCGGTGGCGAGACGTTCACTACCTCGCCTGCTATGCAGGCCGTGGGGGGTTCGATCCCAACCCCGACGCCTGTATATTTGGAGTTTGCATGTTCTCCACGTGGTCGCATGGATTTTCCCTCCACATGTAGAAATATCCTTTTAGAGAATTTGACTGCTATACATTTCCACATAAGCCACTTCATTGGGCTATCATTTGTGAACAGGTTGCTTCTGAAAAATAACTATATAGTAGCTCAGTGAGCCTTACCTGATAAAATAAAAATAGTTGATAGTTTTTTAGTGTACCGAGGGCCTCGTCTCAAAGGTGATTTATTTCCACAGCAGAATGGGAACCGGGCTCTTCTGTCTCAGTTCCCGGCCAGGGCTGTGAGGCATGATGCTAGGTGTGTAAACGACTCACCCTGCCAGGTGGTTGGATGAAATTTCATTATTCTTGATTTTATTCAAGATTCTATGCAATTCGTCTTTGCTCCTACGGTCTCCTTTGTACTATTTCTTAGTTTTTCTGTCCTGTTTCTGCAATTTTACTTGTTCCATTATTTCATACATTATCCGCAACATGTATTTGTGATTCTTGCACATGCAATTTAATGTATACATCGTGAGCCATAAGAATCGATATTCGTCAACTGCACCGTTCCACCAAAAGCGAAAAGGGGTGACACACGTCCCGTCTGAGCAGTTTTAAAGAAGCTCAAACACGGCGACCAACTCTTACGAGTCCTAACATTGTGCCGCATCTCAACGCCACGCAAAGGAAACATAACACCGGCAAGACTTTACAGCGAACGCGACAATAATACAAATTACGGCGTGTGAATGGCCAAGTAAACTAGTGCAATGTAATATACGTGCTTGAAAACAAAACTCCCCCCTCCCTTCAAAAGAAAGGCCCCAAATCGCACGCGCAAACGTAAACCAAATTATTGACCTCTGCAATCCCAGTCCTCAAGGACCACAGGTTGCTCAAGCCTTCTGGAGTCTCTATTGCAATCAAAACCATCAAGTCAGTGATTTCTAAAGGAGCATTGTGACGACGCTTATCTCCCGGGAGTCCCGAGCCAATTTGTTGAGATTCCGCGTTCCGATGGCAGGTTGCGAGTCCATCCTTAGGGCAACCACTGTTGACTTCCCTACAAAGCGGTGCACATTTTTTTTGTTGATCCTGGAGGGACGACGGGCCGAGCAAACCTCAACCAGGATTTGAACTAGCAACCTTCTGATTATGAGCCGTTCGCTCTTCCGCCGAGCCAGCTGGCCGGATTGGTTGTTTCATTTGGACAAGCGAATGATACTCAGAAGTGCAACCACGGTGGTGGTCCCAAAGGACTGGTTTTCAGTTTTCAGACGAGTATGTGGAGTATATATGTATGTATGCCACATTCGATTTGGCATGCGAGCTGTTATGTAAACCAGAGGGCCCTCTCACTGCAGGGAGCCTTCATCGCCCTTCACGAACCTCAAAAGTCACCCCGGCTAAGTGGTGGGGTGTGACGACACAGTCCATGGGCCTAGACGTGAATAATGTAATGATAAGGGTGTGTGGTTGCTATCATACGATCCCATTCTTCTATGGCAAGGGTGGCCAAACTTCCAGCCATAAGAGCCGCAAACCAAAATCTTCACGTGGCCCAGAGCCACAAGACGCACGGCCACGTGGGGCGGCCACGTCGGGTGGTGACCAGCCAGTGCGCTCGTGCTGGTTGGCTGTAGATTTTAAAATTTATAAATCTGCGGGAGCGCCTCTGAAGTAATCGCGTCTGGCTCCGCTGCCACAGGGACGAGTGGCCTGTGCCACTCCGGCATCCGCAGAATTTTCTGAAGTGAAAAGTTACAAATTAGTTGCGTCTCTATCGAGCCGCGCTGCAGCTGCCTGGGAGCTGCGTGCAGATCTCAATCGACGCTCTGGCCGCCCCCTGTTCGATTGTACGAGCTGCATCTACAAATTGTGAAATGGAGTAAAGCTTAGTTGTAGTCGATTATACCAGGATTTGAAAGGAGCTCATTTTCTTAGGTTATGCGGAGTTATGACTGAGCAGAAATGGGCCGACAACTATACCATCCAAACTAAGGCGAGACTGGTTGCTGGCAACATCAGCGCAGCGCCAGGGATTGGAGTGTCAGGCGTCCTCGTGAACGAACTCGCGGCCGAATCAGAGTCGACTCGGATTCCCGCCGACACACTCGTCAAATTTACCAACAAAATCACAGCCATCCATTTGGAAACCAGGTGGCGGCATAACGACACTCCCATAGTAGCGCCAGGCGTCTAATTTTATGACAGTTAAGGGTAAACGGTGGCATCGAGGCCGCGCTTGGGCAGGTTAGGAATTGGGCAAATTCAGCAGGGAGTTGGGCGAGACCCAGCTCGCGTGCTCGCGAGTCGTAAATTACCCGAGTGGCGAGGGCCCCACCTGCCGGGATAAGAGCACACATTAAGTGCGCTATGCCACCCCGAACAATCTGAAAAATGGAACGCTCGATACCGCGGATGCTCTGCGGGCGCAGCGGCAGAGCCTCCGTAACTGTGGCTCTGCGTGAGACAAATCTCGGCACCGTGCATTGGCCAAGGAGTGCAATCGGTACACTTCTTTTAAAATTTTTACGGCTTTAAAAAGTGAAGTTGTTTCTTTACTAGAAGAGTTGCCTAAAAGTTTCTTCTTTCTGCTACAAGAAAAAAATGTAAACCGTGCAGAGATAAATACAAAAAACATACTGCAATGACGAGCGAGTGCTGTATGAAATCCAAGGCTAGATTAAATCTGAGCCATTTTAACGAACAACATGAGCCCCCCCCCACAAGTTAGCCTCAATAAAACACTAAAATTCGCACGCAGATTTTTAATGGTGTCGATTCTCACTCAGCTTAATGGTGTAAAAATGCTCTGCAAGAAAGTGTGTACCCTCTGACTCTTTGGAGTGATCCTTTGTCAAAGCACATGTTATTATTATGCACACAGCGGTCTTGCTGGCATAGCAGAACATTCCACTTTCCATTGGACGGCAGCACTCAGTGTGGTGCCACCCCTGGTACAAAACGCCTAACCAATAGAACTCGCTCAAACCATAAGTCTCCCCCAACAGAGCTGCAGGTACAAATTAAAAAAAAAACAGCCGGTGGCAAAAAATGCTCAACCCGCTGCCATCGGATCCATCAATCACCACCCACGCAGCTCTGAACAACTGGGTAGGACCGTGCGCATTACAGTAAATTTTAATACCACAATGTGCATTGCATACGTCTATGTGAAATGATGGGACACACACAGGGGGGCGGGAGGGCCCAATAGATGCAACGGGGCTGCGACTCTCCTTTGCTCCTGCTGCCCTCCCTTGCCTCTAACAGAGGACACCTATGCAGGTGAACCGGTCCGTGGAGCCCTAATCCACTCCAGCTTTAAATTCCAGCCACTCGGGCCTATAATTCAACTTATGCATCAAAGGGGTGAGTGGTGGTTGGTGAGCATGAGCAGACTGGACTGGAGTCAGGAAACTGAAGTCTAGCAAATCTCATGAGGGCAGTAGCCTACAAATGGCTCTGTTGAGCCGGGGGTGCTAAACAAGACCACACATTCCTGAAGTAATGGGCAGAATCTGAACAATAATCACATACATCCAATGGTTATCATCAGCCAATCTCTATCCGCTGCTACATAAAGGATGCAGCTTCTGCTTTCTGCGGTGTGCTCGGTGGCAGTACAGAACGTACAAGTCATGCATTCCAAGAAGCAACACAGGGTTCGACTCGCATCCACGGCTAGCCGCTGGAAAAATAAACGTCGACTCAAAATCTTACGTGCCGAGATCAGCGGCACAAGGTTGGGTAACGCGAGGGGGGCAACGCCGGGCCCACGGGGCGTTGAATGTCAAGAGAGGAGGGCGGCAGGGTGGGGAGGAAGCACTTGGGCGTGCGTGCGTGCGTGTGCGTGCGCGTGGGTGTGTGTGTGAGGGGCGGCGCCATCTTGTTGAGTCTCCATCTTCTGCTACGCAAGGGGACGGCTCTTGAGTTACCGAGGGCCACACCGAGCGGTGCTGCTCGCTGCGCGTTTTAAAAGAGCAAACCAACCACACCCTCGTAGTCCAGCCTGCGCCCCAGCGTTAGTTTGCGTGGCGGTGGCCAAGAGGGCAACAGCGGAAGAGGCTGACGATGGGGGGGGGGGGGGGGGGGGGGGCCCCCCGTCACGCGAGACGAACGCAGGACGGAGGAGACGCGGCTCAAGATGGTAAGAGATGCGCCGAGCATCTTCCTCCTCCTCTGGCACAGGACACCTTCCTCGATGGCTGCATACCACGCAGAGTAAGCTCGCGCACAGACTGGCCTAGTCGCTGCCGTCTGGATTGTCCTCGGAGGAAGTCAGGAAGCGCTGCTCCTTCCATTTTCGGTGCGCCTCTTCTAGCTTTTTCAGCATTTCCTGTTGCAGGAGGAGAGCAGGGGTTGAGACGAGGTCACGCGAGAGCAGTGGTTCTCACCCGGCGATACGCGGACCCCTGGGGGTACGTGGACTCCTGGGGGTACGTGGCAATGTCCCAGAGGGTATGTGAGGTTATTTATAAATTGGTGAAAAATCATGTATGAATTTGCCAATACAAAATAATTACGATAAAATTAAAATCCATATGGTAACCTGGAACGCTATAAAAGACCTTTCTAAACTCGCCGATCGTAAACAATGCAGTTTCCAAGAGTGACCAGCGAGCGCGAACAGAGCGTCCGTTTTTTTTTTATTTGCTTGCAGTTACTAGCTAGTTACAATACCTCACAAAATGGACAATTGGTTTAAATATTGATGAAAATAAGAATAGGTTTTACCCTTTCTGGCAATAAAACAGGCGTTAAGATGTTCAAACAACAAATAGATACGTAGAACATTTTGGATACTGGCAAAAAGGTCCCATTGGTTAAAATATTGATATTCATTATTCATACATTTCTCAGAACCATGTTGATTTAGGCAAGGGGGTACTTACTGGGTTGAAACAAAATTCAACAAGGGGTACAGTAGCCAAACAAGGTTGAGAAGTACTGCACGAGAGGGACAGGCTAATAAATGAAGGCCCTGAGAACAAGAGTGCATTTGTGTGCGGAAGAGTGTCTTCCCATGCTGCGTGGCAGCTGAAAAGTCCATTCCATTAAGGCAGCCTTCATATGTTTACGGGATTCGACCGCGTGAAGAAAAGTGCGTACAGAAACATGACTTCATCCAGCGGTGAATTGCCAAAAGGCCTGTAAATGATTATGAACAGTCCACTTAAGACAGCATGGGAGGAGGGGAGAGGTGACGCAATGGTTAGCGCATCGCACTATGAACCCGGTGATCCGAGCTCAATTCTCGGCCACATCGGTGGCGAGCGGTACCCGTGCTGGTCCTGGGCACGTCCTCCCCCCGACCGTAGCCAAATCGCACTGATAACGTATGGCCAACGGACTCACCTCAGCCATGGAGTCCGTGGGGAAGTTCAGGATTTTCCCAATATTCTTCACGTGGAAGACAGACTTGAGCTTCTCCTGCGCAACAGCAGACCAGTGGCAACAAGACAATTACAGCCCTGACATTTTTTACTCAAAACTGCTGGCAGGACAGCCCCCATTCGAGGAGGCAGCTCCAGGAGGTTCCCTCTAGGGGACATTTTTCACTCTGGCGAGATGTTAACTACCTCGCTAGGTATGCAGGAGGTCGTGGGTTTGATCCCCACCCCGATGCCTGTATTTTGGTAGTTTGCGTGTTCTCCCCGTGGTTGCGTGGAATTTTTCTCTGGCTCCTTTGGTTTTTCCCTCCGCATTTAGAATCGACGTGAGTTGAGATTATTTTGCTGCTATAGATTTCCACATAAGCCACTTCGTTGAGCTATCATTTGTGGCCAGGTTCCCTTCTGAAAAAGAATCGAACCCACGATCTCCGGATTGCAAATCCATTGCACTAGCCCATGACAGCAGGGCAGAGTTTGACGACGATGCCACCACCGTATTCACGGTAAATAATGCGCGGCGTGTGCTTCACACCAACCTGTGAAAACCCCGTGATGTTCGCTATAAAGAGGGTGCCAAAGCGTGCCTGCACCACGGTCCAGATTTTATTTAAAAAAAAGTCCTCTCAAATTACTTAATTGGGAAGCTGCATAGCAGCAGCAGCAACAACACCACCGCGCCACTCCCCACCCCTATCAGCAGACTAATGCCCAATCGCTGGCCAAGTGCCGTGGTCACCTTGTGTCTCACAGGGACAACTGCCACAGGGGGTGCCCCCTTCTTGCAGAGTGCCTCGAGGTGTAGCGCACGGGAGGCGCGGTGTGAATAGAGCGACGACGATGAAGGTGAGAGAGAAATCTCTCGGTTGTGGAAGGTTGGAGTGGGGGGGTGAGGGGAGAGGGGGGTGGTGGGGGTGGTGTGAAGCGGCTCACGTTAGCGAGGATGCAGAGGCGCCGGCCCTCGCGCAGCGGCGGATCGGTGAACTCGTTGAACATGTACTGCCAGTCGCACGTCACCTGGCCGAACATGTCGTCCTTGGTGACGAACATCACCCGCCTGCGTCACATGCGGCGCCCAGCAGGCCAAACACGCGGCGCACACGCGCGTCGTCACGGTGGGAGGTGCGAGGGTGACGGAGCAAAATCTGCCATCGATCGCAAACGCCGCGATCGATCACCGCTGCCCAGGCATCTTCGAAAGAGGTACCGACATTTTACCCCACCGCACGTAACTCCGCAGCGCAGCAAATTTAACACGTGGTAGGCTTTTGCAACTAATATTGATTCACGATTCATTTTTGAGTCGGATCGCCTGAGTAAAATGTGTGTCGTAAACCCTCCTCCACCCGACACAGCCAATGAATAAAAATTGTCGCGTGAACAAACGTGGCAAATGTATAATTGGTTCAGCAGCAGGTGTTGGGAGAGCGATCTATGAGCATTTAACAATTGGGTACGGACATTTCGCTGGTACTTACGACAGCATCATCAGGCAGTTGTCAAAATTGTGAAAATTATCCTGCAGGTTTGGTAATCGGTGGTGTAGTTATTTATACTGCTGGGTGAACAAAGACACTTCCATCATTGCTTTAACTTCCGTGCCACGAGATTGCCAGTTCACTGTGCCGACCATTCTACCATCAAAGCATCCCACTGTAAATAGTGCCAAGTGTATGGCTCTATGTCAATCCACTGCTGGATGAAAGCCTCCCCCCTCATGAAGCGAGACAGTCAGTCAAAGGCAAAGGAGAAAAAAGTAGTGGTGACTTCCAGCCAGCATTGTTGTGATTGCGCATGTCAGGGTCATCCATCAAGTTTCCGTAGCAAGAATGCACGAGGCCTGCCAGCTCCTGCTAGCACTTCAAAGTGGCAAGGGTTGGGGAAACAATGGGATCACGGGTGTTGGGTGTGTGCGTGCAGTTGAATTTCAAGGAAGTTGTGACGGTGAAAAGTTTGTGAGAACTGTGCGTGCGAGAGGGCTCACGTGTGTGTGTGCTCCACACGGACACTGCCACGATGAGATTTAACAACATATCAAGGTGCGATGCTCACGTGCAGTAAGCGAGACACAACGCCAGAATTGTGAAAATGTCCTCCAGGCTTGGACCTTACATCGGTGATATTTAACATCTCACCATGATGGCGAGATGTTAACGACCTCGTCTGGTATATAGAGGTCGTGGGTTTGATTCCGATCCTGACGCCTGTATATTTGAAGTATGCGTGTCTCTCTCCCCGTGGTCGCGTGGAATTTTTCTCCGGGTCCTTCGGTTTTTTCCTCCACATTTATAATCGACGTGAGTTGAGATTATTTTTCTGCTATAGATTTCCACGAGATAAAGCACTTCGTTGAGCTATCATTTACGGCCAGGTTCGTTTCTCAAAAAGAGCTACATAGCTCAGTGAGCCTCACCAGGTAAAATAATAGTTTAGTTTGGGTGTTTATACTGCAAGGCAGGATGGTAGTTGTGTCTTGCTGCTGCTTGTGAGCAGCACACCTTGGTGTGTTGTGATTTCTATTTGTTTGCAGCCTGCACGGATTTTCCGGATTTGATGGGGTTTCTCATCTTTCACATAAAGTGTTGGATTCGAACTTCCAAGATTTCAGATGTACAGATAAGACCCTTAAGAGATGTGGGAAAATCATTGGTACAATCATGAATCGGCTTTTTCACTTTGGGCAAAATGTCAGGCAATCAGGACTGTAATTTAGAGAACAATTATCTGTCCACCTTTCTCGCCAAGGGAGAAATGCTCATAATATACCCGCAGTGTTGGACACTAGGACCAACTGGCTTTCATCCATGCTGCGATGGTGGCGATGGTGCATTCAGCTTTGTATCCATGTCAAAACATTACCTTACTACACAAAAAAGCGACGAATAATTATCTTCAAAAGTAAACCCTATATGTAATCATAAAATATTTTGTTTAATCTTGACCACGAGGTTGCCTCGTTTGTTGTAGCTGCCCACATGCAAAGCATGAGGCTTGACAGCAGTGGTGCGTTTGTCCCGGCCTGCGAGCGCGTGTGTGTGCGTGCATGCGCGTGTGTGGCAGTGTGTGTGTGCGCGCATGTGTGCGCGTGTGTGGCTGGGTGTGTGAATGTGTGTGTGCACATGTGTGCGGCTTGGGTGTGTGCGTGCGGCTTTGGTGTGTGCGTGTGCGTGCGTCTCTCGCCTGTTCGTCACCAGAAACACGTTGCGCCCGTCCTTCGTCACGAACTCGTGTGCCCGGTACTGGTCCAGTGCAAATTTCCCATTCTCGATTTTCTGACAGAGCCGGGTTCAAATACGAAAAACCACACACACAAAACAAGAGCAAGACAAACAGATAACACGCAAAGCAAAACAAACACATTGCTCAGAGCTCCTCACCCCCGTCACGGTAAACGGTGCTTAAGACTTCCCAGTGCACCGTCACATCGAGAATGCTACGCTATGGCATGAATAAACCTACGAAAGCCGAGCATGTCAGAATTCGGGGTTATCCAGAAGGCTACCAATCATTAAATCACGAAACATTCCGACTGGGTCACTGCGCGCTAATTAAACTCTGCCATGATCGATCAACTTCGGGGTTCTGCGACACAAACGATCTGCCCAGCGCCTGCACACCAACAGATCTCACCGCTCCATCTCCGCGGCCGACGTCCTCTCGGACGCATTTCAACCCTTGGCCGCCACTCCACCGTTATCATTGCTGACCGTCGTCATCCCTCGAGTGACGTGTCTCCTTCCCAAGCCCACTCACGTTTCTTCACGGGATGGATGACGTCATTAAACTGCTGTGTACAGTCTCAAGATCCAAGCGGCGCTCCTCTTCTTGTCGCTCGGTGTAATTCCCAGCATGCATCTCTGCACGTGTCTATGAACACCTTTCAGTTTTCGTTCTATATGTTTCATTCACGACCACCATGTGTCGTTTTCTTGAATAGTGCAGCTTAATTACATTAAATCTCATTGGGCCAGTCCCTCCAGCTGTCGGAGGGCTTAGCTCCAACCGAGGGATTTTTACACCTACGTCAAGACTCTTACCCCAGTCCAACCGGGGAAACACCACCCAGTACCGTACTCCCAGCGAGCCCTTCGCCCAGCCATCCGTGCTGTCGACTCTCTGCCCCTGTTCAGGTCCAAGCTAAATACCTTCCTTATTTCGCTCTAGTCTATGACCCGACTGCTCTCCATCAATCTATAAAATACGCCCACTGTTCTGTACAGCATCCTAAGATGCAGTGAATCTAAATGCTACGTAAATATCCATTGTATTCTTCATCGTAATTTTGTTGGTAGTAACATCCAAAAACCTTTTTCACCGCGGCTAACAATCACAACAAACGAGACCTCGTCTCAATGGGCAGTTCATTGACAATAAAGTTAAGCTCGCCACCTACTGGCAAAATTCGATGAACACACTCCACCGATGCCTTTTTTATTTTCAGACGATTAAGGCTTCAAAGTTAGTGTTAAAGAGTGCCCACATCGTGAAAGACAACGGTGACCCCCCCCCCCCCAATCAAATACATATTTTGTTAACAAAAGCATCATGCACGTGCGGCATTGATGGGTTGACACGGGTAGGCTCGGGTGTATCTTCCGCAGAGGGCGACTCGTGAAGCTAAAGAAGCCAGCCAGGTTCCGTCAACTCCAAGCTTACCAGCCTCACTCTAACCAACCGTGTATATGTGTGTGTGTATGTTGAAGTTCTTTCGCACCGTACGTAGCCAACCGTGGCAATCGGAGGTGCGGGGGAAGGACAACAAACTAAAGGCGAAAAGTAGTTTTTAACTCTTCCTACTTTCACTGTGCCAGTCAACTACGCCGTTGGCAACTCGCAAGGATCGTCATTATTATTATTTGGGGATCATCAGGACTGACGATGCCACGTTGGCGGTGGTGCACGAGCGCAATTAACAATGAGCTTATCACGCTCATCGACATCGCCCCGGAACGTCACCACGTACTGTATATATTTTAATCTTTTAATGCAGTGTTGTTGGCGAGTGTGTGCGAGTATTTTGTTTCTTGCGCCTCCACTCGTGGCCCAGATGGCAGCTCCATGAGGAGTCATACGATCTCTTACAACGCGTAGTTCAATTGTAACCGACTGCCCAAAATAACCACCCGCTGTGGGGTATGTTGCGGTTCTCTTTGACACTATCCGTTCATGTGTTTACACCTGTCTGCTTAGGAAAGCCTAGGCGAGTCTGAATACTCTTTTTCGGGAGGGCGCTTGTCAAATAATCCCTGTTGAGTAATTTGCCGGCAATTTTTGCACCAATGCGTACGTTTTGGCCAATATCGGTAACAATGTACGGGCTTTTTATTCTTTCGCTGTGGGAGGAAAATGGAGAACTCGGAGGAAAACGATGCAGAACAGGGAGTAGAAGATACAAACTGCATGCTCACTCACTCTCCTACTCACCCCCCCGCAGAACAGGGGGCGAGAACATGCACACTCCACACAGAAAGGCGTCTAGGTTGGGATTCGAACTCAGGCCCTTTGTGCTGTGGAGGCACAAGTGTTACTAGTGCACTACCCCGGGCCCACCGATCACTAATCTTGTTGCATCGTTGCCATGCTACAAAAGCTTTGGCCACTGGGGGAAGAGCGTTAGGCAGATTTGCAGCGACTGTCACAGGTCACACACCACCTATAATTATAACTCAAAAATGTGAATGACCAGTTTGCGCACAACAATCTCACCTGTCACCACGTGCTGGAATTAATGTGTGTTGACTCCTACAGTTCGATGGTGTACCCATTTGCATTGCTGATTATTGTTAAGCATGTAACCATTCACTGATCACATTTTTTTGCGCAAAGAAAAGAACATCGCTTACAATTTATGTGGATTGTACGCAAACGTTATCTTAAAAAGTAAAAAATGGGATGGAATGGCACTGAACATACGTGAAGCACGGTCCCAAAGAGACGGAAAAAAACCAACACTGAAAATATCATCAACCCTTCAATCTTGACGGTTCATTAAAAAGCAGGAGGGTAATGGGGTTGGGGAATTGTTACACGCTTACAAATAATGTCGCAACGCACCTTCGGGAAGAGCGAATGCTTAACGACGAAATAATCCGGAACAAAAACACGAACATTTGTTCACCAGTGGCAGCGACGCAATTTATTTACAGTGTAGTCTGTAAGGAGGCGTGAGGTTTGTCTACACACAATTTGCCAAGGCCCCACACCGCACAACCCCGCACCGCAAACGGCTAACTTACACGCACCACGCGCCACCACGCGCCAACGTCCCACGTAGTCGCACACGACACCCAACGAGCGATCGAGTCCACCCAAGCGCCAACGTCCCCACGTGGTCACCCGCGGCACCCAACGAGCCCCCCCAGCCCGCGCTAACGATGCCGGCAGCGGCGACGAGCGAACAATGCGGTGGCGATGCCGAGCGTGACGCGGCACAGAGAGAGAGAGCGGACGCCGGGTTACGGCCGTGGGCCGGTGTCGGAGGCTGTGAGCCACGCATGCCGCCCGTGACAACAGCAGTGAAACACCCGGACGTGATGGCGCTGAACGCACGGGACGAAGAGAGGCGGCGCTATAGAACGGCAGCATTCCAGCATCACACGGCGTCACGTCGAGCGTGGCAGCGCATGGAGGAGGAAGATTCGCCAATACCCAGAAAGAGCAATAGCACTTGGACGCAAGTCCAACGTCAGCTTCATGAACCACAAGGGACCAAAGCAAAAACCGGAAATGACACCGGCAGGCATTAGCGAGGCCTTTTTTTTTGGACAATGAGGTGGTATATGATATATGATCACACGCCATGGGTGGTAATCAATAGAATAAGGGATCATTCATTGGGATGGCTACTCTGGTGTCAGTCACTGCGGTCCTGCATGGATGTCTTTGCCACATGACCGCCAACCAATGGAACAGCAATCTGTGATCAAATGTTTAAAAAAACAAAATTTTTAAATCGTTAGCTTAGCACAATAATGGTGCTACTGAAATTAATTATCAAAGCTTAATAACCACCCTGGAGGACACGTGTGGATGCATATAAATATAATACCAAGGCTTGTCCAAGTTACGCCTCCACCCTCATTTCCAGCCGATGGCTCTGGTGGCTATGCGGCTGACTCAATTTGGGCGCGGCGTAGCGAGGAGCACGGACACACAGAGGGGCGTGCACACGCCACAGCACGGACACGCGACCCGCTCGCCCACACCACATCGCATGCACGCGTCACCATGAACCGCTCGCGATCGATCCAACAGAGCGAGAGCTCAGCGATCGGAGGGGTTCAAGGACACACAGAGACAAAGATCCCCCGTGTCGTCTGTAAGTGCTGTTCGCGAACACCTATGGAGGCCGGCACGGCACACAGTGGGGGGGGGGGGGTTATGTGGCCTGCACCGCGCTCGGCCGCCTTTGTCTCCCCATTGGCAACGTTTACACACCGCAGCAGGCACTCACGTGATGGTGAAGTCGACCTAGAGGAGGCCCAGAACCGGTTTAGATAAACACCACTTGTGTTGGCCTGTCAGCGGAAATCGAATTCAGGTCACGCGCTAACCACGGCGCCACCCGCCAAGCTCCCGCAGGACAGGGATGTGTATCGCGTTTGGGGAGGGGGATGGTGCGCGACGGAGCCAGTGCCTCCCAGACTCCAGACCTTTGGTCTTCTCACGGCAATCAACTATTTCCTCACGATTAATTTCGCGCGTTATCTACCCGCGGACTTCCACCATGGAATTTGAGGAATCTTTTTTGTTGCCGAGAGATGTTTTGCCAATCCCATTCATCCCGCACCTCCGATTAGCACGGTTGGCTACACACGGTGTGAAAGAAGTTCCACATACATACGTTCATGGTAGTTTGGCATCGTGCCAGAGGAAATCTTGTTGTCTGGCAATAAAAACCACCCACGCATATGTGGGAATACAATGCAACGCCCCGTAGAGTTATATTCAATAATCCATTGGTGTGTCGCCATAACCCAGGTAAACGCGAGGTTGTTGCACACGCAAATGCACTCAACGATGGGGAGAAATAATGGGCGAGAGGACTGGAATTTGGTAGGCCCAGGCTTCTATGAAACGTCGCTCTGAATCGTCGCTCACCTGCCAAGGCGTTATTGTTTGAATGATTTGGCATTGCATAGGACAGCGAGTGGATCAAAGCTGCGAGTCACAACTTAACTGCAGCTTTGAACACTGTTCGTAACAAATTTGACCGCCACAGCTGCAATTCGAGACAATTTGTTTACGTTTTGTCAAAACATCTTCACAGCTACGAACCAATATATGATTTTTACGGTTTTGCCACCACGACCCCAAAACGCGAGAATCCACCGTGATAAGCACCGTCACCGAGCGCGTGCACACGACCCCGCCCGTGACCCCGCCACCCGACCTGACCTCGACCCATCCTGACCTGGCGACGGATGGATGGATGGATGAGGTAAAAACAAAAGAAACGTGTTACGTGAAGCGGTCTTGTCCTGGAGGCAGAGACTGCGGCTGAGAGCGTGATCGGCGCGGCGAGGGGGGGAGGGAAAGCGGACACAGCGTTAGGGTGCCGGCCAGGTCGGCGAGCGTGCGTGCGTGCGAGCGTGCGTGCGTGCGTGCGAGCGTTGCCACCCCATGCAACGCAGTGGTGGGTTTCCTCGAGCCCACGGCAGCGACGAAGCACGCCGCCATCGTCCTAGCACTGCGGCGGTAGCGTGGCCGAGCTGCGCCGCACTCAACGCTCATCGCGGAGGTTCGCGGTTCGAGCTCAGTGGCCTGCCCTGGTTAATACTGCGGCGTACTGGCCGTGAATGCTACGCGCCCGCCTGTTTTACGGTGGATCGGGCACAGATGCCGGGATGTGATTCGAAAGGGGGTAGAGGCCACGTGTGTGTTCGATGTCCTGTAAATTACAAAAATAATACAAAAACACAAAGCAACGTCGGCCCCTACTGGCACAGACTATACGCATCTGTGGAAAAAAAAATAGTTATTAAGGCACTGAAGAGGCAGGGCTAAGAGACAATAGGGGTTGAGGTTCAGGCACTGAAGGGGTGGCAATGGCATCGGCTTAGCGCTCTGTGCTTTCAACCTGACGACCCGAGTTTGATTCCGGGACACGGCAAACATCAGTGGCGAGTGAAACTGGAACTGTTCCTAGTCGCCCCCTTTAACAAACCGCACTTACTGGCGGAGTGAAGTACCGTCAAAATACAAACCACATGACCAATATCGTATGGGGAAGGCTTTCTTCTAGCAGTGGACTGGCAAAGGGCTGTGAATTGCTGTTCGTGTTTAATTTTCGCACAAAGCGTGAAGGCAGTGTTGGAGAATAGCCTCGGCTCGGTGTCGAACTTCTAACACCGAGGCCTGCCCCGTTTAGCGTCCCGCCCTACCTGGGTAATGAGACAGCTTAGCCTCCTAAACACGTCAAGAAAGACGCAAACTCGGAGCAAACCAACGGCTCTTATCCTGAGAAGAACTTCAACTCAGGCCGTCTGACTCGAATTTGTAATCTTCTAAGTGACATAAAAATACTTCAAAGTCAGAGAGGCAATCCCATCACGGCACTATCGAGCGATGTCACCGCATTGACGTTACGAGAGAATGGCAGCGCGCCGACCGCAACGCTGCGTTTACACGCTTGACCATCAACGAGACGTCAAAAACTCATCGCTCCCAGATATTTTAACACCCGCAATGTGGTGATGATGGAGCGCCTCGCCCTAACTTAAAAGCATTTTTTTTTTGTTTACAATTAACAAAGTTTCAAACTGGTGTCGCACAGCCCGGGGTATGTGACGACGCATCGATTCATCGATTCAAATTCCCCCGTATGCTCACGACATGTACACGTCAAATAGTGTGCAAGGTGAACGTCAATTAACGAATGACTTAATGTTTCATGTAGGTCAATGTCAGGCACGAACACTATATAAACTTTTTTTTTAAATCACAAATGAGACTGTTAAAACAGCACGAAAGAATCTACTCTTGAATGGAATCATGACCGGTTTGAAGTTTCATCCAATTTTGTGTGGCTACATCTCCGTTGTTCGATGCCTCGTCCGTGTTGTTGTTCCCTCTACAGCACCTCCAAGATGCTCACGTCACGTTGCAAATAGTTTTCTGATTATTACTACGAGGACGAACAAATCAAATCCGTGGGTGTGGGGGTATTGGTTGAGACAAATCACGACCCGCCTCCGAGTCGCTCGGCGGTTAGCGCCGCCCCCGTCAAACGGAGCGCTCGCCGAGAGCTGCCGGCGCTACGTCCGCGAGCCGAGGCGCCCCGCGACCGTCACCTGCACGAGCTGGCTGCCCTCGCCCTCGCGACGGCTGTACGGGCGGATGATGCCGTCCTCCTGGATGACGCGCGGCGGGCGCATTTTCTCCACCGTCTCCGACGCCTCCGCCTGCCTGCACACGCCACCCGCGTACGCGGGCACAGGACAGACGCGCGCCGCCGTCAGAGTGCGCGCGTGTTTCGCTTCCTCTTCAGCCTCTTCCCCTCGCGCTGCTCCACTTAGAAATCCCCTCCCCATCTCCCCTTTCCCCAAGCCCCGATCAGAAGAACCTTGCTCAATTCCAGAAACGTGGACGCTATTTATCTATTAAACCGACAGTGATGTTTCGTTGCTGGCCACTTGATGTTTTGGACCTTTCTCAGCAACTGTGTTTAACACACACTGTACATGACCATGAACTCCCCCCCCCCTCATGGAAACAATGGCGCAACACCCTGCCAGCCCATGCGGGCACGGGACACCTGTCCCACGCAACTTGAAGGGAAAATTTAACACGAAGGCTTTGAATATTATCAATATTATCCATAAGAGGTTTTTGGTTTTTTTTGGGTTAGATCGTGTAAATATAAACGTGTCGTTAAACCCACCACGGCCATTTACGTGACAGACCTTATTAGTTGGCTGTCGGGTGGTGGCGGGTTTCACGACACATTTATATTAACGCGATCTAACACAAACAAATCCTGGCTTAAAGGGAAAGAGTGGGAATTTGAGGCCAGGTGGTCCTCCCTATTCCTGCGGAGCTTTGAATAAGAGGAAAGGAGGGGTAGATGGCCCCCTGTATGTTAATGTGAGATGGACCCAGAACGGAGGATAGATTGTCACCCCCACCCATAATGCTGCGTGTACGTTGTATGGTTTTTGTCACGTGTTCTTTTTCCACCCCCCCCCCCCCCTCCGGCCCATGCCCGGTGTCCCCTTAAATGTTGGTTACCTCGTCTCCGCCCCCTCTTCCACCCCCCACATATACAAGCCCTCCTCCCGTGCCACCCACGTGCCCCCTGCCCAACGGAAGGTTCCCACGGGTTGATGCGTCAAGCCTTCCCCGCCCCCACCCCCCCACCCGCCTACGCATGGTTCCAAAGAGCCGAAAGCCCTCCCCACCGTGGGTTTTGAAACCACCGGTGTGCTGTACCTGGCTGTCCCGGGCCTGCGTGCTTATCACAATAAAAACTGTACGTGAAAACCCTGTGGTGATGTGGAACCGTGGGGTGCTGCTGCTGCTACTGCTGCTGCTGCTGCGTTGGCAGTGGTGCACAAGCACAATCAATACAAAACTCGACACATTTGTCGATTACACTACCTGAAATGAATTACGCGCCGTGTGTGTGTTATTAACGGTTGCATTGTGTGAACGATGTTTGCAGGGGGTTCGTCTCTGAAAGGCGAGCGGTACACGTGTGTTATGTTATTATTAAATGAAGTGAGTTTGGTTGGCACAGTAGGGAGCACAGCTGGTGCATCCCATGGCAACTGGGTCTGTCTCATCAACTCCTATCAGCCGTTAGCCTTTCATACTTCACGTGGCCTCAAAGTGCACCTAGCCTGGCACAAGCGCCGTGGTGATGTCACCGCCACTCAGTGGTGAATGCCGGTTGTCGTCGTTGTGCGTCCCACCTTTTAATCCCCTCCATGGTGCTGCTGGCCATGTCGATGACGCCTCCCGCGGGCCGCGCCACCACCCCCACCAGCCCCTTGCCAACGCCCTTGAGGAAGCCGGTCGCCCCGCCGCTCCTCGCACCTGCACCCAGCCCGGCGCAGGGACGCGCATGTCGGCAGGGAGGCCTCGCGCGCTCAATCACTCGGTCGCTCGCTCTATCGCTCAGCCATGCTCTTCAGCGCTTGCTCCTCCGGAGTTATTTACCGCCTTTCCTTTGTTAGGCGCGTGCGCTTGGGGAGAAGTCTTTGGCTCGTGCCGCGGCACTGATATAATCGCCAAGCGGATATAATCAGTGCGGGGAATAGAGCGAAGGAAAAAGTGTGCAGATGCAGGCGTTGGTTGTGAGAAAGCAGAGAAGACTCACCCTCAATGGGTTTGGTGATAATGCCCGTGACACCTCCAATCACGCCCTGCCGAGAGAGAAGCATTCATACAACACTCGTGCACAAGGAAAAATACAAATATCCCCGTATAGCTTTAACAGAATGTTCGGGCAAGTGCCGTTAGCGAGCAAATATTATGGTTGGCACGGCACACGAGGGGGTGGGTGGCCAGCACCGCACCCGGCCACCTTTGTTTCCCCAGTGCTAGTGTTTACACCAGGTACTCATTTCAGACTGAGTCGACCCAGGGGAGGCCCAGGACCAGTTCAAATAATCGTCACTGTTGTTGGGCGTGAGCAGGAATGGAACTCAGATCAGCGGTTTCACAGTGCGGTGTGCTTACCACTACCCTACCCCTCCCTACCGCACCACAAGCAACACACAGACACACACACGAGTTGTTAGTGTTTGAAATGCAAGCTTGACTGGTTCAGATTTACTGTTGCCGGCGCTGCTGTGCGCTGGGCCTGCCAATCGATTACACCACTCATGCACGCACACCACCCACAAGGACAAATATATTGGCTGGTGGGGGAAAAGTTTAGGGTTGCATGAAACTTGAGAGATGCAAACCAGAGAGAGAAAAAAAATCAACAATTTTGCAAATATGCAAACGTGTTTGTTTACCCTGATGAGAATACGCAAATGCATTTTGCCCGGACGGCGACCCAGGCGGCTTCCATGCTGCTCATTGCCTACTACCCAAGAGAGACGCGCGTTGGGACAGCGTCACACGACCCACACACGTGGGTGGATTCTCCCAAATGATTTTATTTGCCGTCGCCGTACCTTGAGGAGGCCCTTGCCACCCCGCGCCAGCCCCTCCTTCAGGTCCGTGGGCTGCTGGTTCATCTCTTCACGCCGCTTGCGCTGGTACTCCTCGTCCATGGTGATCGTTGCCAGGCCCTTGCCCATGGTGCCCGTGATGCGGGACACCATGCCGGCCGCGCCACCTGTCCCCCCAGGGGCACGGGTACACGTGTGAGCGCGTTACACGTGTGGGCGCGTTACACGTGTGAGCTCGTTACACGTGTGGGCGCGTTACACGTGTGAGCGCGTTACACGTGTGAGCTCGTTACACGTGTGAGCGCGTTAGACGTGTGAGCTCGTTACACGTGTGGGCGCGTTACACGTGTGAGCTCGTTACACGTGTGAGCGCGTTAGACGTGTGAGCTCGTTACACGTGTGGGCGCGTTACACGTGTGGGCGCGTTACGCATATTAGCGGCGTCGTCAAAGGCGGGGGGGGGGGGGGCGGTAGTAGTGGGAGTTGTTGCAGCGTCTGAGAAGAGTGGCGGTGCTTGGATGGCATGGGTGGGTCCTGGTGCGGGGCATTAAACGGCTGCTCCCTCTTCAAATTCACCACTGCCCCCCCCTCCCCACCCCCTCCCACCATCCCACCTCTTGGTAGCCCCGGTGCCTGGGCCCCTCCAGCCTTAGCCCTCCGGTGCAGTTTCCCTGCGTTCACGCTCGATGATTCACTACATTAAATCGTACTTAACCTGCCCGTCATAAACTGTGGAGCTCAGTCGCCTAGAGGGGGGTGGGGGAGTAAGTGGGCAAGGAACGAGAGGCCGCGGTGGCTGCTGTGCTGTAGGTGGGGACACAAGGGGCAGAGACTCTAAAGCAGGGGTAGGCAACCTGCGATGCGGCTCTTCAAGGACTGCTGCTTTGTGACTTTATTTATCAAGGACCCACCGTCTCGTGTTCACACGCATTGCGGCTCTTGAAATATTGCGGGGTTTTTTTTCATTACGAATTAAAAAAAAAATTGCTCTTCTGGTTTGCCGACCCCTGCTCTAAACCAAGCGGTCCGTAACCGTTGGGGACACCGCGGGTCACCGTTAACCCTCGACACGTTTTTGTTGGGGACCACCGTGTTTCGTGAAAACAAATCGCAATGTGCAGTGGCCTTGCGTGCCGCCTCCACTGGACCTGCAGACCATCCGAACGGTGCGCGGACCGCGCGTTTTGTAACCGCAGCGCGAAACCACGCGTACCCACGGTGTGTCCGAAGAGGGACTTCATCCCCAACGCCATGCCCTCCACAAACTCCTCAGGCCCCTGGACAGCTCCCTGCAGCGCCGGAGCAAGGGGAGGGGAAAGCACGGAGGTGACGTCTGTGGCTGCGTCGCCCGATTCCACCGCGGAGCGACTTATCGAAACGGAGCTCGCAAAACGCAGCGCGGCAAGAGCATTGGACAGCGGTGTCATTCGCACCATGCCAATGATTTAGCCAGAAAAGTGTCCCTGAGTGAGTCTCACGAGACTCAGGAGGGTCGTGCATTGTGATAAACCAAGGATAAACGAGACTACTACATTTTAAAAAATGATTTTACCAGGTAAGGTCCACTGAACTTTATCGCTGTTTTCAGAAGCGACCTGGGCCACAAATGATAGCTCGACAAAGTGGCGAGTCATGTGCAAACTTATCGCAGCCAAATAATCTAAAACGCATGTTTCTGAATGTGGAAGGGAAAAGCAGAGGACCCAGAGAAAAATCCATGCAACCACGGGAAGAACGTGCAAACTCCAAATATACAGCAGGTGTCAGGGTCGGAATGAAACCCATGACTACCTGTATACCAGGCGAGGTAGTTAACATCTCGCCACCGTGGCGCCCAATGCCTGCGGATAGTTTCGCAATGTGATCTTGGCGACTCATAAGTGGCATGGACGTACAATGCTGGTTATTCAATTGATCGACAGTCCAACATTACGTGTTGCTCAAATTGGCAGAAAGGGAGTGCTCATCTCCACCCCTGGTCCTGAGCCGATGGTGTACATTTCCACGTTCATATGGCCGTGGCGAGTCTATCCACACAGGACTAGTCTTGACTTTCCAACAGTGGCACTTATTTTATACACCTGGGGGGTGGTAAATGATGGGCTGAATTGACCCCAAGCCAGGATTTGAACCACGATCATTCGCCCGCCCGGCAGTGTTTCAGGTGTTCACCAGGCCGCTGTCAGGCCGTGTTGTTGTTGTTGCCCTGCACGTGCTGGAGGAGGCTGTCACGTGGCTCTGTGGCTACGTGGGGCTGACGTCCACTCGCACAAATATAACACTGACAGACATATCTACTTATTTCATGAATTATTTCCTTTGTGTGTCTGGTGCTCTGTGTTAAAGTCACGCGGAAAAGCATTTGCTAAATAAAACCAGGCCGCTCGGGAAGCCGTGGTGCACACTGGCTCACGCGCGTGCGTCAACCTCAACCCTCAACGTCCACGTGAACACATCGAGGCTGCTGCTGCTCGACTCTCCACCGTACGGTAGAAGAAGAGGATGCAGCTGTGACCTGCACCACATCTGATGCTGATAACAACAGGCATATTGGCCGGGGTGGGTACTGGTTGGGGGTGGGTACGGAGGGGGAGGGAAGGGGATACACCGATGGGCGCGAGCTCACTTGGTACGGCTCGTAGAAGAACGCCTCGACCCCCTCGGAGAGACCGTGGATCAGTCCGAATGGGTTGCCCAGCACGTCCAGGCCCAGCACCACCTTGTACATCTGCTGCAACGCCTGCGCGGGGCACCACACAGGGACGCAGAGAACAAGGGGCCCTCTCCGTTCAGTCGTCCAGACTGTCGGGGGCCAAGTGCTGTTAGACTTGTTTTAAGGCCAGCAAGGGGCGAGGGGGGCGAGGCAGCCGGCACGAGACGGGAGGAGGTTGTGCCCACGATGGGAATGTTGGAATGGTGAGGGACGATTTTGACAGGCTCGGATTTGTCCAGAGCGTCCCCGATCATTCCTCTACCAATTCTGACAAAACTCCGGTCCAAATATATCGGAAGCGAGCGGAAATTCCACGGGGTCACCAGCGGCGGCACGCTCCGGCGATTCGCCACAAAAACAAAACCGCGAGAGCCATTCCTACGATTCCAACGACACCGCATTCAACTCCAGGAGTTTCATTCCGATTCCTGGCTCAAGATCGACCGCGAGAAGTGCCCAGCACGACGGCAAGGGGACGCTGATCATGCGTCTGTGTTGGTGCGTGTCTCTGCGCGTGGCCAGGGCCACCACTGCACCTTGCGGCGACTCTAGAGAGCCTGACAGAGGGCTACACACCGGGACATATCGTAGGCCGATGTCTTTCCACTGCTAGACCATATTGTGTGCCTCATACTGACAAAAATACTATTACTGTGGTGGCATGACAAGTGGAGGAGCCCCTCACACACTCACGAGCCACTCACTCACACACTCACCCAACTACTCACTCACACACCCAGCCACCCAACTACTCACTCACACACCCACCCAACTACTCACTCTCACACCCACCCAACCACTCACTCACCCACCCACCCAACTACTCACTCACACACACACCCAACTACTCACTCACACACACACCCAACCACTCACTCACACACCTACCCAACTACTCACTCACACACCCACCCAACTACTCACTCTCACACCCAACCACTCACTCACCCACCCACCCAACTACTCACTCACACACCCACCCAACTACTCACTCACACACACACCCAACCACTCACTCACACACCTACCCAACTACTCACTCACAAACCCACGCAACCACTCACTCACTCACCCACCCAACTACTCACTCACCCAACCACCCAACCACTCACTCTCAAACCCACCCAACTACTCACTCACACAACCACCCAACTACTCACTCACTCATACACTAGCTAACCTACTTACTCACACACTCACCAACCTACTCACTTCTCACACTCATCCAACCACTTACTCACTCACCCACCCACCCACCCACCACTCACTCTCAAACCCACCCAACTACTCACTCACACACCCAACCACTCACCCACCCACCCAACCACTCACCCACCCACCCACCTACTCACTCTCAAACCCACCCAACTACTCACTCACACACCCACCCAACCACTCACTCACACACCCACCCAACTACTCTCACATCCACCCAACTACTCACTCACACACTCACCCAACTACTCACTCACACACCCACCCAACTACTCACACTCACCCAACTACTCACACTCACCCAACTACTCACTCACACACCCACCCAACTACTCACTCACACATCCACCCAACTACTCACTCACACACTCACCCAACTACTCACTCACCCAACCACTTACACACTCACCCACCTACTCACTCTCACACCCACCCACCTACTCACTCTCACACCCACCAACCTACTCACTCACAAATCTACCCACCTACTCACTCTCACACCCACCCAACTAATCACCCACGCACCTTCCTACTCACTCTCACACCCACCCAACTAATCACCCACACACCCACCCAACTACACACTCACTCACCCACTCACCCACCCAACTACTCACTCACACACTCATCCACTTACTCACCCACACACTCACCCACCTACTCACTCTCACACCCACCCAACTAATCACCCACGCACCCACCCAACTACTCACTCACACACCCACCCACCTACTCATGGCGCTTGTAACAGGCTATGTGCACTTTAAGGTTATGTGAAGTGTTGAAGGCCCACTGATAGGAGGCCGATCTTGACACAACTGCTACCAGTGACTGGCAAGTCCACTCAGCTCCACTCAAGCACTCACTCACCCACCCACATACTCATTCACGCACCCACTCATTCACCCACCCATTCACTCACACACATCCACCTTTTCACCCACCCACTCACTTAGACACTCACCTAACAATTTATTCACTGTGCCCACTCACTCATCTACCCACTCAGTTACACACCCAACCACTTATTTGCTAACCCACTCACTCACTCACCTACTCACTCAACCACTCACTCACGCACTCACCCACTCACTCACCCGCTTACGCACCCACCCATAGCAAAGGGAGGTCAAAAGACAACATCCTGAAGTGGGGTAACTCAAACGACCCTGACCCTTGAGAGTGTGGTGAAACACAGACCGTGGGACATCTATTGGTCTGAGCCTTGCACCGTGGTCGACCTGACCAGAGCTACACCCACAGCGGGTCACATCACGAGCCATAGCAAGTACCCGACAACTGGAGGAAATCCTTGGTGGCTGCGGTGACGGGACACTAGCAGCAGCAGTAGCAGCGGGAGCAGCAGGAGCAGCAGGAGCAGCAGGAGCAGCAGCAGAAGGAGCACTGCTCACCTGCTTGGTGTAGTGCCGCGTTGCCTCGGCGGTGAGCTGACTGCCGGTGTAGAACTTGTGGTTCACCTCGAAGAAAGCCAGCCTGGGGGCCCGACATCACCACCACCGTCAGCATCGCAGCATCAGAAGTGAGAAGCTCACCACCAAAGACACTCGCAGAGAGAGACGGCGACCGGCGCCTGGAGGCGCCCGAGGTCGAACTCTGGGACCGGGGCTCTGGGTGGAGGATCGCAACCGGCGAACCGGTCGCATCGCCACGCGGCTCCCCGACCCCGTGCGAGCACGCACCTGAACACGACGTCCTGCAGGTCGGTCAGCGTCGCTCCGATGCCCTGCAGGAACGAGTTGAGGGTCCTCAGGGGGCCCTGCTCGGCCTGACCCCCCGGGAAGACGCTGCCGTCCTGTGCCCCGCCGGCGCTCAGCGAGAAACTCAGGTGGATCTGTGGCCGGCCGAGGGTGCGGAGAAAATCGAACAAAAACGGCGATGAAGACCGCGCAAGCGACGAAAGACGCCGCCGCTGCGCGTTGGTCGCAAACCGCGGAAATGCAAGAGGGAAATCCACGTAGAAGAGGCTGACGTTCTGGGTAATGGGCCCCGTTTCAGGGCACAGAGAGGGAGGGCAGAAGGACCGGCTGACTTCATAGTTGAAAGACTGCGCCACAGTACCGAGTGTGGAGTCATTATTTAGACCACCGAACGTCAGTTAATCATCCTACTCTCTTCCCACTGCCTGCCTCAACTCAGAAGTGTCTAAAACATCAATAATGACTCCATCACCTTGACCGCTAAGAATAACCATTTTTATCGCTGGCTTTTTTTTTATCGGCAATATTTCGGGCAAACCCCTTGAACCACCTTGCGGCTGCTCTCCAGGGCAAGTCGCGAAGAGCAAAGCGACCTTCCAACGAAATTCCGGTCACGTTGGATAATCTTGAACGGCGCTTTTGTGATCCCCGCCCCCCTCCGATACAAGACAGACGCACGGACTGACACAGACAGCGAACGCGTTCAAGCTTTGTTGGGCATCGATAAAACCGGCGAGGGAGAGCGAGCGAGTGCGTCGACGGCACGGAGGCGCGTGCCTTGAGTGGGGAGATGTGCAGGTCCTCGTAGAAGCTCACGGCCGACGTGTCGGCAGCCGTCGCCTCCAGCGCACACTCCTCCAGCGCCTTCAGGTCGTCCTCAAACAGCTTCACCTGCGCACGCACACGGCAGCCAGGAGACGGTGACCACCCTCGTCGTCATCATCATCGCCATCGTCATCGGCGGAACGTGTAAGGATCAACCCTCATCGTCATCAGCAGCAGCGCCATTAGCAACAGCAACGCAATCACAATCATCAGTAGCAACATCGCTACCGTCAGCAGCAGCATTGCAATCATCAGCAGCGACACTACCATCAGTAGCAACAACACCAACTGTCAACAACAGCAACATCGCAATCATTACCCGGCAACATCGCCACTAGTGCGGCCACAAATAGTTGATAAGAGAACATCTTTGTTTGAATAGGAAATCAAGCCCTGAATCGCCACCCCGAATCGCGGCAAATCGTCACAACACCGGGGGCTGAAGCGGTGGGAGGTGGTTGGGTGAATGTCAGACGCCGAACTATTTGGGTAATTTTAACATTTGTCGTAAATAAATAAATAAAGCATGCTTAATTAAACATTGTTTACTGCTCCATTGAGAACCTTGGATTTCACGTTGTCTCTTTCCGAGCGACTCGTTAACGTTAATTTAAACACGCGTGGAGGGTTGTGCTTAACGTGCGCTCGTGAACTTAACGAGCGTCGCGAACGTCACTTGCGCTGTTCATTTTATCCACGCCGCGAAATTAACGACTCAGAGGTTTCTCGAGCGTCGTGAATTTAACGAGCTTCGCTCGATTAACAATTAACGAGCGCCGCGAAGCTAACGGGCGCCGTTAGAGTCAACGACCCCGTCACCACCGCGCGACCCCGCCCCCACGCTTGCCCTGGCCCTTGCCCCCACGCGCGTGGCGCTACCAGCATGCCCTCGGAGGCCAGCGTGCTGTCGGCGGTCACGAGCTCCAGCAGCGCTCCCAGGAAGCCCATGTCTGCCTTGAGGGCCATCTCTTGAATGAGGACCTTGAAGTACCTGCCACGGGAGACACGATGGGACTTGAAAGCCACGCGGAAAATCAGATAGAGAAACGGCTCAGAGCGGCGGCAACCACGATTCAACGTCAGCCATCACGCCGTGTTTTGTGGCCCACCGTGCAGAAAAATGAAATCTGGTGTTTTGTGAAACAAACGTGTGGGCAAAAGTTCCGCGGACCGCTTCCCACGGCTCTGCGGACCACCGGCAGGTGGGAACTCCTGCCTGATAGCAAGGGTGGCGAGGGCCTACAGCCCGTGTGGGTCATTGTACTGTATCAGGCTCATAAAACTGACTTCATACGGCCCGCGGCCACATGAGGCGTACCTTCATCTGTCACCGTACGTGCATCTGAGCCGCACTCATTGGGTACTGGAGGGGAAAATTTCCAACCCGGCAGCAGCACTGCGTTTCTAACTGTAGCGGGCTCAGTTGGCGAGACCAAACTATGCTTGGCACTACATCATTACTCAAGGACGCTGCGGCATTAGCGGCAGGCATTTGAAAGCCCTCTTGGCTCTCAGTAACGAAATAGGATTCCACACCCCCCCCCCCGAGCCCGAGAGACAACGGGGTGGGGAACGGCACCATGGGGGTCCGGCGCACTGCACTCCGATCCTGGCAGACCCGAGTTCGATTCCCGGACGCAGTTAACATCGGTGGCGAGCGATATGTGAATTGGGTCTACTAAGCGCCACCGTGACGCTCGCCTCTCGGCACGGCACCGTCACCAACCCGGACTGACTCGCGTGGTCAATTATGGTGAAACATCCTCACGGCTAATGTGTCATGGGGGGTTTCCATCCAGCAAAGCACTAACACGTGACTTTACATTGTAATTATCCTCGTGATTATAGTTGTTGTTAAGAGACAATAATACTAATTAACAGAGTGATGTAAAATGGCTCGTGTGTGCCTCACTTGATCTGGGTGATCTTGCTGTGCTCCCCGACTCTCGTCACGATGCTCACGTCCACGAGCGGCTTGGGCTCTGCACCACGCACGCGCCATACGTGCGCACGTCACACACGCTCCGTGAGCACAAGCGAGATGCATAAACCCGTTCGCCGCCTGCGTGCCGTGTCGCTGGCGAGCGAGTGAGCGCACGCACCAACGTGTGTGGTGACGTCACCGCCACTTAGTGGCGAAAGGCGGTTGTTGTTGTTGTTGTTGTTCGTACTGGAGCGCGGAGCGGTAGCGCCAGCAGTTAGCGTGCTACGCTACGAACCCGGTGATCCAAATGTGATTCCCGCTCACGGGCAACACCGGTTACGATTATCTGAACCGACTCGGCCTTAAAATGAGCACCTGGTGCGGTGTGGAAAAACATCAACATTGGGGAGACGAAGGTGCTGGGCGTGGTGCTGGCTACCCACCCCCTCGTGTGCCATGCTGGCATTCATAGGTGCTTGCTAACAGCACTTGCCCCAACATCCTGTGAAAAAGGCTATAGGGGGGAATCTTTGTCTTTGTGTTCGTACCGGAGTCAGCGGCGATGGACTTGGGGGGTGGCACGGGGTGGAAGACGACGGGGAACACGGAGCCCGGCATCTGCGAGTCGATCTAACCGTCGTCGTGGTCGCGTCGAAGCAAAAATGTAAAAACACTCAAGGGACGGAACTCAACTCAACACAGCAAACGGTTCCTACGCAGAGTTAAATCTCTTCAGACCTCCTGCAAATGCAAGCTTCAGGCAAAACGTCGTCTCTACCTGCTAAAGTTGGCTGTGATAATTGCTCACCAACGCACCTGCCATAAGCTGAAACTGAAACCATTGGCACGTCGTTAAAACTAAACTATAAACTAGTTTTATTTCACCAGGTAAAGCCCACTGGGCTATACCGCTCGTTTTCAGAAGCAACCTGGCTATCACAAATGATAGCTCAACCAAGTGACTTATCATCACGTGGTCACTTATAGCAATAGCCAAATACTCTAAACGCATGTTGATTCTAAATGTGCAGGGGAAAACCAGAGGACCCGGAGAAAAATTCATGCGACCGCGAGGAGAACATGCAAACTAAAAAGATAAAGGCGTCACGGTCGGGATCGAACCCACAACCTCTTGTATACCAGGCAAGGTAGTTCATATCTCACCACCGTGGCACACAATTAAATGTGTTGGGCTATGTCGGGTGGTGGAGGGTCTTACGACTAAAATCTGACCAGATCCTTTCATGGCCTAACCAAAAAATCCATTACAAATAAAAATATTGGTTTCAAAAACCTAAGCGTTAACCTCTTATTCCGTGGAAACATACGTAGACATACGTCGGGTGTGTTGTCCTGGGCAGCCTGACAAAAGTTTGAAGCTTTGTTAGCAAGAACAAGCCTTACGAGATTATGTGTGTGTATGCGTGTATAGCCTTCGACACTTCACGTGTCCTCAAAGTGTACCTGGCCTGGCACAGGCGTCATGGCGACGTCACCGCCACTTAGTGGAGAATGGCGGCTGTTGTCGTTATGTACGGAGTATGTATATGGCGAGCGGCAGGGTAGCGGTTAGCGGGCTGCGCGACGAACCCAGCGACCCGAGTTCCAATCCCAGTGACGATTATCTGAACCAGTGCTGGGCCTCCCCGAGGTCGACTCACTCTCAAATGAGTACCTGGTGCGGTGTGTAAACGTCGCCACTGGGGAGAAATGGGCAGCCGGGCGTGGTGCTGTTCACCAACTGCCTCGTGACGTACCGGCCTTCATAGCTACTCCCTAATAGCACTTGCCCCAATAGTCTGTGAACGCTGTACGGGGGATTGTTGTCTTTGTACGGCGTGCACGAGTGAGCGTGCGTGCTACACGAGGGCACCCACCCCCCGCCCCCACCTGTATGCGGTTGATGCGCGCCCGCAAGCTCGTCTGGTGCGGCCAGGTCGTGTACTCCACGCGCACGCCTGGCAAGAAATGGCGGCGAATCGCCCTCGGATTTGGAGCCAGCAGCATCATGGGAGAGCTGGTGAAGTCCACCTGCATTGCCGCACAGACGCAGGGCACAGCCATTACCGTCCACACTTCAAGTTCGCAGGCTCAAGACTTTATTGTCTGAAACTGGCAAGGCCCCACTGAGCTGAGCAGCCGGGTTACAAGGACGATCGCAGCCCAAGACAGTCAGCAGTGGCGGCAGTTCTAGAAGACCGCAGGGTGGAGAGAACGTGCAATCGAAAAAGAGCAAAAACGGCAACTAATTATTCAAACGAAACTAAGTTCAAAAGTCAAAGACTCCCCATGCTCAAACCACGGCACTTGCCAATGTATGTATGTACGTTGAACTTTTTTCGCAGCTTAAGTAACCAACCGTTCTAAACAAACGAAACACACAAAAAGCATCGCTAAAGAAATTCGTTTTCCATCGAGATTTAAAGTACACAGCTTCAGTGGCTTCCTAACATCGGAAGAGCGTTCCAGACGGACGAAGAAGCACATCTGAAAGCGTGCGATGCGGCGACCGTCTTTGAGCATTAACCGCGGGGGTTGGAACGATAGCGATCGTAAGTGCCGGTGCCGCGTCCGCGATCACACGGTGTTCGAAGACGACGCCGGGCGTGAACCCGCGGGGGTGGAACGATGGCGGTGGCGGAAGCGCTGCACGTGCGGGCGAGCGATGCATCATGCCTCGATGTCCGAGTCGATGCGCACGCGTCCGTGCGCCTCCGCGCTGCCGTTGGACGACGCGAGCTTGACATAGCGCTCCTCCAGCAGGGCGCTCAGCTTCCCGCTCATCATCTTCCAGCGCCGCTTGGGCTTCTCCTCCCACACAACGCCCGAGCTGGCGACAGCAGCGAGCGTGCAACGAGAGAACGGGTGCAGCGGTGAGCGAGTTTGCGGCTACGTATATTTTTTTTTCCTTCCCCTTCCCCCAGCGAATGATTTGCGTAAAGAGTTTCCGTGAGATGCTGCGACGTCTGAGCACCACGTAAATTCAGCTCCCCGAACCGAGGATCCTCACGCGGACTCTCGCAACTGTGGCGACGTTCCGTTTTACCGCAATTTCACAAGCCGGCGAAATAACTTTCCAAAAACATTTTCGCTGCAGCCGACGCAGCGCCCTCGGCCGCGACCCTCGCGGAAAGGCCCCATCGCCCTCCCAACCTGGTGATGCCGATGAAGGAGATCTCCTGCTTGGCGTCGTCGTTGACGAGCGACAGCCCGAGCGCCTGCAGCGAGAGCGCGACGCGGGAGCGCGCGCGCTCCACCAGCGGGGCGTCCTGCGCCCGCGCCACCACCGCCACGTCCGCCGTGAAGAGCAGGCAGCGCTGCAGGCCGTCCAGGAAACAGGCCCACGACACGCGCAGCTCCCCACCAATCTCCACCTTCCCGCCGTCGTCCTGGGGCGGAAGGAGGGCACAGAAGGGTGAAGGTCATTGGGTCAAGCTGCCTCACCCACATCCGGGTCAGGAATTCGCCTACCTCCACCTTGGATATCCACACAACCGACGAGCTGATCCTTGCTGAACAAAAAGTAGCATAAATGATCAGACAACACACCTCCTTTCCCATATTTGTCTCTCAATAAATCAAATACGTTTTTTAGTTTCTTTAAAAATACCATCAGCCACACGGCCTTCTCGGAAGGAAGAGGATTTCTTCAGCAACATCGGTTTAATCGGAGCAAACTCTGGACCGGGTTTAACATCCAGTGTTCAAATGCCAACCAGAGTCGGGCCGGCTTTAAAATGTGCACCTCGACAGCCGTTTCGCTGACGCGATGCAAAAATAAATCAAACTTCATTTGTTTAATGCGCAGAGACAAATATGGGAAGAAGGTGCGTTTTGTTATCATTCTGTAAATATTCTCCACAACGACACATTATTTTTTTGTCTGCTCAAAGATGCTCGTTTTTCCACTGGTCTCTGTGATGTCTACCCCCTACTATTCTACACGGTATTTCAACCCATACGGTCTTTAAAATTAATAACAATAATTCTTTAAATAGCCAGAAGAGCCACACAGAGTCCAAAGACTCTCTTTCAGGAGAGTTCTGCATTGGTATATTTTGGCCAATACCAATAATATTTTTATTTTTAGCTCTGGGAGGAATCCAAATAACCTACAGGAAAACCCATGCAGAGAAGGTGGCACAACGTATAAATGCACAAAGACGTTTGAATCAGGATTCGAACCCAGTAAGCCAAGAGTGCCACTACTGCAGCAACACCTTTAAGACTCACAATATCATCAGATTCGGTTGCATTAAGATACTCTATCAATCCAAAACCAAACGTGATACTGCTGTGCTGTGATCGTTTGCGCTCACCGGTTCGATTCCATCTCCCCTAGCGTGAAACAATGGGGGACGTTTCTTAAGTCCCCTCTCCTCCACGCCTACGTCTACCCGCAGTATAAACTAGTGCGCCATAATAATAAGGTTTTTCCCATTTTTTCAGGCAACAAAACTGAAACCTTTTTACAAGGATTAATGTCTGCATTAACCACAATACCTGCAGTCAAAATGCAAACAAAAAACATACTATGATAATATATGCATTGTCCTTGAAACTGATTGGTCCACACCAAGGGACGGCTTTCTTTTGAGCCTCGACCCAATTGGTGCTCGACCAGATGACACCAAAAGGCGTACAGCTCAAAGACAATGCACTATATCAAAGTAATGAGGGCTCAGGGTGAGCATCAGATAGTGCGCCGTAGTTAGTCGGTCAGCAGGTCTAGCGCTGTGGGAAAATGTGTGTGCGCTCCCGCGCCTTCCAGGGCGGTCTGACCAGCATTGAAGGGGCTGGGCAAAATACCCTGCAGAGAAGATGGGGCTCTCTTGAGCTCCTTCGAGTGGCCAGCAGTGGCATGAGAAAGCAATTACAGCGCTGCGCCTTTTTCGAATACAAAAACAGCCCATTGTAGTAATTGGGAGCGGAGCCCAGCTGGGCTTGGCCGCCTGCGTCTTCAGATAGATTAGCGGGGCTCATGATGAGCTCCTCACCTCTTCGCGCGGGAGGGGCACTGTATTGACAAACGTGCGGCCCAGCCGAGCCAGAATAACACCTGGCACCGGCGGAGGAGGGGGGGAGGGGTGAATGGGAGAGTCATTAAATGCCCTCGGTTGTATTTGTCTTATATCGCTCAAGGTCAAATTTCTTTTTTAAATAAATCTCAGCAATCGCAGCTGGGCTGGGGCAGTCTTACATTAAAAAGCAATTAGGCGATTTAATTTTACGTGCAGATATATACACGACCGGGCTGAGACCATCAATTCACCACACTTGGGAAGAACGCCTTTCACGTGGGCTGCAGCTAAGAATAAGACCCAGTATATCTCAGTGGTGCCGGCTCATTGCTCATTGCTCTGCCATGGGCATTTAAACACACGTGTGTGTGTATATATATGACAGTGAGCAAGGTACCATGCTGGCCTGCCAGATGGGTAGTGTAAGGGCACCTCTGCTACGAAGTATCCCAGACAGTATGAGAGTGACTGATAAGATGTAAAGTTTTAAAATGTCATTTTAATTCTTCTTCTTAATTATACGTGTTTTTTTATTGTTGTTATGACGCGTTGTTAAACACAAGTGATTGTTTGTTGTTAGAGCGATAAGTCAAGAAATATCTAAGCCTGTGCCCTCTGGTTACCCTGAGTTAAAAGTGGTGGTGCTGTGTCCTGGCACAGTCCTGGCCCAGGTTGACTCAACAACTCGACACACATCAACAACAAGCCTACGGGCAATGTTAGTCGATGGATCATGTTAGTTTATGGGCAATATTAGTCTATGAACATTATTAGTCTGTGGGCAATGTTAATCGATGGGCAATGTTAGACTATGGACAATGTGAGTCTATGGGAAATGTTAGTCAATGGGCAATGTTAGTTAATGCACATTGTTAGTCTATGGTAATGTAAGTCTACGGGCAATTTTAGTTTATGGACAATGTTAGTCCATGGGCAATGTTAGACTATGGACAATGTTAGTCCATGGACAATGTTAGTCCATGGGCAATGTTAGTCCATGGGCAATGTTAGTCCATGGGCAATGTTATAGTCTGTACAATGTTAGTCTATGGGAACTGTTAGTCCATGGGCAATGTTAGTGTGTACAATGTTATTGTGTACAATGTTATTGTGTACAATGTTCGTGTGTACAATGTTCGTGTGTACAATGTTAGTGTGATTATGTTCGTGTGTACAATGTTAGTGTGTATAATGTTCGTGTGTACAATGTTAGCGTGATTATGTTCGTGTGTACAATGTTAGTGTGTACAATGTTAATGTGTACAATGTTAGTGTGTACAATGTTCGTGTGTACAATGTTCGTGTGATTATGTTAGTGTGTACAATGTTAGTGTGTACAATGTTCGTGTGTAACAATGTTAATGTGATTATGTTCGTGTGTACAATGTTAGTGTGTACAATGTTCGTGTGTACAATGTTCGTGTGTACAATGTTAGTGTGATTATGTTAGTGTGTACAATGTTAGTATGTACAATGTTCGTGTGTAACAATGTTAATGTGATTATGTTCGTGTGTACAATGTTCGTGTGTACAATGTTCGTGTGTACAATGTTCGTGTGTACAATGTTCGTATGATTATGTTAGTGTGTACAATGTTCGTGTGTACAATGTTCGTGTGTACAATGTTCGTGTGTACAATGTTAGTCAAGGGGTAGAAAGTGGTGGAGCGGTGTCCTTGCCCGATCCTGGCCCAGCCTGGGCTCAACAAATCATTCAACGAGCCAGAACGATGGCACTAGTGCACGATGTGTCGCCAGCACCGCGCCCGGCCGCCGTTATCGCCCCAGTGCCGATTTGTAGGCTGCCATTGTCGGCAAAGTCACATGCCTCAGAGATGCCGATTTGCTGCAGCCACTATTTTTCAGAGGGACAAAAATACCCAATAGGTCACATTTTAGGCAATCTCTCAATACCCTTTATATATCTCTCTCTCTCTCCGTTAAAATGAAGGTTCAGTGTCTGCAATGTCACCTGTTATATTTACATTTTTATTTTAGGGCAGTGCTATTGATGAAGTTTTGGTACATTTTCCGAGCAAAGGCATTTGGTGATAACAAGCCATCGAGCTGAAACTTCTGGCAAGAACAGTCGAGGGGAGCCAGGGAGAGGACACGGGAGCGTGGTCGGCCGTCGCCAGCGAGGGAGGCAGCGGGGTGGGTGCGGGAGCCGTGCGTCCGTCGGTGCGGTGCGGGCACCTTCAGCAGGTCGAGCTCGTAGCTCTGGTCGCAGCAGGTCCAGCGCAGGTGGCGCTTGCGGCAGGGGTCGCTCCACGTGTAGAGCACGCTCTGCCCGGGCTGCAGCGTGCGCTTGTCATTTGAGTCGCTGTCACCGCCACCACCACCACCACCACCACCACGATCACCGCGAAATGTCAGCATCACCGGCAATGATGTCATCATCATCAACAGCAGCACCACTTCCATTTTCATCATTATCGGCAGCAAAACTACCACCTCCGCTATCAGCACCATCAACACCATCTGCGGCAAAGCCCGAGGACAACGATTGACTGCGCTGACGAACGCAGACCAGTTGATAACGGAGGACAGTGGGAGAAGAGAGGGGAGTTCGGAGCGCGGAGTGCCGAAGGCGTGTGTTACCTGCTGTATGACCGGTGGCATTACTTGTCGGCCATCAATAAAGAGACCTTTGCTGAATACCGCGTGAGCCGAATCCTTCCACTGGTTTAAACAAAACAAAAATAACAAATCCCCGTTGTGCGTGGTTGGGGGGGGGGGGGGTGAGCGGTACCTCTGCGTGTAGGCGACGACCTCGTGCGAGTGGTTGACAAGGTGCACCGGCGCGGAGCCCTCAAAGTAGTCGGCGAAGGAGATGACGGTGGAGTGCTCGCCCAGGCTCACGTCCATCACCAAGCCCACGTACTGCGTGGTGGTGGGGGGGGGCAGACGGACGACGTGCCCGGAGGCGTTAGGCCAACTAATACCCCTGCAATTCGGATCTCTACTCTGGTCCGTGTTTCACTAGAACACCTTCACTGGGTGAAATCATATTTTTTAAACTGTCTCTTTGCTCAATTTGTAATCAATCATTTTGTTGTCAGGTGATGAGACGAAGTGTCAACGCGGAACTCTTGGCTGGGCAGTGCATTCGCAGAACTTGCTATGACGGAACTCGTTTTGACATCCCTTCAAGTGACCTCTTACCCACACTAGGGGGTGCACTTTTCTACATGCCCTTCTCTAGGGATGGCAGTCCATTAACATTTTATTAATTCTCATCAGTAGAATCTGCCAAATGGGAGTGACAAATATAATGGGGCTTTTTTTTTGTGTGTGCAGTCCCCGGTGATGAGCAAGCTTAGACAATCGACTCGCCAAACGAGAAAACCCAATTCAATCACGGGTGGCCATACCACGGATTCCAACCCGGGCCCCTTAGTTCGTGATAGCTCAACGTTCCAATGCTTGAGCCGCCCAGACACTTGCAATATACATTCTCCCATCACAGGAATCACTACAAATCCATTCTTGGTGGATATTTGATCAAATCCAACACCAGACGAAAATAAAGTGATTTACAATTCAAAATTCACATCACTTTTGTTTTTACATCTTACACTTGGCTGTAAACAACATTAATCACCATACAGCCACCTCGTGTTGTTGCTTTGGCTCTAAATTATATTTTACAATAATTATTTGGCGATGCCACTTCTGCTGCTCCTGCAGCAACCCGTCCGTCACAACGCTGTATGTGACCTTAAGAAGAAAAATAAATATAATAGGTGACGTTTTGGGCAATGGACCTTTCTTCATGGCACATAAATAATATATGTTGATATATTTTATTTATGTGCTATGAAGAAGGCCCATAGCCCCAAAATGTTACCAACAACATATTTCCTTTCAAGACCACAGTGTTAGTGACAGATGCCTGAAATTCCTATTTGGTGGTTGTTGCTCCGATTTCTCTTTGCCTCGTTATTCTACTGTTTTTTTTATTTGATTGCTTCTGTCATTTTAGTGACGAGGTCACTCCCGCAAATGCAGGCTCATCCTGACCTCCTGAGCTCTCACCTGGTCAAAAATAAACACTCGATACTTGGAGAGAAAAAAACCTTCACCCTCAAATGCAAAACCTCTCCCATGATGACATTTTTTCTCTCGAATCGAACGTAGAGATGATTCCACCCGGCAGCGCATTTTGAAGTGAAAAAACATCGGCGACCAACGTCAGATTGTCCCGACCCCGCCACTTCGGGAAGGGCGAAGTTTTCAAGATGCAAATCATATTGACGACAAAGCGACAAAATAAACCCTTGGATAAGATTCGGTTTGAAATATTGCAAGAGCCCGTTAGACCTGGGGTGTTTATTGTAATTGTTTTATATCGTTTTGACCCCTTGCGCAATTTCCTTGAGGCACCTTCGGCCCAACGGACCGCTCGTTAAATTTATCCCCAACGCTGACACGCGGGGGGCCAATCAGAGTCCTGGAGAAATCCGAAGAGCTATGAAGCTCTTTTTTTCACAGATGTCCAGTAGGGGGCACGGGTTCAGAAAGTTACAATAGCAAATCAATCGCCCCTTCAGATGCAACATCGATTCCGCCCCAAGTGTGTTACACTGTGATTGCTGTAAAGGCGCACAAGGGCATCGTTAGCAATTGGACTTTAAGGGAATGTATATGCACAAACCTAAACGACCCTCACCACCTTTCATATCTCGATCACTGTCTTGTCACGGGCAAAAACAGCAACGTAAAGTTTCGGGCTGCGGGGAGCGCTGGCGCGGTAGTTGGCGTGCTGAGCACCCGGCGAACCGAGTTCGATTCCTGGTCCACAGCTAATGTCAGTGTTGGGAACCGGACTTGGGCACCCCCCTTCATCAACCTACAAGCTATTACATTTTTATATTTTATTAGAGTAAGGCCCCACTGAGCTTTGTAGCTCTTTTCGTAAGCGACCTGGCTATCAAAAACAATAGCTCAACGAAGTGGCTTATTCACGTGGACATTTATAATAGCAGCCAAATACTCCAAAACGCATGTTGAGTCTAAATGTGGAGGGGAAAACTGGAGGACCGGGAGAAAAATCCACATGACCACGGGGAGAACGTGCAAACTCCAAATATACAGCAGGCGTCAGGGTCGGCATTGAACCCACGATCTCCTGCATACCAGGCAAGGGAGTTAACACCGCACCACCGTAGGGCCCCTGCAGTGTCCAGCGTGGTGAAGAATGGTCAAACAAACTCCCATGACCGACACGGCAAGGGCAGGCCTAATTACAAGGGCCTTTCTTCACGGGAGAAAGATTTGTTCGCGACTCAACGTCTGTTCATGGGAATTGTTCACTTCTCAACTCAAAACTGTTCACGTCAACTCCCTCCGAACGCCATCGCCTGTTATTCGACCAAACATGTTATTTGGTGAGGCGGCTGCTGCTCCTGCTGCTGCGTTGGCAGTGGTGCCCAAGCACAATGAACAAAACTCAACTCATTCATCAACAACACTGTAGCCTTCAAATGGTCCTTCTTCATAGCACCATGTGCAACTATACTATACCTCCAAAAGCCGCAGTGTTATTCAAGAGCGTAATGAGGTTTTTTTGTACCAATCCAACAGGTTTGTCTCGCCTCTCTGTGCACTCAACAAAGAAGCACTGCCCGAAACGTCGGCCTGCTATGTAATGATGATTGTCGTAAGGCAATGTTCATCATTAAGGTGGTGGTTGGTGGTGAGAATATTTTTGGTTTGTGCTCAATTGGCTTAGTGAAGCGCTTGGGACGGCAGTGGCAGGGCAAGAAAGAGGAGGTCGCACGCCCTTCGCCGTGCCTTGACGATGTCCCCTGTGAGAAATTCACATCAGCCGTTCCTGTCCCTGTGCCCCCCCCCCCCACTCCCACCACAGCCCCTCCAAGACACCCCCAACTCACCAGGACCCCCGTCGTGACGGCATGGCGCGCACACGCGTGTAACGCTCCCAGTCGAACGCCCCACGCCGTGAGCTTAGCGACCAACGCCGCTCGATCGGAGACCGAGTGTCGAGTCGAGGGCATCGTGATGCCAACACGGTCGCTCGTTCAACGATTACGCGCTCGCGTGTCGTCTTGATAATTCACGGCTGAAGTGTATCCAAGTCACAACGAGCAGTCGGTGGGGGCAGCGTATTCCCACCCTCTCCTCGTACGACAGTCACGCAAATATGAGTTTTATTTTAATGGCTGGAATTTAGCGGTGCCGGCTCGGTGTCCTGACCACGTGAGAGATTCGGTGAGCGCGCGGAGCGTGACCACGACGGTGGCCGGTTCGCGGATGGCCACGCAGGTGACCGGTGTGCGGCGTGTAATCGGGAGCGCGCAGTTAGCAACCGTTGTCATAACAACGGTCGGCACGGGGAAGGGGGCGGGGGGGGAAATTTGCGCGGGGAAAAAAATGAAGCTGCAAAAGAGCGTCACCTACCTGGACGTTGCCCTTGGCAATCTTTGACATCCAGATGGTCACGCAGACACAAAGAGGAACATTTAGGGTGGGAGTGGGACTCGACACATGACGGTGTTAAAATGGTTCGCTGCGACACACACACGCACAAACATACATGCACACACGCACACACGTACACATACACACCCCCATGCACCCACACGCACAGGGCAGATTCCTCCAACCGGGCAAGCAATCTGGGCCGAAGTTACCCATAGCCTTGGTGTGCTTGAATCTCTCCGTGAGACTTGTAAGTCTTTCTCGACCAGGTCCGTCTTTCTAAAGGGACGCGTGTAAGCGGCTTGAGTTCTTGCCTGGTAAAAATAAACTCTCCCTGACTTCTGCTCATTTAACCAACTTTAGCAAGGGACATTAAAACGTGGAGCACTGCAGGCTGACCTTGCCCTACGAATGAAACAAATTAACCTCCGGGGTCCGTAGTTTTCGGAAGCCCAAATATGACATGGAACTTTCAAACTTTTCGACCGCAGGGCTTGACTACAATTTACACCAAAGTTCAGCTGTCTCTGCCGATCGAAAACGTGACGGGGAACGAGCGTTGTTCACCGGCACCGGCGAACCCTCGGCACGACGGGCAGGCCTCGCGACTTGAGCAAGAGTTTAAAGCCATCATAAATGTAAAATAAGACGTAGACGTTACATCGCATCGGCACGCGGTTGGAGAGAATGTGCCGTTCGGCGCACACTCCACGACAACTCGGCACCAGCAATGACAACGCGCACTGGGACGAGGGAATCATGACCAGAGCCTTTCGCGTGTGGCACATGGGATAGGACAGGACAGATGGGACGGGGATGAGCCAGACTGTGATCTTTCCAGTAAAATAAATAAATATTAATTTCAGGCTAAGTCAATCTCGGGGGAATACTCGACAAGTCCACAGACCGAGTGCATTCATTTGTCTTATTATTCTTGCGTTGGCTGATTGGATCGGGCTGTGATGGGATTTTCCCAACGGGAAGTTAAGGTGGTAAACTGGATACATTCTCTTTGGTTCTATTGGGTAAAGTCACGTAGGTGAAAATAAAATAACAAAAAATCATGACGTTTCGGCCACAACACAAGCGGCCTTCATCAGGTGAAGGGACGAGACTGTCTGGTAGGACAGCGCTGGAGTGAAAAAGCCAAGCTCAGATCACGACCTTTAAGCTGTGTGAGAAGAAACAAAGCGCCTTGACAAAGGAATTAGCATATAATTTAGCATTGAAATGGCTGAGTTATTAGCTTGTGACTGGTCACAGAAATGGCTATATTAAAGTTAAAGCATACACATCCGCAGAGGCACCCCTTGACAAAGGAATTAGCATAGAATTTAGCATTGAAATAGCTAAGTTAAAGCATACACATCCGCAGAGGCACCCCTTGACAAAGGAATCAGCATAGAATTTAGCATTGAAACAGCTGAGTGACTAGCTTGTAACTGGTCACAGAAATAGCCACGCCAAAGTCAGAGCATACACATTCACCGAGGCACCCAGCACAAATCAAACAGGAGAACCCACCACCGAAACAACCAGGCGAACCTAGCATTGAAACAACTGAGTGATTAGCCAGCGACCGGTCACAGAAATGGCCACGTCGAAGTCAAGGCCTACACATCTGAGCCACTCACAGCAACTGGGCACACAATACAATATATAACGAATACTACATTTCTGTGACCGGTCGCTGGCTAATCACTCAGTTGTTTCAATGCTAAATTCTATGCTGATTCCTTTGTCAAGGGGTGCCTCTGCGGATGTGTATGCTTTAACTTAGCTATTTCAATGCTAAATTCTATGCTAATTCCTTTGTCAAGGGGTGCCTCTGCGGATGTGTATGCTTTAACTTTAACATAGCCATTTCAGTGACCAGTCACAAGCTAATAACTCAGCCATTTCAATGCTAAATTATATGCTAATTCCTTTGTCAAGGCGCTTTGTTTCTTCTCACACAGCTTAAAGGTCGTGATCTGAGCGTGGCTTTTTCACTCCAGCGCTGTCCTACCAGACAGTCTCGTCCCTTCACCTGATGAAGGCCGCTTGTGTTGTGGCCGAAACGTCGTGATTTTTTGTTATTTTATTTTCACCTACGTGACTTTACCCAATAGAACCAAAGAGTATGGATCCTAGCAGTCACGAAAGCTTTAAATCTAGAAGCTGGATACACTTAAAATATTTGTTTTAAATGATGTGCGATTATCTTGATGAAACCCAGGTCGCCCTTGCAAAAGAGCCAATGATGTTGCATGTGACTCGATGGGTCTGTCGTATCTCCTGGCTAAATAAAGGATACCGGATACTGACCGACTGAACTGCCGGTGTACATAGGCGACTGCGCCCATGGCATTGCAATCGCATTTGGGTACCAACAGCCCAACGGGCTTTGCATTGCTACGTCGCGATTGGTGATCGTCAGTGCGACACAGCCGCCGTCTTGTGCTGTGGGCCGCCACGTGGAATTCAGCACCTTCCCTTGAACCGTGCGGACGCACATAGCACCGCAGAGACTTAACGAAGGTCATTTTAGGTGGAGAAAAATAAAACGTGCGATACATTCTTCGGCTTCGATTCTCGACGGCGCGAAAACGCAACGGGCAGCGAGTAGGAGGCGAGGAAAGATACGGGCCGCGGCGGGACGGACGGACGGCGGACAGCAGACGGACGCACCTTGCCCTCGAGCTGCAGCAGAGTGCCGTTATCCTGCTGCGTGAAGCTGAAGGCCTTGGAGCACTCGCCCGAGCCGTGAATGCGCACCTGAAGCCGCTGGGACGTGTCCTCCGGCCAGAACGGCACACACTGCGGAGCCGGGACGACGGGCGCGACGGGGACCGCCGGGCACAGAAAGGCACGGCCGTGAGTCGGGGGGGGGGTGGTGTGGGGGAACGTAAGAATGTCGGAGACACGGCAGACAAGTGTCACCGGATCCCGAACCGATGAAGTCTCGCGTCGTTTCAAACGAGACGTCACATCTGACCGAGGTTAATTTGGTTCTGAAAAATAATTGGTGCGTCGTTGAACGTGAGCGGTGGCGCTTCCCCTCCCACCACCCCTCCTCCGGCGTTGGCACCTTTCGAACAAGGACGTCGCCACAATGCACGCTTTCAGATGTGCTTCTGCGGCCGTCTGGAACGCTCTTCCTTCCGATATTAGGAAGCCGCTGGAGCTTTGCATTTTCAAATAATCTAGTTTCTTGAGAACTGCTTTTTGTGTTTAGTTTGTTGTCCTCCAATTAGCACGGTTGGCTACGTACGGTGCGTAAGAAGTTCAACTTACGGTATATATATATATAAAAAAGTCAAAAATTGTTTGTGTGTGGGTTTGTGTGTGGGTTTGTGGGTTTGTGTGTTTGCGCGCTTGCGAAGAATTTGGTTCTCTAACGGTGGGGTTTACGTAAAATAAAAATAGCCAGGTACCACGCCGTAAGCCCCGCCCGTGAGCAAGCGCTATTCCTTTTTCACATCCGTCAACTTTTAATTAGTTTAATTAGCGATTTAGTGCGCTTTATTTTTATTTATTTATACCATACCAACTCACGCGCCTTGGTGGGGGGGATGGCCCATGCCAAGTCGCACGCCTTCGGTGGGAGTGAGGGGGACATTTTCTTTCGCGTTAAAAATGCTTTCGAAGTACACTAAACGCTCAGGTAAATTCTTCACTGTGTGATGTCCCCCCCACCCCGATTTGTGCAGTTACTACTACTACTATACAGTCGGTAGACACTACCACTATAGGCCATAGATATTACTGCAGAGCGGCCAGGGAGATTGTGGCTGGGGGGGGGGGTCAGGGGTAGCAGCCCAGCCCCAGCCTGCCAAGGTGCCACCTCGGCCGGCTGGACAATCTAGGTGAGGCCGGAGGCTCTGCACGGGACTAGGCCTCACCACGCCACTCTGTCAAGTGAGTACTTTGTGCTATAGAGTCGATAACTACTGCCATAGAGTCAGCATGTATTACTGTAGCAGGTACCACCACATTTGGTATGCACTGCTGTAATCATAGTAGGTACCACCACAGTCAGTACGCACTGCTGTTAGATTTTTAAGAGTAGTTTTGAAATATTTTTTTGGCCCGGGCAATGCCGGGTATATAAGCTAGTATATACATATAGCACATACATACCTTGTTGGACGGCACGAGGAGCCAGGCGTCGGAGCCGGTCTCGGACACCTCCACGTCGAGACGGGACTTGTTGGCGAGCGAGAAGTAGGGCTGGAAGGAGACCACCTTGGTGAGCGTGAAGCTCGTCAGCGAAATCGTGACACCCACCTGGGTGGCCGAGCGGGAGGGAAGTGGGAGGGAGGTGACAGGGAGTAGGGATTAACGATGGTGGCCAGGGGTGGAGGGGTGGGCAGTGGGGGGGGGGGTGTTCACAATCTTTCATCATTAGTTCGTTCATTTGAGAACTTTATACTAAATTATTTGTGCCTGTGTTCGTAGGTTTATCAATACAAAGGACCACGCATGAATATTACATGAATGGAAATACTTTTTATCGTTTAGATACGTTGTCCAACATGGTTTTTAAGTTTCACTAAGATAACAAAATTAACTGTGAGGATGCGGACAGCCGTGTTACGGTACACGGTATCTTGACGTCATTGTCATGCCTCTCCCGTGAACGTCAACACGTCGACACGGCTAACACCCCGCAACCACGACATCGTACATGGCGTCAGGAGGAACCGCGGACGAGCAGGAAGGCAGCCGCGTGGTGAGCCAGCGCCAAATTCCCCCTCCCCCCCCCCCTCCCAAGCTCTGCGGTCCTCTATACATTGAGGTGTTACCAGCCCATTCATGAGCGTTTGCACGTGGGAGGAAAACGAAGCATCCGGAGAAAACCCTCGCGTGCGAGGGGGAAACACTCGATCCCGTATAGGCGGAAACAGGCTTTTTGCTGGACTGCACCGCCTTCTCCTGGCTCGCCAGGGTATGGCTCCTCCTCGGTGCCAACAGGAAGGGAGTTTTGCAACATTCGTGCGGCGATCCACCAACCCTCGTCTGGATTGCAGGCCACAAGCGCAGCCACCACCGCCACCGCCGCCGCCCGGCGAATCGTAATCACGCCCAGACGGGGAGAATTGGGGGGGGATCTGGATGAGGATCTCGGCGGACCCTCACCGCGTACTCCATCTTCTTCTTGGAGCTGCACTTGATGCAGCCGCTGCTCCCCACCGTGTCGAGCGAGAAGTCGGAGGAAGGGTCACTGTCGCTCACGCGCAGCTGCACCTGTGCTCGCGCGCGCACGTACACAAGCACACGGCACACGAGGGGTCCGGGTCACTGGTTAAGGTCAGGGGACAAAGAGATCCAACTGGGGCACAGAGCTGGTTCAAACTCCAGTATACGTGACCCTCCCTGCTGAAATGGCAGTTGGCGATTCCCTAAGTAGCACCAGCCATTGCGGACTTCCCCACGCAATGATGCTAAGTTTAACGACCCGAGAGGGATGATGGGGTGAGTCAACCTCCGATTCGGGATTTCAACTCGCTGCCTTCAGATGGCGAGCCGCTCGCTCTACCGCTCAGTCACCTGGCTGGTTTCCTGGGGCCTCATCACAGTGGCTAAAATACAAATATATTTTAATTGTTTCTGTCTTCTTTTAACCTGCACTTCCCTACATCGTACCGATGCACAGAGCCAGAGATCCCCCGTATTGCCTCAACAGACGATTGGGGCAAGTGCTGTTAGCGAGCACCTATGAAGGCACACGAGGGGGTGGTTGGCCAGCACCACTCCTGGTCCCAAGTGGCGATGTTTACACATTGCATCAAGTATTCATCTGAGGCCGAGTCGACCAAGGGGAGGCCCAGAACCGGTTCAGATAATCGTCACTGGGGGCGCCGGGTTCGTTCAGATGTGCTTCTGCGCCCGTTAGGAACACTCTTCCCTCCGATATTAGGAAGCCACTGGAGCTATGCCACTTTCAAATCTACATTTAAAACTCATTTCTTGAGAAGTGCTTTGTGTGTTTAGTTTATTGTCCTTCCCCCCGCACCTCCAGCTAACACGGTTGGCTACATACGATGGGAAAGAAGTTCAACATACGGTACATACTAACTCTACGCGCACGCGCACCGACCCGCACGTGCTCACCTTGTTTTTGTTGAACATGACCTTGGGCTTGAAAGCGAAGAGGTAGGGTCCCTCGTTGCCAGGCGGTTGCTTGTGATAGGCGTCGTCGGCGCGGTACTGCAGCATGCGGCCCGTGCGGTTCAGCATCCAGTAGGGGCTGAACACGGCCGCAGTGCGCCGGCCCTCGCTCTCCGTCAGCTGCAGTTTCGCGTCGAACTGCCGCTGCGGGGGCAGCAGCGTCTCGTCCTGAGCCGGCGCCGCCGCCGCCGCGCCGGACGAGGAGCCGGGCCCGGCCGCGTCGACCGAGAAGGAGAGGTGGGACAGCTCGTCCTGGCCGTCACGTGCGCCGCACACGCACGTCCAGTCGCGGCCCAGGTAGCCGTGCAGCGACAGCTCCAGCTCGGCGCTCGACTCGCTCGCCTGGCACACGTCGGCCGAGTGGCCCGTCTCCAGCCGCCCGTGCACGTCCGACCCCTGGGTCGCACGACGGGGAAAGGCGGTGGGGGGCAGTGGGGGGCGGTGCGACCGATCCGTTTGTTAGCAAGCAACCTACGTCAAGTACTTTTACCTGCAGTTTTTCAATAAGCAAAGCTATCGGTGACTTTGAAAGGCCAAGTCCCAAGTGAGGTCCTGTTTAAATTACCACTGAGGCATTGGTGCTCATAACCTGTTTTTTCAGCCATGAGCCAAGAGTGGGGTGAATCTATCCGAAGGTCAACCGCTGCTGACTTCCCCACACAGTGGTATGCGTTTTAGTGACATGGAGCAAGAGATGATGGGCCGAGTCAACCCCCAACCAGGATTAGAATTCGAAACCTTCTGACTGAGCCACTCGTTCTTCCGCCAAGCCACCAGACCGGTCACTTAATAAACCGAATTCTATTCTCACCAATCAGGCAGTGATGGGATAGCATGGCATAGCCCTCGACGTGTAACCAACTCCTGAGTCGTCGCGTGCCTACACAGTACAGCACTACACATGGCAGCACAACGTGGCACATCGCGACACTAAGTGGCATTGGGGCACCGCGGTGGCAAGGAAATGTTATCTCCATCGCCTGGTATGCAGGAGGTCAGGGGCTCGATCCTGGATCCTGACAATGGCTGTTCTATATTTGGGGTTCTCTCTCTCTCTCCCTGTGGTGGTCACGTGGATTATTCTCCGGGTTATTCCACATTTAAAATCAATGTGCGTGTAGATTATTTGGCTGCTACTGTAAAATCCCACGTGCAATGTTGAAATAAGCCACTTCAATGAGCTTATCATGTGTGGTCAGGCCGCCTGCAACCAGTAGCTCAGTGGGCTTCACCTGGTAAATAAAATAGTTTAGTTTAGCTAGTTAGTGGCACAGCGTGACGGTGTCGTGCAAGGAGGCACAGCGTGGCAATACGCGGGCACAGCCAGGCACAGCGCAGCACAATGCGCCACCACGATCGCGAGGCGTGGCACGCGGTACCTTAAGGCGGTAGGAGAGCGGGAAGGGCATGAGGTTGCGCAGCGTGAGCGGCGGGCGCAGGTGGATGAGGCACGCGGGGCCCGTGCGCTCCTCCTCCGAGCAGCAGTAGGTCACGCAATCGTCCACGGTGGTCGCCACGATGGTGAGAGGGCGCCCGCCCTCCTGCGCCGCGGGGCACCGCAGCACGGCTCGCGACACCGCGGCGTTGCCGATCAGGCCCACCCAGGACATCTCGGCGTCGCCGAAGCCCTCCAGGCCGGGCCCCGCCGGCTGCACGTACAGGTCCTGCCTGCGCAGCGTAACCCGAGGGCGACGCGAGCCCAACGCAAGCGGGAAAAAGATACGGACGGTAAACGAGCCGGCCGAGAAGACTGCACGCGTCAGCGTTGACTTTTTGGGTCAGAGCGCGGTGGCGAGATGTTTCCAACCTCCTGCCTGGTATTCAGGAAGTCGTGCGGGTTCGGTCCTAACCCTGACGCTAGTTGTATATTTGGAGTTTGCGTGTTCTCCCCGTGGTCGCGTAGATGTTTCTCCATGTCCTCCAGCTTTTCCATCCGCATTCGTTTAAGATTACTTGGCTGGTGTACATTTCCACATAGTAAGTGACTTCGTTGAGCTATCGTTTGTGGCCAGGTAGCTTCTGGAAAAAAACAATATCACCCAGTGGGCCTTACCGGGTAAAATAAAAAATACTAACAAAAACATTGTAATGGAAAAATGTGTGTCGTACTCCGCCCTCCTCCACCCGACAAGGCCAATTAATAAAGTTGTCACGTCATGAACAAACACGCTGCCAATGTAGTGCTGCTTCAACAGCACTACCGGTGTTGGAGAGCCATCCGCACACGTTTAACATTGGGGTGTAAATGTGTGCGCATTTGCTCTCCAGCACACTGGTTTGTTCACGCGACTCATGTATTAATTGGCGGCGTAGAGGAGGGTGAACGGACATACATTTTACTCAAGCAATAGGACCAAAAAAATCAACCGTGGATAAAAATATTGCGAAAGCCAACGCGCGTAAATAATCATGCAAAACGCATGGATTGTGCAACACTCTCCAACGTGCGACTTTAACCACCGGATTAGCGGTTGTTGTCGGAGCTGAAAGCAATAATTGCCTGTTCGTAAATCTTCCACTTTGCGCTGGTTGTGGCTCCACATGCTGGGCAACACTTTGATCGACGTGAGCATGGGCTTTACACAGCAAGGGGGAAGGCACTATCCTTGCTGCGGCAGTCACTGCATTGCGCGCTTTCAGATGCGCTTCTGCGGCCGGCTATAATGCTCTTCCTTCCGATATTAGGAAGCCATTGGGAGCTATGTACTTTTAAATCTAGATTGAAAACTACTTTCTTTACAACTACTTTGTGTCTATATTCTTAGTTTTTTCGGTAAAGTCACGTTGAAGAGAAACAACAAAATAACAAAATATATGTAAAACAATATTGTTTTATATATATTTTGTTATTTTGTTGTTTCTCTTCAACGTGACTTTACCGAAAAAACTAAGAATATGAATTACTGCAGTCACGAAAGCTTTAAATCAATACTTTGTGTCTAGTTTATTGTCCTTCCCCCGCACCTCCGATTAGCACGGTTGGCTACGTACGGTGCGAAAAAAGTTTAACATACGTACTATCGGCAACACGATTTTGTAGTACAGTCTGCTACATTATCAAATCGTCTGTACGGGAATAGTCGTGTCACCCCGTTGAAGTCGGGGCATGGGGAGGGGGCCACAGGGGTGGGCGGGGGGGGGGGGGGTCGCATGGGCAGGGGGGAGGGAGGCCCACACCTGTACGCCGGAAACGGCACGTTGAACTCTCCGCGCGCCTCCGCCGTCCCCACCACCGTCTCCGCGCTGTCGCTCGTCCGGATCAGCACGCGGAACGACACCGAGCAGTGGTTCTTGATCTGCGGGGCGCGCAGCGCAGGGTGGCGTCAGTAATCGTCACCGTCATCATCGTCGTCGTCACCCTCGTCAGCTGGGCGAAGGCCTTGCTCCCACACTGCGTCGGCTACGGGGCTGGTTTGAGAGTCAGGCTGGCCGGTGCGGGTTGGTGAAGCGGTGAAGGAGGGCAGTTCTACAGAGTTCGGACATCGCTCACCGCCGACCACCGGGCCGGTAACGCGGCCTAGCGGTACCACGTTTGCCATTTGTCGCAGAGGATTGACGGTTCGGCCCCAGCAGTCCGCCCTCTTTATTTACCGTGTGTATTGACCGTAAATATACTATGCGCCGCACGCTTCACAGCGGACGTTAAAGATCCCGTGACGTCATTCGCAAGAGCAGGCCCCATTGTGAAGCAGCATCATGGCCCAAATAAAAAAATAACCCGGAAATTACTGAATAATCACCCCCCACTGCAGTCACGAGACTACGTGTGGGGCTTTCCCTGGGTAAACAAGCCAAGAAAGTTGACTCATTTTTGGATCGTTTTTACGAGGGAGAATGAAAAAACAAAGATCCGTACAAAGGGATGCGAGTTTATAGCGCAGTGGGCTGACCACTCCGCCACTACTCCACCCAAACGCGTCTGGGAATAGTCCTTTCATCGATACCCCAATCAAAGCGTCGCCGAGTCTCAGGATTAGCATGGTTGGCTACGTACGGTGCAAAACAAGTTCAACATACATACATACAAGATGCCGAGTTCCCGGTGGCAATGACCGTACGTGCACGCCACGCTTTGCGTTTTTCCATAGCTCCTCGGTCAGTGGTGTGAACAGTAACAAATGCAGTTATCCCTCATTATACGGCATCTCAATATATAGAATTTCGCGAAAATGTAACTTATACATTTGGGAATGAACTTGATATACATCACAATTCGCAGCTACGGAGCTTTGAATCTCGAAACAAACAAAGCTTTGGGAGAAAAAATGTCAATAATAAATGGTCTGTCATGTGTCCTTGCATGCATCTCACCACAGTTTCTGGTAAGGATCATACAGAATATTAATTTAGCATCTGATTTTGAATATTATTATGAATATTGTATCATACAATTATACATTTTCAATTAAATACGTGCTTAAAAAAAGGTTTCCTTGCAAGTGTGATTTGATTTAGGTCGAGGACATTTCTTTCTCCCTTAGCAACGCATTTCCAATTCTACAATGAGAGTCAATGGGGAAAATAACTCGGAATTCCACTTTACGCACAACTTTGCAGGAACGCATCCCCTGCGTGCATCGAGGGACGCCCGTACAACGACGACGATGACGGAGCCGCTACGATGTCAATGACAATTCAGACGGCGGACACGCCTGCACGCACCTGCAGCGGCGAGCGCAGGGTGAGCGTCTTGATGCCGTTGGCGGCGTCCACCTGACACACGAGGTTCATGACCTTGTGGTCGCTCTCGTTGGCCACGCTGTACACATAGCGGCCGGCTTTCGACAGCGGCACCTCCAGCTTGGAGAATCCCACCAGCGCTGGGGGGGGCGGGGGGAGGCGGCAGACACGGGGACATTGGGAACACGGGGGGCACGGGGTCACGGAGACGTTGGAGACATTGGGAACACGGGGGCACGGGGGCACGGGAGCATGGAGACACGGGGACACGGAGACACGAGGACACGGAGACACAGAGACATGGAGACATGGAGACACGGAGACACGAGGACACGGAGACATGGAGACACAGAGACACGGAGACATGAGGACACGGAGACATGGAGACACGGAGACACGGGGACACAGAGACACGGTGACACAGAGATACGGGGACACAGAGGCACGGGAGCATGGAGACACGGAGCTACATGGGGACAGGAACGCATGGAGAAATGGAGGCACAGGGGCACGAAGGACATGTAGGTACAGAGACATGGGGACATTGGGGCACAAGATATGGAGATACGGGGGCAAGATGAACATGGGGACACCAGGACATAGGGATACCGGGAAATGGGGAAACAGAGGCGTAAGCTGCTCAAATTGAGCACATGGCCAAGGGTTCCACCACTGCTGGCCACTCGAGGAGGAGGTCATGGAAAGTAGGAGGCATCTGGCCCAAGGTGGCAAGACTGAGGTGGAATCAATTAAGGTTTCGGGTAAGTAGACGGTCATGGCAAGGTGGAACAAGGTTAAACATCACCGCAAATGTTTTGATTGGATAGGCAGTGGTGTAAGGTGATGGGGAGAGTCGAAAACATGTCGGAGAGCCAAGGTAACCACGGCTGCTCGGCGCAAACGGAACGACCGTCCGAAAACCGCCCGGAGCGTTCCAAATCTCGCCCCGAGGGGCGCCGGTGCTCACCGACAGCGAACTTGACCGCCTGGCGTTCCATGAAAGAGCGATCCTTGGCGCTCTCCCCGACGACGTACTCCAGCTTGAGGCGCTCGCCGTCCTGCAGCAGCTGGCTGTGCGTGGCCGCGTGCGTCACCGCGCCGCCCTCGGCCGCGTGCAGCGAGCACACGCCGGCGCCGTGCGCCACGTACGCCGGCTGGCCCAGGCAGTTGAGCACCATGATGGGCGCGCGGTCCTCCTGCTCCGACAGCACCTCCTGCGACTGGCTCGCCGCCTCCGTGAAGGCCTGCGGCGAGCGGCACGGTGACGGCGTTGCCGGCGACCGCCAACCTCGGCCGGCGCCTCAAACGCCGCCGCCGCCTCGCCCCCACCCCCCGCCCCCCGCCCCCCCCCCAGCCCGACCCTCCCCCTCCTGCCGTGCAACTCAGCTGGCCGAATGTTTTGAATTTCGTTGCCAGAAACGCTCTTCGATTTTCCAACCGTGAGCTCAAATGACAATACTAATAATAAAACTTGGCATGCTGGAAAACGATCGCACGCCATTGAACTGATTGGCCTGGTGTGGGTGGTTAAGGGTCTCACAACATCAACTTGGCCAGATCATTAAGTGGCCTAACAAAAAAAACACCTTGGAATAATTCTGTTTCTCATTGGCTTTTAAAAGGGATTGCATTCCAATTGTGTAAGTCTAAGCATGCACCTCTCCCATGCTTATTTGAGCACTTTCCACTTCCATTGGCAGTGTCGGTGTCTCTGATCCACGTGCCGTAGCGGGAGAGGTCATCCACGGAGGAGATGGAGCGGTACGTGGATTGTTGTGTGGGTGGGTGGGTTTGCGAAGAGATGTGTGAGTATGCAGGTGAGTTGACAGAAGGATGGGTTAGTAGGTAGGCAGAGATATAGGTATGTAAATAAGTAGATAGCTGGGAGGGTAGGTAAGAGGTTAATGAGCTAAGTTTGTTGTCCTTCCCCCGCACATCCAATTAGCACGCTTGGCTACGTACGGTGCTAAAGAAGTTCAACATACAGACGTACATGCGTCAATCAAATAGGCTGTCAGGTAGGTGTATCGGTGGTGTGGAGGTGTGGCGGTGTGGCAGTGAGGATGCGTGACTGGGGGACGGTGGGCCGGCGAGGCCGTGCGGCGGCGTGCCGGTGAGCCGGGCACAGGAGCTCACCCGCGCCAGGTTGTTGAGCATGGCGATGCTGCTCTTGGACAGCGTGACGTTCATGAGGTCCTCGGAGGAGACGCAGATCACCGTCTCGGGCGGCATCTCCAGCAGCGCGTCGATCTCATCGTGCGTCTGATCCGGCTCCACCGCGTTCTTGTTTATCTGCAACACCGCCACCGCCACCATCGTCAGCCACGTGACAAGTTGCCCCGCTGGCAACTCGGGTGTTAGGGGTCACGTGTCGGCATCGCGAAGCGCATTCACAAATCGAGTCTCTTCTGTCTTATTCTTGCTTCACGTCGCTGTCTCTCGCTCATGTCCTCCACCCTGACCTCCACCTGCCACCGCCCTTTTAACCTCAATGCCCTCTTTCATTTTTGTAAATAACGTTAAGATACGTTGACATCTGCATGCTATACACATATATACGTGTTGTTGTTGTGACTTTCATCACCATTACTCCGATAACCACGGTCGCCACCGTCACCGCCAGCACCACTCGCAAAGTTACGTTCACTATTACCACCGCTATCACCACCGCCATCACCACCACCGCTCGCACGGTTAACGTTCACCATAACTACCGTCGCCAACGCCAACGGCATCACCAGCACCGTTGGGCACGCACCTTGACGCTCAGCTCCCAGCGCTTCTGCTCCACCTCCTCGGCCACCTGCAGGATCGTGCCCTTCATCTTCTTGCGCTTCTTCTTGTCGTTCTTCACGTCGGTGCCCTGCCACCGGGCGTTCTCCTCCAGGAACACCGGCTCCAGCAGAGGCTCCCACACCGCCAGACCCTCGTTGTAGTACAGCACCTGTCGGGGGCAAGTGCCGTCAGCGAGCGCCTAGGAGGGCAGGCACTGCACAGGAGGGGGTGGGTGGCCAGCACCACGCCCGGCCGCCTTTGTCTCTCCAGTAGTGATGTTCACTACACACGGCACAAGGTACTCATTTGGTGCCGAGTTGACCTAGGGGAGGCGCAGAACCGGTTCAGATAATCGTCACTGGTCTTGGCCGTGAGCGAGAATCAAACTCGGGCCGCCGGGTTCCTAGCGCAGTGTGCTAACAGATAAACGACCGCACCCACCCATGCACACACACTCTAATACATATACTGTACATATAAGTAAATAAATGATTCCCCTTATAGCCTGTTAGCAAGCGCCAATGAACAGCAACATGTTGCATGTGGGGGCAGTGTTGACCAACACTACACCCGGCCGCCTTTGTCTCCCCAGTGCCGAAGCGTACATTCTGCACCAGAAACTCTTTAAGGCTGAGTCGGTTCAGAGATCGCTCGCCACCGATAATCATCCGTGACCGGGAATCGAACGTAAATGCGGTCAGGTTCATAGCGCAGCGCGCTCACCACTACGCTACCACTCCCCGCTCACCACACACACACACAACACACAATCCCACTGCCGCCATCCGCCCCGCCTCACACCCGCGGGCGACCATCACCGCGGCTAGGCCGGTTGGTCCCCTCCGGCCCTCTCACCTCCAGCGCCATCTGGCAGTGGACGCGCATGAGCGAGCTCCAGTTCTCCACGTCGCCCCCAAACTCGGCCTCCATGAGCAGCAGCGGGATCGTGCGGTGACCGACGCCGGCCTCCAGCGTCAACGTCACCGACTCCACCTTCACCTCCAGGTGCTCCGCACCGGCCACCGCCGCCTGCTCGGCGTCCCTCGCCGCCGCGGCCGCCACGGGCGCCGCCGTCACCGCCAGCTGGGACAGGTTTGACGAGGACGACGAGGCGAGGAACCACAGCTTGACGTCGTCCAGGGAGCGCACGGCCCACGGGTCCCGCTGCTCCACGTCGGCGTCGCGACCCGCGCCGGGCTCGGGCGCCGGCGTGGACAGCGCGGTGAGGATGGACATGACGGCGTTGATGATGACGGGCGACACCTTGAGCGTCAGGCTGTTGAGCTCCACGTTCATGCTGGTGCTGCCCCCCTGCTGCTTGCTCTCGAACAGCAGGCAGCACGGCTGCAGCACCTGCAAAGGGGCATCGAGGCATTGGTGCTCACCTCCTGCTTACAGCCCTGCAGGGCCAGTGGTGGAAATTACACATTCCCACTGCCCACCCACCTACCCGCCCCCACTTATTTACCTACTTTTTCACCTATCCTTTAACCTATCCACCTATCTACCTACCCACCCTTCAACCAAAATGCCTACCTATTTAACCAAACACCCGCTCACCTAGATATCTGCTTATCTACCCACCCACCTGTCTGCCTACCTACCCACCCACCACCCACTCACCTCGCTATCCGATTAGCACGGTTGGCTACGTATGGTGCAAAAGAAGTTCAACATACACACAGTTCATCAATTCTCACGCCCAAGATACGATGCATCAATGTCAAGGAAGTAGCTGCACCTCCCACTGCTTATACGTCATCGCGGGTGACGCCCCTCACTGCGGTGGAGCACCCCAACGAGCAGCAGCCCGACGGCTCAAGCTCAACGCCACAATCATCGCAAGCAGAAATTCGATTTCTAATTATTATTACATAGATATTTTCAGGGCTCCCATTGCCTCCCCACTGCCGGCCCCCAACCCCCGTACTGCCACCGCAGGGTGGGCGCTCCACTCACGGTGGTGGTGTGGCCGGTGCGCTGGTCCGGCACGAAGGGGCAGGCCAGCAGCTTGAGGTCGCGCACGGCCGCCATCATCTCCTGCGCGCCGTCTTCCTCGCGGGTCATGTCGAACTCCAGCTGCATGGAGGCGAGCAGCGCGGGGCTGCCCGCGCGACGGAGGTCGGCCACGAACGCGACCTCCGGGTCGCGCACGCGCACGCTCACGACCATGCGGCTCGGAGGTGGTGGTGGTGGTGGTGTCGCCAACTGCTGCTGGCCCATGCTGCTGCTGCCTGTTGCCAAAAGAAACAGTGGATTGGGTGCCCGACGCGAGTTCCGGTTGCAGCGAATGTGCCGTGTACACGGAGGTCGTGGGTTTGATTCCTACCCGACGCCTGCTGTATATTTTGGAGTTTGCACGGCTCACTCCCCGCGATTGAGTGGATTTTTCTCCGGGTCCTCCGCTTTTTCCCCACCACATTTATAATCAGCCTGCGTTTAGAGAATTTTGCTGCTATACATTTCCACGTGAAAAGCCACTTTGTTGAGCTATCATTTGCAATGGCAAAGTCGCTTCTGAAAAAAAGCGATATAGCGGAGTGGGCATTACCTAGTAAAATAAAAAAATTGTTTAGTTTAAAATATATATTTTTTTATTTACTGTTTAACGACGAGCGAGGAGGTTCTTCAGGAACCGAAATCGGTTCTTGTTCGGTGAGGGGCGTTGCCAGCGGGAGCATGAATTGAGTCCCTCCCCAATGAAATTTTCCCGGAGCTAAAAAGTCGGACGCGTGCCCAACTACGCACGGCGCCAACCCGAAAACACGTCTGGGAGCTGCGCAGCACAAACGAAAAAAAAGCGTATGTGGTGGAGCAATGGATTGACGATAGAGCTGCACACGGTACAAGCGAGGGCATGTGAACAGCAGAGGGCAGCGCAGCTTGAGACTGGGCATCAGGGTCCAAATTTTCCCCACTTAAAAAATGTACTCACAAATTGACGACGCATAGCATTGTAACACTATGTAACACTATGTAACACAATCTTTGTTCCTGGGTACCAAGCGTTATTATTTTAATTGCTTATTCATGAAAACTATAGAAAATGGCTACTATTCTCCACGAACTTTGATTTTGTGACCAGGACTTTATGTGAACAAAAGACACAAATGCACACCACGTTTTCTCATTTAAAATATGTACATTTCAAAATATCAGTGTCCTGGTCACAAAAGCAAAGTTTGTGGGGAATAATAGCCATTTTCTGTACTTTTGAGGCATAAGCAATTGGGAAATAACACTTACTACCCAGGAACAATAAATTTGTTTTTGTTACACAGTGTATAACCATCGCCCCCTACTGACAGACTAATGCCCAATTGCAGGCCAGTTACCGAGCCACTCTTGTGCTGCACAGGGACAGCTGCCACGGGGTGGGGGGGGGGGGTGCCCCTTTCAAACGTGTTAAGACAAGACGTGATGCAATCTGCTCATCGCGTGTATACAGCGCTCTGAGACACGGGCCCCCCGGCGTAAAGCACAGGAGGGTGGCTCCATCAAAACACCAAAAACCACTCGGATCCTCGCCATCGGCAGAACGCGGCGCACCTTCCTGGCCGGCGGACCGCACGGCCGCCCTGATGGCCGAACCCTTGGGCGTCAACTCGGCGGCGGCGGGCGGCGCCTTGGCGTCGGCCGCCGCCGGCATGCCCTTGACGAAGAAGTCGGCCACCGTCTGCAGGAACTCGATGCTGGCGCACACGGCGAGGTCCTGCAGGGTCACGTCGGCGCGCATGCCCTCACGCCCCTGACGGTAGCCGAGCTCCAGCATGGCCTTGCGGTGCTCGCCCGGACGCATGCCCACCATGCTGGCGCACGTTCGCACGATGGGGAGACAGGATGTTTTCGTTTTAATGAGCAACGTCGATATTTGTACGCAGATTTTTCTTTTTTTTTTTAATCCTGATCACGCCATCGCAAGTCGTGCCGCGAGATGAATCGCCTGTGCGGAGAGCTCCCCGCGTACCAACAGATTATTTTGAGACCGGATTCGTATAAGTGACATCATCCGCATAAGCAGACCATTCGGGTCTGGCGTTTGTGTTTTGTTGTTACCACCGCACCCTTCGGGTAACAGTTCGTGTCAATTCACTTGGAATTCTCGCCCCTTTGTTGATGTTGAAATGCGATTTCCAGTGGTTGGAGTGTTTCGATGCAATTTGCACGAGCGGCGCCACGTAAAACAAAACAATGTTCATTGAATTACGTGATGCGCGCCTGCTCACCGGGCGGTCAGCTTGTCCCCGGGTCGGAGGTCGTCCAGGGTGCAGTTGTGCAGGCGTAGCGTCACGGTCATGGTGCCGTCTGACATCATCCGCCCACCGGTGCGGATCGTCTGCAGCCGGAACTCGCCCAGCCGGCACAGCGGGTCGCGCTTGCAGATCTGATCGCGGGACGTGAAAAGTTTCCATTAACGCTCGGCTTGCTTGCCCGGGGAAGTATCGCCGAGCCTCAAGATTCTTTCTCAGGAGGGCGGTGCCGAGAGACGAGCCGGTGACCTCTGGAGGTAAGGGGCCGGCCTGAATACGACAAACGCATCTTAATTCGGATCGATGAAATGAGCGCGTGCGCAGGTGTCAGACGGGTCGCTACATCGCAGGACCGTGAGAGCTGGCGACGGCACGGGGAGGCCTTCACAGCTCTAGCTGATGCTGTATGCACATACATATGCTGCACTTCTTTCACACCGTATGTAGCCAACCATGCTAATGGGAGGTGCGGGATGAATGACGGCAGTGATGAACAAGGGACGTGAAGCAAGGGCCCCCCCCCCCCCCCCCCACGTGCCTGCTGGGGCGTGCCCACGAGCAGCACCAGCGACACCGCCTCCAGGTTGAACTCGAACTTGAGCGTCGTGCGTGTCACCGGAGGCTTGCCCGTTTCCACCACCGCCGAGGTCACCACCTTCTCGCCTGATGGTCACGCAACCGCAAGCGCGAACCGCGACAAACGTGAATCACCTTCACGACGGAGTTCATCAACCGCGGGCGCGCCCCGAGTCGCTCTACGGCAAGAGCGGGGAACCTGCGGCCCGCGGGACAAATCCGACGCGTGACTTCATTTCAAATGGACAGTGGCCACGTGAGGCCTACCTCTCGATCTGATACAGCTTCGCTGCACTCATCAAAGCAAGAGAGGGGAATATTGTCAACACTGCATTGATAATTGTAGTGCACTCAATCAGTTCCATTTGAGCAAGGGCCTCTTGCAGTGCCAAACGTGACCGAGATGTATGTGTGTGTGTGTGTGAGATGTATGTGTGTATGTGTGAGATGTATGTGTGTGTAAAATGTGTGTGTGAAATGTGTGTGAGATGTATGTGTGTATGTGTGAGATGTATGTGTGTGTATGTGTGAGATGTGTGTGTGTGTGTGAAATGTGTGTGAGATGTATGTGTGTATGTGTGAGATGTATGTGTATGTGTGAGATGTATGTGTATGTGTGTGTGTGAGATGTGTGTGTGTGTGTGTGTGAAATGTGTGTGTGTGTCTGAAATGTGTGTGTGAAATGTGTGTGTGTGTGTGTGTGTGAAATGTGTGTGTGTGTGAAATGTGTGTGAGATGTATGTGTGTATGTGTGAGATGTATGTGTGCCACTAAGAGGTGGGGCCTTACCATCAGCCCCACCAAAACTAAGCACCTGCCTGGGTATTTTGTACCATCAGACACTCCACCCCCACAACTCCCAATCGGTGATGGGGCAGTTGTGGAGAGAGTGGAGAGTTTCCCATACCTGGGCAGTGTGCTTATGACTGGCTCCAGTTTAACAGCAGAGGTCTCACTCCGAATCAGTCGAGCGGCAATATCTTTTCATCGGTTGCGTAACGCTGTGTGGAAGCTACCTGGTCTGTCGCTCCGCACTAAGCTTCAGGTCTTCTCGGCCACGGTCATTCCCTCCCTTCTCTACGCTTGCGAAACGTGGACCCCCCTAATGGAACATCTTCGCCGGTTGGAAACATTTAGGCTGGCCTGCCTACGATCCATCCTGGGTTTAACCAGACTGGATTGTGTGAGGAGCTCACAAATCCTTGAAAGATCTGGGCAGGGTCCCATCGGTGAGCTCCTCCGGCAGGCAAGGCTGCGATGGCTGGGTCATGTAGCCCGCATGCCCAGCCACCGCATGCCGAAACAGCTTTTGTTTGGCCGGATTGAGGGGGCTAAGCGGGCGCGGCACGGGCTAGAGAAGAGATGGAGTGATGTGGTACAGGAGGACGTGGAGCTGAGTGGACTTGCCGATGACTGGTACCAGCGGTGTCAAGATCGGCCTCTGTGGAGGAGGCTCGTGAAGGATGCTACTGGGCAGTTGGAGGCAGTCGCCCTCCAACAACAACGGAGGGCGGAGGAGCGACGCTCACAACAGCGAGCGGAGCGCCGGGTGGCTAAAGCACAGCAGGTTGGCACAGTAGGGGGCACAGGTGGTGCATCAGCCAGTCATCTCAGTCAGTCGACCCGTGGCACCTGGGTCTGCCCCGTGACCTCCTGCCAGCGGGCGTTCGACACTTCACGTGGCCTCAGGGTGCACATAGCCTGGCACAAGCGTCGTGGTGACGTCACCGCCACTTAGTGGCGAATGGCGGTTGTTGTTGTTGTTGATGTATGTGTATGTGTGAGATGTGTGTGTGTGAAATGTGTGTGTGTGTGTGAAATGTGTGTGTGTGAAATGTGTGTGTGTGTGAAATGTGTGTGTGAGATGTATGTGTGTATGTGTGAGATGTATGTGTGAGACGTATGTGTGTATGTGTGAGATGTATGTGTGTATGTGTGAGATGTATGTGTGTGTGTGTGTGAAATGTGTGTGTGTGTGTGTGTGAGATGTATGTGTGTATGTGTGAGATATATGTGTGTGTGTATGTGTGAGATGTATGTGTGAGATGTATGTGTGAGATGTATGTGTGTGTGTGTGAGATGTATGTGTGAGATGTATGTGTGTGTGTGAGATGTGTGTATGTGTGTGTGTGTGAGATGTATGTGTGTGTGTGTGTGTGAGATGTATGTGTGTGTGTGTGAGATGTATGTGTGTGTGTGTGAGATGTATGTGTGTGTGTGTGTGAGATGTATGTGTGTGAGATGTATGTGTGTGTTAATGTGTGTGTGTGTGAGATGTATGTGTGTGTGTGAGATGTATGTGTGTGTGTGTGAGATGTATGTGTGTGTGTGTGAGATGTATGTGTGAGATGTGTGTGTGTGTGTGAGATGTATGTGTGTGTGTGTGAAATGTGTGTGTGTGTGTGTGAAATGTGTGTGTGAGATGTATGTGTGTATGTGTGAGATATATGTGTGTGTGTGTATGTGTGAGATGTATGTGTGAGATGTATGTGTGAGATGTATGTGTGTGTGTGAGATGTATGTGTGAGATGTATGTGTGAGATGTATGTGTGTGTGTGTGAGATGTGTGTATGTGTGTATGTGTGTGTGTATGTGTGTGTGTGTGTGAGATGTATGTGTGTGTGTGTGTATGTGTGTGTGTGAGATGTATGTGTGTGTGTGTATGTGTGTGTGTGTATGTGTGTGTATGTGTGTGTGTATGTGTGTGTGTGTGTATGTGTGTATGTGTGTGTGAGATGTATGTGTGTGTGTGTGTGATGTGTGTGAGATGTGTGTGTATGTGTGTGTGTGTGTGAGATGTATGTGTGTGTGTGTGTGAGATGTGTGTGTATGTGTGTGTGTGTGAGAGATGTATGTGTGTGTGTGTGTATGTGTGTATGTGCGTTAATGTGTGGGGAGCGGTCGTGTGTCGGTTATCGCGCTGCGATACGATCCGGGCGACCCAAGTTCACTTCAGGGCCAACATCAGTGACAATTATCTGAACTGGTCCTGGGCCTCCCCTAAGTCGACTCAGCCTCAAATGAGTACCTGGTGCGGTGTCTAAACATCGTCACTGGGGAGACAAATGCGGCTGGGCGTGGTGCTGGCCATCTACCCCCTCGCTTGCCGTTCCGGTCTTCATAGATGCTCGCTAACAGCACTTGCCCTAACGGTCTGTTAAGGCTATATGGGGGATTTGTCTTTGTTAATGTGTGGTTCCCCACCAAAGGCGTTTGACAGTCCTGTTCGGCCCTCGGTGAGGAAGAGGTAACCCCCCCCCCCACCTTCTACAGAGTGACGATGCTGTGTCTGTTCAATGAAGTGGAGTTTGCCGACAGGCGCGTTGACGAACAGCGATCGTTCTACACAGCACACAGCCTCAGGTAGTCAAGTGGCCTCTGTCTGTGATCCGTCTGGAAGTTGCCATGCATCCCAGCTGCCCACTGCCAGTGGCGGAAGTGGCCGAGGTGTGCGCGGCATGTCCGTGTGTGGCCCACCGCCAGGAGGTGTTCGGCGCTCGGCAAGGGAAAGGTTCGCGAGCCGCGCCCCAAGGGGACGCCTGTCGATGCCGCCACGGTCGCTCACCCTGGCTGGCCGCGTCGCTTGCGACCGCCTTGCGCCCGTCAACGTCTTTCTGCGCGTCCATCGGCGGCTGCTCCTTGTCCGCCGGCGCCGCCGCCCCCCCCTCCGACAGGTTCTCGTTGAGCGTCGTCATCACCAGCATCAAGTCGTCCTGGCTCAGCACCACCTGCGGGTGACATTTTAACCGTTCGCCTCTTGCTACGCTATAACGACGTATTCAGAACCCTTTGTCAATCCACTGCTGGATGAAGGCCTCCCAGCACCGTGTCGGTCATGGAGGTTGATTGATTATACCTCAGTGTGGGTTGGTGAAAAAGGAGGCCCAGGACCGGTTCAGATATCACTCTCCACTGATGCTAGCCACGAACAGGAATCAAACTTGGGTGTCCAGGGGTGCAACGGTAGAATCCGGCAACCTGGGACCGATTCCCAACCACGGCTAAGATCAGTGGCGACTGATAGCCGAGCCATTCCTGCGCCACCCCCTTCACCAACCTGCACTGAACGACGTGAAGTACGGTGACACCCCCCCGACCGACACGACGCATGGAGTCTCTCCATCCAGCAGTGGCTTCACGTAAACGTAACGGCACCAGCCGTCATCCAAAATGCAGCGCTATGGGCGTTAATCCTGACCGCATGGCTTCCGGACGCGAGAGCGTCACACACATTGGCATGCGTGCAAAGAGAGACAGGGAGACGTCTGTGGTGGTGGTGGTGGTGGCGATGGGGCGCTACGAACCCGGCGACACGAGTTCGATTAGCGCCCGTCAACAACAGTTACGATTATCTGAACCGGTCCTGGGCCTCGCCTAGATCGACTCAGCATCAAATGAGTACTCGGTGCGTTGAGTACACATCGTCACTGGGGAGACAAAGGTGGCATGGTGCTGGCCACCCACCCCCTTAGTGTGCCGTGCCGGCCTTCATAGGTGCTCGCTAACAGCACTTGCCCCAACAGTCTGTTCAAGCTATACGGGGAATCTTCGTATGGGGCGCACCATCATGGGCCGTATTTTTGCCGAGATGTCCACGTCGGGGATCTCCGTGTACCACATCGCCGCCAGGTTCCTCCGCAGCTCCAGGTCCATGTTCACCGGCTCCAACATCATCACCTCTCCGTCCACGCGAGAGTCTGTCACCACGGCGCTGCATACGCCAACGAGGCAACAGGCGAAATGCCGTTTGTGACAATCGTGGTGGACGCGTGGTGCGGAGGTGCGGATGCTGTGTTCGCGGGGCGAAATGGGTAAGGTGATACACGGAGAGTGATGACAAGGGTGCCGCAGGCAGTGATGAAGAGGGCGGCGCAGACAAGGAGGGCATCAGAGAAAGCGACGAGGAGGAGAGAACAGGAAGTGACATGAAGCATGGCACAAGAATGTGCGGAGGAGGGTGGCAGCGGATTTGTAACAAAGACGCTACAGTAAATGATGCGAGCGATACAGATGACGTCACACGGGACCTGACGAGGTAGGCAGGGACAAGGGGGGTGGCACAAGAATTAATTAAAGCAGCACCAGACCGCGACCGTGGATGACGGCGCAGGATATGCCAACGAGGCACCACAGGAATGACAGACGGGCAGCAGGGGAGCGAGGGGCAGATGAGGCCATCACCGGCTGAGCTTGATCTGGCTGAGGCGGACGGTCATGGTGTCCACGATGGGCGGCAGCGGCAGCGGCCGCCCCACGGGCGCCAGCGAGAAGGCGTTGGACACCGCCACGTGGCCCAGGTCGGCCACAATGGCGTCGCGTGACTTCGAGTTCTGAGGCACGACCACGAGCGGCGCCTTGACGGTGACGGAGAGCGCCAGCCGGTAGCTGCGCTGCGCCAGGTCCTTCAGGTTGGAGGCCGCCTTCTCGGCCGCCTGCACCGTCGCCTCCGTCACCGCCTCCTTCGCTTGCTGGAAGTTGTTCACAAAGTCCTGCGTGCGAGCACGTGCGGGAGAAACGTAACGGGGGAACGGCGCTTGCGATCCGGCACTTGCACGGCAAGGGGGTTTGGCAGATCGCCACAGATTCGTGAAACGCCCAAACCCGCTGGGGATGCGACTTTGCCGGCACTGAAAAAGGATTCTTGAATCTATCTGTGCGGAGTTTTGCGTTTTACCTCTTGCAATGCAACCATTTGTGTGGACCATTGAGTGTTATCCAATGTCGTACTCGGGTTAGAGGTAAGGTTTTGCAGGGTCTTTCAGAAACTTGAAAATTGGTGAGGATTTTCTGAACAAAAAAATTCGGAACAATAGAAATAACTTTAGCACCCTTGGTGACACCTTCTGAAATTGCGCTCTGCCCACAGATAAATGTGGATAACCAAACGAATGCAGCACAAAATTAGTTTTCGAAAAAAATGTGGAAATTGTACAAAGATTCCTGGATTGATTAGGAATTCCACGTAGCCGGGAATACAATACGATCGCAGATGAAGACGAGTTTCACCGTGTGTATATATACTTTATTTTGCAGCGATTGTATTAGATTGGGACTTGCGCCCCACTGCTGTACGCAACGCCGATAATGTTTAACTCTTTCACAGCCACGTGTTATTCAACTGTACGTCACCCAGCAGCTCTGTAAACTCAATGTCATTCAGATTTTTTGGTCAAACGATAAAAATTAAATGAATGGGGCATAACCGCGGAAACAGATGCACAATATTTTTCTTTTTCCAGATGTTTGCCATTGGAGGGGCAGCAGTAGCAGACACATTACACGTGTGGCCTACAAACAAAATCCCACATTCACCCACGTGAAATAATAATAATGATGATGATGATGCAGTGCTCCGCGGTGATAATGCGGGATGCGGGGGAGGTGCAGTGGCACGTGTTACAAGACCTCCCGCGGTATAACCGATGACACGGTCGTGTTACACAACGCATTGCTGGCATACAGGGCCAGTCTACATCTTGAAGCCTTGCACAGTTAGCTATGTGCGGTGCGCAAAAAGTTCAACGTACATACATATAGTAAGAAGATAACTGCAACACTAAGATGTGGCCACGAACGACTGAAGTAGAATTAATAAAGACACAGAGCAGAACGCAATGAGAGGGGAGGCTAAGAGGCAAAAGTTACCTGCTGGGCAAGTCCAATGTAGTGTACAGGGGAACGAAAACTCGCGGTATATACACGGTACACACAAACCCGCGGTACACACAAACCCGCGGTACACACAAACCCGCGGTACACACAAACCCATTGTATACACAAACCCACGGTATACACAAACCCGTGGTACACACAAACCCATTGTATACACTAACCCACAGTACATACAAACCCGCAGTACACACAAACCCATTGTATACACTAACCCATTGTACACACAAACCCGCGGTACACACAAACCCATGGTACACACAAACCCACAGTATACATTAACCCGCGGTACACACAAACTCGTGGTAAACACAAACCCGCGGTACACACAAACCTGTGGTACACACTAACCCATTGTACACACAAACCCATTGTACACACAAACCTGTGGTACACACTAACCCATTGTATACACTAACCACAGTACACACAAACCCATTGTACACACAAACCCGTGGTACACACAAACCCATTGTATACACTAACCCATGATGCACACAAACCCATTGTACGCACAAACCCATTGTATACACAAACCCATTTTATACACTAACCCACTGTATACACAAACCCACTGTATACACAAACCCATTGTATACACAAACCCACTGTATACACTAACCCACAGCATACACAAACCCACTGTATACACTAACCCACTGTACACACAAACCCACAGTATACACTAACCCACTGTATACACTAACCCACTGTATACACAAACCCGTGGTGCACACTAACCCACAGTATACACAAACCCACAGTATACACAAACCCGTGGTACACACCAACCCACTGTATACACTAACCCATGGTACACACTAACCCACAGTATACACAAACCCGTGGTACACACTAACCCACAGTACACACAAACCCACAGTATACACAAACCCGTGGTACACACTAACCCACTGTACACACAAACCCGTGGTACACACTAACCCACGGTACACACAAACCCGCAGTACACACAAACCCGCGGTACACACAAACCCACAGTATACACTAACCCATTGTACAACCAAACCCGCGGTACACACAAACCCGCGGTACACACAAACCCACAGTATACACTAACCCACTGTATACACTAACCCGTGGTGCACACTAACCCAATGTACACACTAACCCATGGTACACACTAACCCACAGTATACACAAACCCGTGGTACACACTAACCCACAGTACACACAAACCCACAGTATACACTAACCCGTGGTACACACTAACCCACTGTATACACAAACCCACAGTATACACTAACCCACTGTATACACTAACCCGTGGTGCACACTAACCCAATGTACACACTAACCCGCGGTATACACAAACCCACAGTATACACTAACCCACTGTATACACTAACCCGTGGTGCACACTAACCCAATGTACACACTAACCCGCGGTATACACAAACCCGTGGTACACACTAACCCACTGTACACACAAACCCACAGTACACACAAACCCACAGTATACACTAACCCACGGTATACACTAACCCAATGTACACACAAACCCACAGTATTCACTAACCCACGGTATACACTAACCCAATGTACACACTAACCCGTGGTACACACTAACCCAATGTACACACAAACCCACAGTATACACTAACCCACTGTATACACTAACCCGTGGTACACACTAACCCAATGTACACACAAACCCACAGTACACACAAACCCACAGTATACACTAACCCACTGTATACACTAACCCGTGGTACAAACGAACCCACAGTATACACTAACCCGTGGTGCACACTAACCCGTGGTACACACTAACCCAATGTACACACAAACCCACAGTACACACAAACCCACAGTATACACTAACCCACTGTATACACTAACCCGTGGTACAAACGAACCCAATGTACACACCAACCCGCGGTATAAGCGGCGGCAATCTAACCGGGGAGCACTGGGACTGGCCGTGGGGTGAGGTTGCCGGGCCCGCCCGCCCGACACGGTAGGTACCAGCAGTGCGGAGATGAACTTGTTGAGGTAGACGATCTGGATGCAGCCGACGACGAGCAGGATCCGCGCGTCCACCGCCGCCATGTCCGTGTAGGCGCCCCCCTTGGTCGCGTCCACGTATGACGTCATGCCGAAACGGAACACCTCCTTACCGATGATGGACACCACCTGCACAGCAAACGGGCAGAATGGAACACCCACGGGTGGTTAAAAAATAAAAAATAAACCTTTTCAAAAGCTTTGGTACATTTCCCAACAATAAACACACTGCCCTGCGTTGCTGGCTGCGCGCTTCTTTAATTACAGAGCCTACGGCTAGATATATCTTATTTTATATTCATAAGAAGTTTAAGTTAGTAAAAAAAAGACAGTATCCACAAAGGATGAGCAATGGGTAGCCATGACAGTTGGGTACTTAGGGGTTACGCTAGGGTATGGGAGGGGAGGTGGCCACTGTCGAGGGGTGTGTAGAGGGGTTCGGGCAGGGTGGGGGAGGGTGGGAGAGGGTGGGGGAGGGTAGGGAAAAAGGGGAGGGGTGGGGGGAAGGAAGAGGAAGGGAATGGGCAGTGGAGATGAGATGAGGCTTGAAGAGAAGAACCGAAGGAGGTTCAGGAGAGGGACTGCTTCATGTCACAGGGTTGGCCATTACAAAACACAAGGGGGTGGGGGGAGGGAGGGCAAGTGGCTGAGGTGCGGGAGAGTGAGGAGCTGCAATAACCCATTCTGAGTCTCTGTGCGAGTCTGGGCCGCCGACGGATCGCTCGCCTTTTTGTGGATGGTGTCCGGGTCGGCGTCGAGCACGGTGATGTTCTTAAGGCCCACGGACACGTCCGTCTGCGTCTTCTTCTGCGACAGGTTCACGTCCAGGCCTGGCATGCCGGCACGCACGCACCACGCGGCTCGTCACATCGTAATCGGCTCTTGTTCCCTCCAACCCGTCACCATCCCTCAAGGTGCTGCCATGCAACGGTCCGTGTGACGCCCACACACGAGCGCTCTGTTTGGGCGCTGCATCTTCAATAACAGCTTTATATATAGAGGACTGCAGAGCCTGAGCAATTGTTGGCGCCCACTCAGCACGTGGCTGCTGCCTTCCCCGCTTGTGCTTGGTTCCTCGTGCATCCGAGTCGTGCTCTCTCTTCCAGAGTGAATATTGAGCGCGTTACAAATTCAAATTGTTACTGTTACGATCATCTCCCACCTCTTCTTGGGCACGTTCCCTCCTTTGACTGCCACTCCGTCGTTAGTCTCGACCGCCGGCCCACTCACGGTTCTCAACCAGTCAATGATGACGTCTCTAACCCCCATGCGTACGTTCCCCAAACCGTGGACGTTGCACGTCTACCGTTCAGCAGCTGCGAGACCTGCCAGGGGGCATGAGAGCATTGCCGAGGTGGTGTGGTGGCATCAACGGCCCTGACCATGATGACATCTTGATCATGCGTTCAGCTACATGTCAGTGTAAGGGGTGCCACGGTGGCGAGATGTTAACTAACTCTCCTGATATACAGCAGGTCGTGGGTTCGATCCCAACCCCGACGCCTGTATAATGGGAATTTGCATGTTCTCCCCGTGGTCACGTGGATTGTTCTTCAGTTTTCCCTCCACATTTAGAAACATGCGGTTTAAGAGCATTTGGCTGCTATCAATTTCTTCGTGATAAGCCGCTCCCTTGAGATATCATTTGTAGCCAGGTCGCGTCTGAGATATATAAGCTCAATGGGCCTTACCTAGTCAAATAAAACAATAGCTTAACAGTAATACAAAGAAGTCCACTGACAATCAAAAATCCAAGTGGACATCACTCTCACCACTACGCCCCGAAAACATTAGCGCAAGGCCTTACCTAGTCAAATAAAACAATAGCTTAACAGTAATACAAAGAAGTCCACTGACAATCAAAAATCCAAGTGGAAATCACTCTCACCACTACGCCCCGAAAACATTAGCGCAAAACACCAGAGGTGGGTACGCGGTTAGGGGGGTGGGTGATGGGTGTGATAACGGGGCGGTTGGCCGGGGTGCCAGCACCTTCGATGATGACGTCGGTGATCCTATGCTGCTGGCTGCGCATGCACACATTGAACGCGTCCAGCTTGGCCTCCAGGTGGAAGTAGATGAGCTCATCATCCTTGACCTTCCTCGCGGCTGCGCGGCGCCAACAGGGAGGTCGGCGGCGGAGACAAACAACAACAACAAAAGCGTCACAACAACGACGACAAACACCAGGGGTCTCTTAGCCCAGGGGAGACAGCACACACGGAAGACAAACAGACGGCGCCTGCAGATCACTCGCAACACGAGCCGCGTGCCCCTGCGTGTGGATCTGCGCTGCTCAAGCACAATCGGTCTGGGGCCGTGCAATTATTTGCCAGTTTATATTCAAGAATAAAGGCAAAGATCCTCCACAGGGGAAAGTGCTCAAGTGCTGTTAGCGAGCACCTATGAATCGAGCTCGTGTTGATGGGTTCGTAGCGCAGCGCGCTAACCGCTGTGCCCTCACTCTCCATTTACATTCGCACAAAGACAAAGGTTCCCCATATGGCCTTCAGCAGACTGTTGGGGCAAGTGCAGTTAGCACGGCACACGCTTCGCTTGAAACTCACATCAAGCATCCTCCGGTCATGAAACCCATCAAGTCAGAACCTCTTCCAACCCAAATACCTGTTACGAATCGGAATATTTACTGCCGAAAACGCACGCGTTAAGCCTACGATGTAACGCCGACTTGTTATGCCGCTATCTGCTCACGTTTCTGTCCGGACAGGGCGAGTTCGTGGGACGAGTCCGAGTCGGCCGTCATCGTGGGCACGACGGCCCCCGGCTCCTCGTCCCCCTCCACGTCCTCCGGCGGCGGCACCCCAGCGGCCGCCGCCCCGCCGTCGGACTCCTTGGCCGGAGGAGCGAGGCCCATGAGGAAGTTCATGCAGAAGAGCAGCGCCTCCGTGTGCAGCAGGACGTCCAGCGAGGAGAAGGACACCTTCATAAAGACAAAGATGCCCCCGCCGTATAGCTTCAACAGACGTTTGGGGCAAGTGCCATTCGCGAGCACCTATGCAGGCTGGCACGTCGGCCGTCAGCACCCAACCCTGGCTAGCTGCACGCCCACCCAACAAACCCAGCCGCCCATCATACCCACGCTCCCACCGTACACAAGCTCCCACCGTACACACGCTCCCACCGTACACACGCTCCCACCGTACCCACGCTCCCACCGTACCCACGCTCCCATCGTACACACGCTCCCATCGTACACACGCTCCCATCGTACCCACGCTCCCATCGTACCCACGCTCCCATCGTACACACGCTCCCATCGTACACACGCTCCCACCGTACCCACGCTCCCACCGTACCCACGCTCCCACCGTACCCACGCTCCCACCGTACCCACGCTCCCACCGTACCCACGCTCCCACCGTACCCACGGTCCCATCGTACCCACGCTCCCATCGTACCCACGCTCCCATCGTACCCACGCTCCCATCGTACCCACGCTCCCATCGTACCCACGCTCCCATCGTACCCACGCTCCCATCGTACCCACGCTCCCACCGTACCCACGCTCCCATCGTACACACGCTCCCATCGTACACACGCTCCTATCGTACCCACGCTCCCATCGTACCCACGCTCCCACCGTACCCACGCTCCCACCGTACCCACGGTCCCATCGTACCCACGCTCCCATCGTACACACGCTCCCATCGTACACACGCTCCCATCGTACCCACGCTCCCATCGTACCCACGCTCCCATCGTACCCACGCTCCCAACATACCCACGCTCCCATCATACCCACGCTCCCATCAAACCGACCCACCCATCAAACCGACCCACCCATCAAACCGACCCACACAACCCACCAAACCCACTCAACCCACTCAACCCACCCTACCCACCCAACCCACTCAACCCACCCAACCCACTCAACCCACCCATCAAACCGACCCACCCAACCCACCCAACCCACCCAACCCACTCAACCCACCCAACCCACCCAACCCACCCAACCCACCCAACCCACTCAACCCACCCAACCCACCCAACCCACTCAACCCACTCAACCCACCAAACCCACCCAACCCACTCAACCCACCCGGGACCAACAGTGATGTAGCGGTTCAGTGTAGGCCGCTCAAAAGTGGACCGACAAAGGTTGACAGGCACTGCAAGAGACGATGGCTCCGCGACGCGTTTTGGGGTTGCAATACGATGCCACCTCACTCACCTGCACTTTCTGAATGGTGCGCTTGAAAGTGGTGTCGAACTCGGGGCCTTTCTTGTACGCCTGGTGCAAACGCACAACACGGCGAGGCAAACACACGCGCGGCCGCAATTAACGTGATTAAAAGCAAATTTGGAAGTAAAAATCACACATGCGCGTGGATCATGCAGCGCTTTCTGCCACACGCCGGTCCTTGGCAAGTAGTCGATTAGCCGTACGGGAGGCCAGCAACGGGTAGCCGTCTGGGCAAAATGCGTCGGCATATTTGCAAATTTTCATTTGTTCTCTCGTTTGCGTCTCCCGTGTTTTGGGCGACTCTCTTGGATCAACGCGGCTGGTATCTGCGTGGGTAAGTCCCGAACAGCAGCACGCGTTTAAACAAAAGTTTTTTTTTATTATTTTATTGTTTCCCTTCTACGTGACTTTACCAAAAGAACCAAGAATATGAATCCCTGCAGTCACGAAAGCTTTATATTAAAAGTTTTGTTCACACTCGATGTTGGTTACAAGAATTATCAAAGCTGACGCGCCGATGCTTTCAAATCTGAGTTGTACAGCGTAAAAAGAAAACACTTGTTAAGATTTACGATAGTTAGGGCATGATATGGGTGCCACAGCGGTGAGATATTAAGCACCTCGCCTGGTATACTGGAGGTCGTGGGTTTGCTCTCGACCATGACTCCTGAATATTTGGAGTATGCATTTTCTCCCCGTGGCCACGTGAATTTTTCTCCGGGGTCCTCTAGGTTTTTCCTTTAGAATCAACATACATTTAGAGTATTTGGCTGCTATACATTTCCACGTGATAAGCCACTTGTGGCCAGATCCCTTCTGAAAAAGAGCTATATAGCTCAGTGGGCCTTATTTGGTAAAAAAAACATGTTTTGTTTAATCCTGGCTGGAAAGCGTCAAAACGAGCATGAGAGAGGGCCGATGTTAGAGAGTGAAAGGGCACGGGTCGTGGTGCCGGCCCACCTTGGTGTATTTCATGATCAGCAGGTCCTCTTGCTCGTTGTCGTACGTGCTTAAGATGTTGATGGGTTTACCGTCGGGCTCTGTAGGCAAGAAAGACAAAGCGGTAATCTACGGCATGACGTCACGGTCCATCGGTGTCCATGCTTGGTATCTTTACCCCCCACCCCCCCCCACCAAAGTTATATTTCAATTGCGCTGTCGGCCTCACATCAGAAGAGGAAAAATAAATGTCCATTGTAACTCTTGTAGCCGGCATGGGGGTATCGTGGTTGGCATGGGCCCTGATGCAAGAAATGGAACGGGGAAATAAACCGTCTGTCTGTCTTTGTAGCCTGGCACACTTAACACTAAACCCAACTTTTCATTTTACCAAGAGAGCCTCTTTTTCAGAAGTGACCTGGCCACAAATTATACCTCAACGAGGTGGCTTATCATTACGTGGACAATTAGCACAGCCAAATACTCTGAATGCAAGTTTATTCTAAATGTAATGGGAATAACCGGGAGGACCCGGACAAAAAGCTACGCGACCAGGGGGAAGAGAGACACCCAAACTCCAAATAAACGGGCGTCAGGTCCGGGATCGAACCCACGACCTCCCGTGTACCAGGCAAGGGAGTTACCGTCTCGCCACCGCGGCGACCTATGTCGTCCCTCTCGCCCCATGGACAACTGTGCAGCTGCACCGCCTGCAAGCTCGACGGCCATGCCGCACGTCCTCCTGCCCTGCCCGCCGCGCGCCTGCCCACTCGCTCAGCCGCTCGGTCGATGCTCACGCGTGAACTCGAGGCAGGACAGGCGTATCTCCTTGAGGTAGGAGGCGGCGTGGAGGTTGAAGCGTCGCATCGTCAGCTCGGTGCCCAGGTGCGCCGCCTCCAGCTGCATGATCGGGCGCTCCTCCACCGTCGTCCCCTCCTGCCCACCCGGCACCTGGCGGCACACCTCCAGGAAGATCTGGAACGGCGGACGGGACGGCGATGGCGGCGTCGTGTCAGGAGGCGAACGAGCCAATCGTATCTCTCGCACGGCAGTATGGCCCGTGGAAGTGGCTATCACAGAGCTGCCTCTGAGATCCATTAAAAGTGAACTCTGGTCCACACAAGAGAGGGCAGCGCTTTCCTATTCAGAGCGAGTAGCAAGTGAACGAATGGGTGGCCATGGGTGGGTGGGAGCAAGGGTATAGATGGCCGAGTAGTTGATAAGCAAATGAGTGCATGAGTTATTGAGCGATTGGAGAAATGGGTGGATGGCTCGGTGGGTTTGGGTGGGTGAGTGAGTGAGTGGGTAACTGGGAAGGTGGCTGGGTGGGTGGCTGGGGGCTGGTTGGTAAGTAGTGAATAATTGAATGAGCGAACAAGTACATGGATGGGTGGGTGAGTAATGTGATTGGGTGCATATGCGAGCGGGTGCGTGGACGAGCGAGTAACGGGTGAGTGAGCTAATCGCTTAAAATGGCCTCACGAGCCAACACACAATGTCCACCGCGACCCAACAAACGACACCGAGGGGACGAGCGGGCGGACGCGCGGCCGACCTGCTTGATCTCAAACTGCAGCTGCAGGTCGGTCATGTTCTGCGGGGGCTCCTTGAGCACGGGCTTGACGGCGGGCAAGGCCGCTGGGAAGGCACCGGACAAGGGTCGCGAGTAGTAGGGAGGCCCGCGGCCCAAGCCGGCGCCGGCGACGCCCGCGCGGATCGCCTCCACCGAGCTCTCCGCGTCGAAGAACTCCTCCTCCGCCGAGGCGTACTCCGAGTCCGAGTCTGCGGTGAGACGCCGGGGGGGGGGGGGCGAGCGCTGCCATCGGCGTCATCGGTGTGGGAGCAGCGCGGTGGGGGCCGGCGCTTCGCGTTCCATCGGGGGGGACGGAGCGATCGGGCGCTTTGGTCGATCTTTTGAGCGTCGAAACGTGACGTTCAACTTACGTTCGACTTACGTTCGTTTGCGGTTAATTTCTCGGGCTCCTTTAAACACGGCGGCCATCTGACAGAACTCATCTCATAGAAATAGGTTTTATGCTTTTTACTGGCACAAAAACTGACACCTTTATTCAAGGCATCATGTTTGCAATAACCACAACACAAGCTGTCAAAATGCAAACAAAAGAGACAACTCTGATAATAATATGCACTGTCCTTGAATTTGATTGGTCCACACCCGAGACGGCTTTTCTTAGAGCCAGTTAAAAGGGTAAAACCTATTACTATATCTTGTTACTGGCAAAGGAGGTCTCATAATGTAAATGCTCACCCCGAGCCCTCAATACTCTGATAGTGCGCTGTTTTTGAGTTGTACGCCTTTTGGTGTCTTCTGGTCCAACACCAATGGAGACTAGGCTCTAAGAAAAGCTGTCTCGGGTGTGGACCAATCAAATTCAAGGACAGTGCATATTATTATCAGAGTTGTCTCTTTTGTTTGCATTTTGACTGCTTGTGTTGTGGTTATTGCAAACATGATGCCTTGAATAAAGGTGTCAGTTTTTGTGCCAGTTAAAAGGGTAAAACCTATTTCTATATCTTGTTACTGGCAAAGGAGGTCTCATAATGTAAGAGCTGATCTCTTCAACCCGACATGGAGCCAGCCGTTTCTGCTGTCAGAACTCGCCCTCGAGAGGACGGCCACGTGCCCGTGTGTCTGTCACCGGGGGGGGGGGGGGGGGGGGTGGCGGTGGTGTCGCGCTTTAACTCTCACCAAGACGACCCACGACGAACCAAACGCTAGCGTGGAGCTGCTGCGACATGGGATTCAGCCTGGAGAAAACCACGACATTGCCCGAAACCTTGGTGGCTCAAAGACATCACGATTTGCAAACAGGCAAAAAGCACTGTGTCCCGACGGCCACCGGTCATCGTCGTCCGCACCGCTAATGAAATACTTCCAGAGACAAACGCATGTTGGGAAGCGTTACGCAATCTGTGCGTTCGCACGATTAGTCCAAACTTCGTTTTTCATTCTTTCTGTTGTTGTTGTGATTGCTGTGATTGTGGTTGTGATTGTGGTTGTTGTGATTGTGGATTGTTGTCGTTACTGTCGTTGTGATTGTTGTTGTGATTGTTATTGTGGATGTGGTTGTTGTGGTTGTGATCGTGGTTGTGATTGCAGTTGTGATTGCGGTTGTGATTTCGATTGTGACTGTGGTGGAAAAGCACGGTGGGGAGGAGGAGACACGCGTGTCGATAGGCCCACGAACCAGTGATGCGATCGCTGGAGGGGACGCGGCTGCTCATGCTGGTGGCAGGAAAGTTCAGCAGGTCCGGCTTGAACTGTGGACTCACAGCAGCCGGCAGCGCCTGCAGTGACGTCGTCATCATCATCATCGTTGTCAACGCCACCACCACCACGATTGTCAACAACACCGTTCCGATCACACTCAACATCAACAATATTGATATCATAAACATACAATCATGATAATCAACATTATCATCACAATTTTTACATCGATTATCAATCGCATAACCATCATGATCATTAAGAAAATTTACATCATCACTCTGATCAATATCATCATAATCGTCACCATCAAAGTTATCAACATAACTATCAACATCATTAACCATCATCACCAGCAACATGACCTTAACTACACAGCTTGAGAAGAGCTGCATAGCTCATCGGATTCCTCCAGGATAAATAAAGATTCTGATTTTGATATGACCATCATCACCACCACCACCACCACCATCATGACTATCAGCATTATTATCACAATTAGCAACATATCCTCGCTGTGGCTGCCATTACCATAACCAGTCTTAATTTTTAATCGCTATGCTTTTCCCCCCCGTCCACAATCACATTGCACTAATGCGACCTGCATATTTTTTATCCAAGAGACAACATTTGTCCATTGGGAACTCACGCGACCCAGCGCCACGCCACGCGGCCGCCGCACCCCCGTGCCCCCCCGCGTAACCCCCCTCCCCGTACGCCGCATAAACAAAGAGACGGACGGAGGGACGCGCCTTCTTGCTGGCGATGCGGGCAGGCGTGGCGGTCTTGGGCTGCTGGGGGAACGGGATGCTGTCAATGAGCTCCACGACCCCACGCAGCTTGCGGTCCGAGATGCTCACGAGCAGCGACGGCAGCTCGCCGGACACCTTGAACCTTCGCTCGTGCAAACGCACGCACGCACAGACGCACGCACAGACGCACACGCACGCACAGGCGCACACGCACGCACGCAGGCATGCGCAGTGAGCACACGCTTACTCGAGCGTCGCTCCTCCACCCCGTGAACCGCCCTGGCTGCCGTCAGTCACAAGATGTTGAAATGTAACATCTTGTTGATAAACGTTTTAACCCATACACAATTCAGCACCACTATAATGATCAGTATCATTGTAAAGTTATCCTCCCAGCTGTAGGTTACGCTCCAGTTTGGATTTAATACAAGGACGGCGGACAAAATGAAGAGTTGTTGAAGGGACACCCGCGCATTTTGGTACCAAAGTTGTTCAACAGCATATGCCGTAAATATTATTATTAATGCCCCCACAATGATTCAATGTAAGTTAAAGACATGATTGGCAGGTGGCAAACGTACAACGCAAACCAGGTGGACAAAAAAATGAGAGTCGTGCCAAGTGCATTTGAGCTTTAAAATGTAGCTTATTCTCGTTTCTGGTGTCTAGTTGTCCATTTAGACCAGAGGTTCCGAGGACAACCCGTACATTACGTTGCTCCATAATGCCCTGGTAAGCGACCCGCGAAACTGTTGCAGACGCATCTTTTTCCCACGAAACACCACCTCCTGTAACTGAGCGGCAGTCGGCAAAACGTTTGGAGGGTTTGACTGTGGCCCGGCGGGGGTCCAGGCACGTTGGGAACCACCGGTCGCGACTGCATCGCTTTCGTGAATGTTGCATTTCTTCATCTTCAACCACTTCCTTACTGAGCGGCAAGTCATTTAAAATTGTAACGAGCACAGAATTCGCCTGCTCCCGAACAGAGAGAGAGAACGACTCAGATGGTGCGAGGAGGAACCACGGATGAGTGCAGCCACGCAATGAGCCGGCAACAAAAAAAATTCCCCAAGCTCTGCAGTCCTCAACACATGAAGGTGTATCAACCACCGAATGCCATGTGTGCGAAGGCGACAAGGCTAGAACACACGGAGTCCACATCTTTGCTGGCGTGGTAGGGTATGGCACCTCCACGGGAAGGGAGTTTCGCAACATTCGTGCGATCCAGAAACCCCTCGCTGCTGCCTCTCCAGCGCCGGGTTACAGGCAGCCACGTGCAGCGTAGCCACCGCCACCACCACCACCACCACCGCCACTGCCGACCCTTTGTTCCGGCATCTCGAGATGTGCTGCATGGTAGGCGTAACAATCGAAGACGATGGTGGCGGTGACTACGGTGGCGATGGCGACGATGGACGTTCACGTTTTGCGAGCAGTGCGATTTAGCTTGGACGATCGATGGCGCATGAGCCGCGACGAAGTGGAGGTGGGGGGGGGGGACCTACTTGGGCATGCGGGCGTCCGTCGTGACGAGGGCGCTCGCCAGCTGCAGCATGAGCGACATGGGCTGCAGGATGTGCATGGCCGTGTGCTTCTGAGCACGGGCGGACTTCCAGTCGTCATCTGCACGCAGACACACGCACGCAGACACACGCACGGACGGGGGCGGGCGGGCGGGCAGACGGGCACGCAAACGAGCCATCAGCTTCCATACCCCCGAGCTTGTGGCCAGCAGTGATGAGGCATGTAATGTGCTTGCTACGTGCAGGTCAATTGACACCTTGGCCAACCCGGCTTTGATGAATTCGCATGAACCACAGTGGTGATCCGATACAAGAATCGCACGCATTTTTTTTTGCGATACTCCGCTGGCAGTAGTGCGTTCGCACGAATACCAAAGAATTACCAACACACCATTCGTCCAAAACACTGCTCTTAGAAAAAAATTATATAACGGGCGACATTTCGGGCAATGGCCCTTCTTCACAGCAGAGAGACCACGATTTAAGAATCGATCACGTTGCGGCCCGTTCACTGACGCACACGTACGCACGCAAAGCGTCCTCCACCTCGCGCCTGTGCTCTCTGGCTGACATTCTCTACCCTCACCCTGTCCCCGCGACTCCCACGACCTTGCCACCCACTTACCGGCCCGGGCGTATAGGATCTGCACGTCGGTGAGGTCCACGTTGAAGTTCTCGTAGGCGCGCTCCATGATCTCCTTGATGCTCGTTTTGCCCACGGTGATGGGCTTGCTGTGCTCCGTGTGGACGCTGCACACCTGCACGCATGGCCAGTCACCCCTGCGTGTCATATTCGTCGTCAACGTCATAATCATACTACACGCATATTGAGAGACCTTTTGTCAATTGACTGGCGGATGAGGGTCGCACACACGGAGACCCATAGCTTCCAACAAAGACCCGCAGACTTACACAGAGACCTGTAAACTCACACAGGGACCCATAGACTCACACAGGGATCCATAGACTTAAAGAGAGACCCATAGACTCATACAGAGACCCACAGACTCGCACAGAGATCCATGGCCCAACTGGCATCCCGGTGGTGAGAATGGGTTTCTGAACCTGGAGAGCATTTTAAAGAGATCACAGATGTGGATTTTTTTCTGCAATGCCATCTGTTGCCCAGCACATAGCTCTGCAGCAACCTCTAACAACCTGCCGTGCATGGTGGCCGCCCGTCTAACAAAAAACTATCCAGGTTCAACTCGGCTTAGCTTCCGAGATCCGACGAGATCAGGCGCACTCCAGGTGATGTGATCACAGGACACCGTCAACGTACGATTTGCCGAACGAACCTCCGCCCCGACACGGCCAATTAATAAAGGTGTCCCGTGATGAACAAAAGGACCAAGTGATAACCGCTTCAGCGCCACCGGTGGTGTGTGCGGTGATCCATCAACCCTCGCTGCTGCCTCCACATCGCTGGAGGATTACAGGCCACGTGCGCTTCCGCCACCGCCACCACCGCCACCACCCCCACACAAATCAGAATGAAATAGCCAGGATGGTCGGGAGTGGAGCGGGCGGCGAGCGGCAGCGCGGGGCAGTTGGCAGGGCACCTTGAAGTGGCCGAGGTCGAGGATGAGGAGGCTGCCGGCGTTGGCGAGCGAGCCGGTGTAGGGCACCACCACGTACGACGCCTGCAGGTCCACGCTCAGCTCCAGCACCTTGCGCGTCTCGATGATGTACGCCAGCCCTGGCCGCCCGAGGAGACAGTCGAGAGTGAGACGAGGACATTGAGTGTGACCGGGCGGCTCAGGAGGTCGGAGCGCCGCGAGCGAGCCACCTCTGAGATCCTGAGTTCCATATCTGGGGTTCAGCCGCCTGTGATTAAATTGTGTTCTCAAATGCGGTGGGTTGATGGTGGCAGCCCGGTCACCAATGGTTGCACGTAAAAAAGTGTTTTGCTTTTCACTTAATTTCATTACATTGCTGTGCTCCAAACATTATCCCATAGCAGGATGGATAACGGAAGAAACCAAAATAATTTAAGAGGTAGTTCTGTGAACAACGCCAACACTCCAAAACGACCACACGTGCCCCTTTCGCCTCCGCACCCCCGAGGTTCACCTGGGGTCATGTAACCCGGGGGAAGCACGGTCGCCGCTTGCTGCAGAGGTTTAACGGTTAGAATGCAGTGGCCGCCCCGGTTATTACTGCGGTGTGTACTAACCATAAAATGCTACGCGCCATACGCTTCACAGAGGACGTTAAAGGTCGCGTTACGTCGTTAGCAACAGTAGGTCACCGCGTTCGGAATTTTCCAATTTTCACAAAATGACACCCCGAATTACTCAATTGGAATCCACGCAGCAATAGTCGGCCCCCTGACTGTGAAATACTTGGCAGGAGCCTCCTGAAGAAGAATCGTGAAATTCTGCGACGCTTCCATCAGCAAGCACGTGAAATAACAACAAGTGATTTAAACCTGTGGACGTCTTCTCCTTGAACTCCTCCAACTTGTTCATGGTGGCGGACGCCAGCTGTTCCAGGTGGACGTCACGCGGAGGCCTGAAGAAGTCGGCCAGGCTGTTGATGGTGGCCTGCAGGCACACGGGGAGGCAGAGTACATATGGGGGGAGAGGGTGGGTGAGACACGCAAGAGGCTGGATGCGCGCGCACCTGTAAACCCAGGGACAGTTCCACGTTATCGGACGTAAGCTCGTTGACACTTTAAAGACGTGGGTGATCGTTCGTAGGGTCAGCCCACACATCACCAGAGACACGCTGCATCCCAAACGTCCGCTCAAGGCCTCTAACATCTGGGGATGCAGATCTTTTCTGCGATCTAGGCGAAGGCTATGGTCTATGTGTGAGTGAGCAGCCGCCAAACTGGAACTTTCTCTCTTTCTCTCCTACAAGATATTGGGGGGACCTCTGAGTCTGTAGACATTTTTAAAGCTCATCATAACACGTATTTCTACACTTCTGTTTATTAAACTGTTAGTTAATCAGCAAATAGCTTTTAATAATAATTTTATTACATTTCCATTTCTTAGTTTGCAGTTTAATGAGCTATCCTCACGCTGAGTGGCTGCTGCCGTGTCTTGTACAGTGTTTTGAGATTCTAGATGAAAGGCGCTTTACAAATAAAATTATTATTATTAACCCCTTCCCGTTCTGATGACGTGCGTACACGTATGTCCGAAGCCGGATGTACGTGTATGTCAAAAACTTATGACGTACGTGTACATCATGGAACTCGCGCCTATAATGACGTAATGTCAGAGAGCCGTCCGCGTCAGCGGAACGGAACGTGCTTCCTCTCCGGCAAGCCAACTCACGGCGTCGTAGACGATTTCCAGCGGCTGCGACTCCACGCGCAGCCTCTGGTCGCACTTCTTGTCGGCCGGGTTCGTTTCGAACATCAGCTCCAGCAGCGAGCCACGGCCGCCGGCGCCGCTGGTGGCGGTGACGGCGGTTGCAGCCGTGGCGGTGAAGCCGGACGGCCGTGGTACGAGCGCCACCCCCTGGGAGGTGAGCAGCCGCGGAGGCCTGCCAGCCTGCGCCAGGCCCGTCACCCAGCACTGCTCCAGGCGAGCGTCAAGGCTGGCTCAGGGGCAGAGATGGAGCAAGGACAGACACCAGGACGACGAAGATGATACGTGAACTCGTGATTTTTGGTGTCACGTTCCTTGAGTTAGGATCGAGGGTTCAAGATTGAGGGGTAAGTATTGAGGGTTCAAAATTCAGAGGTCAGGATGCAGGGTTCGAGGGACACATTTCAGGATCAACATTCAAGTTCAACATTCAGGGATCAATGATTAAGGGGTAATGACAAGAAAATTCGTGGTCGATTATTCAGGCGAAAGATTCGGAGTCATCAACCATTGACGTGACTTGGGGGGCCCCAGGCCTCGTGCTACGAAGAGGAAGGAGGAATGACAAGGGGCCCCCCGAACATTTCATTTCTTGCATCAGAGCCTATGCCAGTGATCCTACCCCCCCCCACCAACCCCTTGACCCCGCACAACCTCCTCACAAACGTCCTGCCGTGCGCGGCCTCACCGGAAGGCCTGCGCCGAGGGCCGCTGGGATATGGCGGCGTACACGTCCGTGACCTTGACCTTGAGGAGGTCGGCGTCGCGCTCGCGTACCGTGCAGGAGAGGCTCGTCAGCTTGAAGAAGAGCTTCTGCGACACGTACTGCGGAAGGCGCAGGCACGGCACGGCCCCCACGTTACGGTGCGCCGCGCAGGGGAACGCAACGCAGTTGTCTCTCTCCACTGCCACTGGGGCGGAACCACCGCGCTTGCCAGGTGTCGCTATCGCACAGAGAACGGGATTCTCTGTGCGATAGCGCACTGTTCAGTGACACTCAAGGCTTTGTGTAGCACTGCTATGTAAGCCTTTCGACGCATGGCAGTGCAATATTAGGTACCGTGATGCAAGGCAGTGCGATGTCGGGCAATGCGACGCATGGCAGTGTGAGGAATTGCAACGTGATGTCAGGCAGTGGAATGCACGGCAGTGCGACGTCAGGCAGTGCGTCGTCACGTAGTGCAATGTTAGGCGAGCCCTCACGTCCTCGGGGATGTTGCGATCAGCTGTCGTCTCGCTGTAGTCGATGGCAGAGAAGAGCTTGGCTTTCTCCTCCGGGGTCATCAGCTGGCTCAGGCCTGTAGCAGGCAGACACAAAGTCAAAGATATATCCTTAACAGACTGGTGGGGCAGGCGCTGTTAGCGAGCACCTTCGAAGGCCGGCAAGGCACACGAGGGGGTGAGTCTTCAGCACCACAACCGCCCCAGTGGCGATGAGTACACATCAGATCAGGTATTCATTTGAGGCTGAGTCAACCTAGGGGAGGTCGCGGACTGGTTCAGATAATCATCACCGGTGTTGACCGTGAGCAGGAATCGAATTCGGGTAGGTAACGCTCCCCACTCACGCACACCCACGCGCGTTAGTTCACGTGCATATGCACGCGCGCACATAACAGCACAGGTTGAGACGGGTAGGCGATGGCGTACTTTGCGTGACGGACTTGGGATCCTTGACGTCGGGCTTGGCTTCCTCTTTAGCGCCACCCCCGCCCCAGCCGCCCCACCCCCAGCCGCTGAACCAGCCCTCCTTCTTCTCCTCCTGGCCCTGGGTCACCAGCGATGAGCCGAAAATCTTCTGACCCGACTTCTTGGCCTGCGTCAGTGCCGGGCGATCACACAGGTACGCACGTACGCACGCACGCACGCAAACACACGCTGTCAAAACAACCTCCCGCCTCTTTTGTGGTGGCGGACGGCCACGCTGTGTGGCATTGTGAGCAATGCCATTGGGCTGATGCGAAGTCAGCTGTTTACCCACATGGCACCCTCACAACCACCACAGTGGCAAACGGCGACGCTGGACGGGTTGGTAGCGCAGTGCGCTAACCGCTGCACTACCGCTCATCACACACACACACACAAAGACAAAGATCCCCTGTTAAGCTTGAACAGACTGTTGCGCTAAGTGCTGTCAGCGAGCACCTTTGAAGGCCGGCACGGCACACGAGGGGGTGGGTGGCCAGCACCATGCCCAGCCACCTTTGTCTCCCTAGTGGCGATGTTTACACTCCGCACCAGGTATTCATTTGAGGCCGAGTCAATCTAGGGGAGGCCCAGAACCGATTCAGATCATCGTTATTTGACCGTGAGCAGGAATCGAACTCGAGTCGCCGGGTTTATCGCTGCATTACCGCTCCTCTCACACACGCCCACGCACACAGGAATGCGTGCACACAAACACACATGCACACAGGAATGCGTGCACACAAACACACACACACATGCACACAGGAATGCGTGCACACATACACACACATACACACAGGAATGTGTGCACACAAACACAGACACACATGCACACAGAAATGCGTGCACACACACATGCACACAGGAATGCGTGCACACAAACGCACACACACGTCCATAGAGAGACACACACAAGCGCAAATATCACCCATGTTGCCTTAACTGTTGGGGAAAGTGCAGTTAGGGAGCACCTATTAAGGTCAACACGGCACACAACGGGGGTTGCGTGGCTTGCACAATTCCCGGTCGCCTTTGTCCCCCCTAGAGCTGAAGTTTACACAATACACCAGGTCCTCGTTTAAAGCTCAGTGGACCCAGTAGAGCCCCTGGACCTATTCAGATACCACTCGCCACTGCTGCTGCCAGGCGTTGAACGCAGGTCACCGGGTTCGTAGCAGGAATTAATACTGATATATATCGGCAGGAATTGATATACCGTATTTTCCCGCATATAACCCGTGAGGTAAACCACTTTTAACAAACAAAACAACACCCTGCGGGGTATATGGAGGTGCGGGCTATCCCAAAAATATTTTACACGTGTGACATGTCATGACTCGTTTAATTTTTTTATGGTAGGACTATCCACTATGCAACACTTACCTTTGACTAAAGCACTGCTGAATAAACCACTCACACTAAAATTGCACACGTTATCACGTTTTAAATTATTCGAATTGTTTCTACAATGAAACGACAATGTTTGAAGTGGGTGCACTTTGTTTACCGGCGACGGGAGAACTGGGAGGAGAGAGGTGGGGGTTGGGGGGGTGGGGCAGCTGGGGGGAGAGAGGTGGGGGGGGTTGGGGGCAGCTGGGGGGAGAGAGAGGTGGGGGGTGGGGCAGCTGGAGAGAGAGGTGGGGGGGGGCGAGGCAATGGCGTCACCGTAGTGCCGCTATTATCTGCACAGTGCAGCAATCTACCAGTGCTAAAACTGTACTTATCTACCAGTTATATGTTACTTATTGAATATTTACTTTTGTTACTTATTTACTGTTTTAAGTTCACTCGTTTCCAGTTAGTTTGTTTTCTTTGTGCACGTTATGATTTTAATCTTAACAATTGATAGTGGAATGTATTAGAAATGTCAACTTCGTATTAATGATGGAATTAAGCTGCGGTAACGACGTTAAAGATATGAATGCATGCGGGGTATATGGAGGTGCGGGCTATCTGAAATTAGTTTTCCACAAAACGCTATTTTTGCGGCGTATATGCGTATGCAGGCTATATGCGGGAAAATACGGTACTTTTGCCAGTTGTACTTATATTGGTACTTATCTATTTATGTATTTATTTTTAGTGATTGGATTATACTTTTTTGTTGTTGTAACCTTCTGACCCACCCCCACTGTACATTTGTAAAAAAAAAGATCTTCATAGCTCATCGGATTTGTCCAGGATAAACAAAGATTCTGATTCTGAAGCGCGGCGTGCTAACCAGAACGCGACCGCTTCGCACACGCACGCACAGGAGCGTGCGCAATCTCACACAGACCGAGAGACACACGTGCTCTGCGTGCGGGAGGAAACCAGACTGCGATGCAGAGAGCCCACGCATGCCACACTCTGGAATAACGCTCAAAACGTCCACACGGATAGGCTCATGAACCCACTTGCTGCCCTCAGCCCCGATATACGTACCTCGGCCTCTGCTTGCTGCCGAGCCAGAGTAATGTTGAAGACGTCCAGATCTTTCTCCAGTTCCTGCAACGTCACCACCACCACCACCACCATCACCACCACCACCACCACCGTGAATTTTACACCATGCCCACAGCCGTGCACGAGCCAGCCACCTTCTGTAGGGTGCCATCATTTGTTGTTGTCTTTGTCTCAACTAAATTCAACTCTTGGGCTTGCCATGCCAGGTGACTCGGCGGTAGAGTGAGCGGCTTCGCAATCGGAAGGTTACGAGATCCAATTCCGGTTTGGGGGTTGACCCAGCCCATCATCTCCCGGGGGTTGATCAAATTAATACCACTTTGCGGGGGAAGTCAACAGGGAGTTTTGCATTGGATGACCTCAACACTGCCATAGGAATGTGGAGTTTACAGCAATGCCTCGGGGCTGTAAACATGAGAGGAGCACTAATGTCTCAATGCTCGTTGGAGTAGAAAATCATTTAGACTTTGAAGACAACGTGAAAACATTTACATTGGGAGGTTTCACAAAAAAAGCAGTGCACAATAATAATTTACATTTGTAAGGTGCATTTCACCCGTAGATCCCAATGCACTTCGGGAGGAAACCGAAGAACCCGCAGAAAACCAACGCACTGGAATAACGCTCAGAGAGTTCCACGCAGGTAGGTTAATCGCCACGCGGCGTTAAGAGGACGTCCTCCGAAAGTTGACACGACTACACGCGGTGGAGGGGGGGGGGGGTGTTGCCGGGGCGGTACCCGGCGGAGTGGAGCGATCGCCTCACCTGCAGCTCCTCGAGGAGGTAGGCGGGTGCGGTGCGCTGGGTGAGCTTCTGTCGGTAGAGCTGGCAGTAGGTGCGCAACTTGGTGCGGTGCAGGCGGATGTGCTTCCAGGACCACGCCGAGGCGTTTCGCCGCACCGTCTCCTCCAGCACGCCCTTGGTCACGTAGCCCCACCTGGGCACGCGCGCACCGGGAGGGCAAGAAGAGGGGGCGGCACCCACAGAAGAAGAGCGACAGAGGTGCGGCGATCCTCCTATTACTGTCTGTGGCCAAGCGTGCTGCTAACCTCCGATTAACACTGGTGGCTACATGCGGTGCGCGAAAGGGGTTCACAACATAGATACGTACATCGATATGATAGTCACGCCATATCTTTTTAAGGTTTCAGTAACTTAATATTGTAATTGTGCTGTAAGCAGTCTAAACATTATCTGCCTGAGCCGACTTACACCACGGGGAATTTATAATTTAACGTTAATTTACGCTTCGTGCAATATTTTCTAATTCTCATGTGACACTTTGTGTTTTTGCTCCGATTTATGTTTGCGTCATCGCTGTACTTGATGTTATTTTGTTTTGCGTTCGTCATTTTGGTGACCCTGGTCACTGTTGCAAATGTCCTGGTCCCTTGAATTCTCACCTGGAGGTGAAATAGAATTTGGTTGGCTGAGCCACTCAGAAAAGAGCAGCCAAATACAGGCAAGAGTCAAAATCACGAGGGATCGGAGGGAGCAGGGTTGTGGAGCATGTGTGTACGTACCTATGTTGATGTTCTTTCGCACCGTACGTAGCCAACCGTGCTAATTGGAGGTGCGGAGGAAGAACAACAAACTAAACGCAAAAAGCAGTTGTAAAGAAATGAGTTTTCAATTTAGACAGAAAGGTGCATAGCTCCTGTGGCTTATGACCATCGGAAGGAAGAGCGTGCCAGACGGCCGCAGGAGCAAGGCGAGCAGAGAGGCTGGAGAGAAGAGAGCGGAGAGATGGAGAGATGGAGGGAGGCAAAGAGGGAGGCGAGTGGGACCACCACTCACCATGCACGTGGATGTCCCTTGGCGGGAACTTGGGGGCGGTACTTGCGGTAGGGCAGGTTGCGGGTCATGAGGTCGTAGGACTCCAGTACCTCCATGATGCTCAGGTACTGTCGAGTCAAAAAAGTGCCCTCGTTGTCTACATCATCATCAATGTCGTCATCGCCACCGATAACATAGCAGCCGCCACTCGCCACCAAGTGACTTCACCGTGGCTCTTCTGCCAGGCTGGGCGCACTGAGGACACGTGAAGTGCATAATGCTTGCTAGCCATGACACCACGCCAGCGTCAAACAACCAAGCTCCCAATATAGGTCCTATCACCTGCTTGCTTTCCTGCCTGCTGCAGGCATTGCACCATGGATGTACAGGCGACTGTTACGTGCGACAGCTCCATTTCAACATCTCCACGTAATTCATCAACCCCCTTGCCAGTCGCACACCGTCCCAACTTGGATATCGATCACCGCTCGTTCACCGTCGCCGAGTCCTAGAATCCTGGAGCTCCACGACAGACGGCACTGTGGGGGCCCCCACCATCACCACAGGGGCTGCGGCCGTCCAAGCAGAAGGCCCAGCAGCGCCACCACTCGGCACGGGCAGTAAACGCTCGTTTACCAACGACGCTCACGTCCCAGAAAACAAAAAAATGTAAAGGCGTCCGTCGCTACCCACGCTACCCCGGACGCGACCCGCTGACCCCCACCACTCCCCCTGTGCCCCCAAGGCCGTGAACCCCTGACCTGCGGGCGGCACAGCTCGGTGTCGATGTCCTGCAGCGTCACGTCCAGGTTGATCTTGGGCATCGTGAGCTCCACGTCGCCCTTCGGGTTCATGCGCAGCTTTGCCGACGCGGATATCGGCCGGAAAACTGCGAGCGCCGTGGGGGGGACGACGAGACGTACATAGCGTGACGTCCAGCAACAACCGCCGCCACGACCAACAAGCTGCTGTCACCACGCCTCTTGCGCCAGGCTAGGTTCACGGTGACATGGCCCAGCGGTAGCACGCACGCAGGGCGTTGCAGAGGTTCACGATTCGAATCTGACAGGCCACCCTGGTTATTATCAGCGGCGTACTAACCATGAATTACTCCGCATCGTCTGCTTCAGAGTAGACGTTAATTATGAAATGATGCCACCATGATGCCACCCCCCTCTTTCCCCACCTCTCTAGTGTTTATTAAAAAACACAGCCAACCTTGTGCTATTCCAACTACGGGCTCTGTAAGTAAGAAGACGTAGGACCTATGTCAAGCAGTATGTTTACTGCTGGGGTGTACCATGTGTCGGAAAATGTGAATTTAAAAGAAGATTAAAAACTAATTTCCAAGATGCCTAAATCTCATGTGGTGCATGAGAGAAGAACACAGAGCACCTGGAGAAGACTCGCGCATAAATCAGGCTTCACACCACGGTAAAAACGTGTTTTCGGTGTCAATGCCTCCATCCACAAGACACTTCTTTACATCTCTCATTCAGCAATTCCCGCCTCTACCCACAATCCCTGACTTCATCACTGCAACGCGAATGGGTGCAGCATGGGCTAAAGCCACCTTAGTTCAAACTTGAGGTTTAAAGGTCAGAATTTGCCCAACATTGACAGATAGTGCGAGGAAGGAGAGCCACAAATTATACATGTATTGGCCTTGTTCTCTCTTCCAATATGAAATATGTCCTTTCTCTTCCTCATAACTCTGTTAATGGCACAGCCAAAGCTTTGTTCCGAGGCCACTTACTGTAGCAGAAGTCCTTAGGCATGAATTTGGAAGATGCAACGGTGTCTTTCAGCTGCCCCTGCAGGGAGACAAACACAATCGCGTTTTACAACGCTGTTCATCTCACGCTTCACCTTTGTGTGTGGGCTCAGTTACCGCACTCCAATCTCTGCGTCTCTTACAGAAATTATCGAATAGCAACCAAATACTGCAAAAAGTTGCATTGTTTTAGGGATCCGGCCGATTGAAAATCAGCCCAGTGAGAATAGTCTTTGGGCTCTGACTTGTGGCTGCAAGTACAGGGCAATAACCCTTTCATCAAGTTGACTGGTTTCCAAACGGGTTGGTCTCTGATAGCAACACAGCCTTACGCTGAACTTTTGTTCAAATTACACCATCCCTATGAGAGTTATTGTGATCTCCCCATTCCAGACAGACATAAATGTGGCCTCATAATAAAGGTTTTTGGGTTAGATCGCGTTTATTTATAAATGTGTCGTAACCCTCCACCACCCGACACGGCCAATCAGCAAAAAAAGTGTCACGTTGACAAAAGACAAATAATTCACTACTTCAGCCCACCGGTGTGTTGAAGAGTTAATCCACATTTACAGTTTGAGTACGACGTTTCGCTGGTAAATACTTCCAGCATCATCGGGCAATTCTGGCGAATTGCCGGATGATGCTGGAAGTATTTACCAGCGAAACGTCGTACTCAAACTGTAAATGTGGATTAACTCTTCAACACACCGGTGGGCTGAAGTAGTGAATTATTTGTCTTTTGTCAACGTGACACTTTTTTTTGCTGATTGGCCGTGTCGGGTGGTGGAGGGTTACGACACATTTATAAATAAACGCGATCTAACCCAAAAACCTTTATTATGAATAATATTGGTCGCGAAAGCCTACGTGTTAAACTGATAAATGTGGCCTGTTTTCTCCGCGGTAGATCCGTAATAGCAGCACAACCTTTTCCGAAAGTTTAATTCACGTTGGACCATCTTTACGTAACAGAAGGAAGGATTGGAGAGTGCTAAAGAATGGAAAAGGTGCTATGGTGGTGAGATGTTAACTACCTCGCCTGGTATACTCGAGATTGTGGGTTCGATCCCGACCCTGACGCCTGCTGTATATTTGGAGTTTGAAAGTGTTCTCCCTGTGGTCGCGTTAATTTTTCTCTGGGTTTTTCCCCTCCACATTTAGAAATGTGCGTTTAGAGTATTTTGGCTGCTATAAATTTCCACATCATAAGCAACTTCGTTGAGCTATCATTTGTGGCCAGGTCACTTCTGAAAAAGAGCTATAAAGCTTCGTGGGCTTTTCCTGGTAAAATAAGAATTGTTTAGTTCACACGAAAACGCCCTATGGGGGTGCATGCAATGCACAGTGCATCTAATACAACGGCGTGCGCCCATCTAGAAGGCAGTAAACGCATTCAAGCATAGCAGAGGTGGGCGCTTAGCTAGGAAGGGCGGAAGCAGGCGTTAGTGCGGTGGGGCGTGCGAGCACTGACGTACCAGTGCCCTCTCCGCGCTGTCCCTCGAGTACATCGTGCAGTCCACATTCCAGTAGGCGGACAGGCAGTCCAGGCAGACAAGCTGCGGTGAACAGAATAATCAGAATCAGAATCTTGATTTAGACTGGAGGAGGAATCTGATGAGCTATGAAGCTCTTTTTCACAGATGTCCATTAGAGGCGGTTCAGCAAGTTACAACAACAAACAATACAAACAAAACGATAGGAGTGCCAATCAGAGAAAAGGTAAGCAAGTCACTAAAAAGAAGTAAAAATTAAGTACCGTATATAAGTACAAATTGTATAAGTACTAAATTACTTCAGATTTTTTTAACACCAAATGCAAACATAGGCAAGCCAGAAAAACAAGAAAAACAGTCCCAGACCACACCAAGACAACGCGCAGTCCCTCAATGACAACACGGTACACATTTAGCCCCTTTGACAATCCACTGCTGGATGAGTGAAAGCAATAACAATGATGCAATGTGGCAAAGGTCAGCCCGAGCCCTCTACCTTGTAGAAAATCTTGGCCTTGTCATCCAATAAGCATGGCTTCCAGTTCTGGTCTGATGTCTGAAAAACAAGTTGAAATCATGAACACCACCACCGCCATCATCGGCAAAGAACACTTCAAACTAAAATTATAATTGTATTTACCAGGTTAGGCCCACTGAGCTATACAGCTCTTGTCAGAAGCGAGCGACCTGGCCACAAATGATAGTGCAAACAAGTGGCTTATCATCATGTGGAAATGTATAGCAGACATAGTCTAAAGATGTGTTGATTCTAAATGTGGAGGAAAGAACCGGAGGAGCCAAAGAAAAATGCACGCGACCACGGGGAGAGAGACATGCAAACTCCGAATATACAGCAGGCGTCAGAGTCGGGATCAAACCCACGACCTCTTGCATACAAGGCGAGGTAGTTAACATCTCGCCACCGTGCCGAGATATTTTCAGGCCAACTGGTATTTACGTGAAAAATTACTCAATTGGGATTACACAAAGCAACAGAAAAGCTCAGCGAAGTTCTTCCTGTACGTTGAACTTCTTTCGCACCATACGCAGCGAACCTCTATTGTAACTGAAAAATAAACGTAAATCGCTATCTTCTCAAATCGCTCCAATGAGGAATGAGCAGAGGCGATGCTCATCTCTCACTTGAAGCCCCGAGCCAGTGGTTGAAATTCCACATTCCTTTGGCGGGGGGTTCGAGTCTATCCATAGCACCACCACTGTTGCCTTCCCCACAAAGTGATCAACAACGCGAACACCAACTCATTAGGATAAATGTTGTCAACGATGCAATTTAAACGTTTGTGGTTTAGACCGCACGGCGGGGTGTCAATAACAGTAAAGTGGGAGGGAAGGCCTCAATTTGGCAGTGGAAATAGAATGGCTCGGTGGTGTTAATGGGAAGAGCGACCGCCATTTGGATCTCACCTTGAAGCTGAGCTCGCGGAGTGTGATTCCAACTGAAATCGGCTTTGCTGCGTTGTTAATCTGCACACACGCACACACGGGCATACGCGCACACATACATATGAAAAACAAAGTTTCCCCGTACAGCCTACGTATATCGTCTTGGCAAGTGCTATTAGCGAGCACCAATGAATGTCAATATGGCATACGAGGGGATGGTGTCACCAGCCCCAGTGCTGATGTATAAACATTGCACCAGGTACTCATTTAGGGCTGAGTCGGTCTCGGAGAGACACAGAACCGGTTCAAGATTTACAGCGCAGCGCGCCAACCACTACAGCAACCCCACTAGCCACACAGACAATGCACACATATGTGTAGACACACATATGTGTAGACACACAAAGCTAAGTCAGAGATCCCCCGTAAAGCCTTTTCAGACTATTAGGGCAAGTGCTGTTAGCGAGCAACTATTAAAGCTAGAACGGCACACAAGGTGGTGGTTGGCCAGCACCACGCCCAACCACCTTTAACCCCCAAGTGGTGGTGTTTACACCCCGCACCAGGTTCTCATTTGAGTCGACCTAGGGGAGGCCCAGGACCAGTTCTAATAATCGTCACTGATGTTGGCCATGAGCAGGATTTGAACTCAGGTCGCCGGGTTCATAGCGCAGAGCGCTAACCGCTACTACACTGCCGCTCCACACGCGTAGGCACAGGCACACACACACAAACAGCCCTCACTCACGTTAACAGTACTTCATAACCATTACACAGCAGGCACATTGACGTCACTTTTATATGGCAGAACAAGCTTTCCCAGAAGACCTTATCTCCATGTAGATATCCCACTGGTAACATAAAGTGCTCCTACCAAAGTGGATCAGCCTGGCCACTAATCCACGCCAGCTGATTCCTGGCCAAAATTCAGAAAATTCACAAAGGGACTTTGCCATGTGCTAAACAAATGGCTAAAACTCATTGTGTATAGGACGATAAACAATTGCGTTCAATGTAACAATATACAGTGGATCGCAAGCAGAAGGTTACGAGTTCAAATCCTGGTTGGTGGGGGTTGACTTAGCCCATGATGATCATTCCTCTGGGGTTGATCAAATGAGTACCACTTTATAAATACACAGAAGTTGATGCTATTAGCTGGCCATCAAACAAAGACGGCCACTGCATTGCACGCTTTCAGATGCACGTCTGCGGCTGTCTGGAATGATCTTCCTTCCCATATTATGAAGCCACTGGAACTATGCACTTTTAAATCTAGATTGAAAACTCATTTCTTCACAACCGCTTTTTGTGTTCGGTTTGTTGTCCTTCCTCCACAGCCCCGATCGGAGCGGTTGGCTACATCCGGTGCAAAAGAAGAACACACTTACATACACATATGCTGCACAAACCTGCTCTCTCCCATCCCTCGTGATTTTTAGTCTCGCCCCTATTTGGCTACGCTTTTACGCGTGTACGCACGTACACGCACGAGCGGTGATGCCCCCCCCCGCGTCCTCAGCGTACCGAGACGTCTCGTGAGACCGGCGTCTCCAGATTTGGTTTACGCCTCGGCACAGCAGCCAGCGGAAAAGCATCCGCACCGTGCGCGAGCGCCCCGCGCTGGCTCGGCTCGGATATGCCAGTGGAAAAGGGTTAGGAGCGACGTCATTTTAAGCTGGGCGTGAGGAACCCGTCCGTCCGGTCGACCACGCGCGCGGTCGACGCTCGGCATCGCCCCGCCAACCGCGCCCGGCTCACCTCGTCCTCGTAGCGCACGTGGATGCCGGAGACGGTCACCTGCAGGTTTTTGATCACCTGCGCCACCAGCTTCTCCGTGAACGAGTCGGCCTGCACCGTGGTCGGGTTTTCTGCGGTGACAAAAGGACGAAGATCCCCCCCCCCCCCCCACGTCAACAGACTGTTGGGGCGAGTGCTGTTAGCGAGCACCGATGGAGGCTGGCGTGGCACACGAGGGGGCGGTGTGACCAGCGCCACGTCCGACCGCTTTTGTCTCTCCAGTGGCGATGTTTTAAGCATCGCACCAGGTACTCATTTGTGGCTGAGTGGACCTAGGGGAGGCCCAGGACTGCATTTGAGATTTAAAATAAGCAAAGATAGCCACGGTACAACAATATTTTTCGAGACGGACGATACAATTCCCATGGATCGTATATCATACAAAATATCGATATTGCAGCAACCGTAGTTGCTTTAAGATGTCGCAACCGCTACCGCCCTCCTCCCACCCCCACCCCCTTTCACCCCCCCCCCAACTCACTGTTACTGTCTTCATCATCCCCGTGTTTGTGTTCTACTGCCCTAGATTATCACCGACCACTGATCTCCTCAGCCTTGCCCAATGCAGCACTCTCCCTTCTTGCGAAGTGATGTCCCATAATGCTGTGCGTTCCCAAGATGCTGTGCGTTCCAATGCGGCCACCCTCTGTAGCCCACCCCTAACATTTTCCAAGCTTGTTTGATTGCGAGCTCTCGACTGTCCACCTTTATCGATATCGTCGTAAGCCACGATCAATCCACTGCAGGAAGAAACCATCCCCAAGCTCACGGTCCAGCAATGTAACAATACGCCTAGCACCTGCACACGAGACGATTTGCCCACTCCATCTCCGCGGTGGACTCCCTCTCGGGGCGCGTTCCCTCCCTTGGGCTGCCACTCCATCATTAGTCTCGACCGCCGGCCATCGCACCTTCTCGCGACATTTCCTGCCCAATCCCACCGACCCTCTTATCCACGGTCGACAAGACGTCTCTAACTTAAGAACGTTCCCTCCATGCACCTCTGAACGCTTCGTTCAAATTCACCGCCCTCCGCTAAATGACGTCTCTCCCTGCGCCGCACCGCGCCCCCCTCACCGCGCTCGGCTGCCTTCATCATGGCCTCCTCGATGCGCCGGAGCTCCCTCTGCTTCAGCTCCAACTGCTGCTTCTCCTCTTTCTCCGCATCGTACTTGATGCCTGCAAGTCACGCACACACGCACACGAGTGCACTCGCACACGCACGTACACGCACAGGTGTGCGCACGCACACACGCATGCACTCGCGAAGGCATACGCACGCACGCACGCGTGTGCGCACATGCACAAACGCATACGTGCACACATGCATGCAGGCACACACCCCAAGAATGCAAGCACATGCACACATACACGCATCGGTAACGCAATCAGGATTAAAAATACGGGAAAAGGGACAAATTGTCCCCAATTAAATAAACACAACTGAACAATTAATGACATCGTGGGTAACAAGGGGGGGTGGCGGTGGCGGCGGCGGTAAAGGCAACGCACTGGCACTGGGCACCACGAGCAGGTAGACGCCCTCCAGGCTGGCAATCACCGCCTCCTTGTACAGGTTCTTCCATGGTATCTTCAGGGTCAGCTTCCCTATGGGAGGCAGCGGCAGGGTGGCCGTGGCAGGCCATCACCAGAGGGACGCAGACACAAAGACAAAGGCCCCCCCCCCCCCCCCGTAGAGTGCTGCCCGAGAGCGCCTATGAAGGGCCGCCGTGGCGCGTGAGGGCACTGCGGGGGCTAGCATTGCATCTGTCTCACCAGAACCCATGTTTTACATTCCGTACTTGGTAATCATTTAAGGCCGAGTAGACCTAGGGTACGCCTAGGAGAGCATGCAGATATACGACTGGTCTTTGATGTTAGCCGTGGCCGGGAATCAAACTTGGGTCACTGAATTTGGAGCGCAAAACTAAAAATAACTTGATTCTTGTAATCGAACTGTGATGCCAAATTCATTGACTTACGGTGGAGTGGGAATCATAAAATAAATGCAAAAGAACAAAAGCACCAATACAGGGCGGCTGCTATTTAGCAGTGGACAGAGAATGACAATGCCATACGCGATGATATTGACACTTACCGATGTGCCCAACCTTGACTTTGAACGGGACGTCCAGCTCACTCTGCCAGACAGAGACAGATAGACGGGTTAACTATGTGCATGTCTCTCTCAATCCTCAGAATCTCACACACGAGACAAAGTCCCCCGTATCGCCTGAACAAACTTTGTTGGGGCAAGTGCCGTTTTCGAGCACCTATGAAGGCCGGCACAGCACACGCGGGGGTGGGTGGCCAACACCACGCCCGGCCGCCTTTGTCTCCCCAGTGATGATGTTTGATACACGTACCATGTACTCATTTGAAGCCGAGTTGACACACACACACCCACACTGTAAAGCCCACTCGCATCATCCATAACTCCGCAACAACAAAACCCTGACGTTTCGCGAGTCGCACGCTCAACTGACATTGACAGCACATGTCAGGCAGGCCAAGCCTGAGAGCTACTACAGTAAACTTGGCACCCATTTCCATCTCACTCGGGTTCCAATACGCTTCTTCTCCTGCTCGGCTGTCAAATATGTTGACAAATAATAGACGCCCGTGTTTGGTGTAAAAATTACTTGGTTCATTCCATCACGGTGGGGGTTGTATATTCTTAAGTGATCAGCATGACACTTAAAAACGTCTGGCACTTTAAGCTGGCCCTGCCCTCTTAGTGAACAACTGTTCCAACTTCTATGTGGGATGCCCAATGCAAATATTTATTCAAATGTTTCTAGTTTGTAAAGAGAGGCTCAGCTATACTTGTGCCAAATTTAAGCTGCATTGACCTTCCGTAACGTCCACAGTAATTGCATGAAGCACACCAAGTCACGGACGTCTATGCGTATATTTATTAAATAATACTTGTATATCATGTTTGGCAACAATATAATTAGGGTGGAGCAGTAGCGCACTGTGTTACGCAATGTGTTACTGCGCACCGAGCGATCCAAGTTCGATATCTAATCACAGGTATCATCGACGATGAGTGACCACATCAGAACCGTTCATGGACATTCCCCTCCCCTTCACACTCTCACACCACCCAGTGCGCTCAAGTTTGGACAAATAACCCACACTGCCAGGCGTGGGTGGCCCCTCATCCAGCAGTGGTTCGGTTAAAGGGCTATAAATACACCCAAGGGTGCCATCTGGCAAGACGTTAAATACATCGCCTGGTATACAGGAGGTGGTGGTTCGATCCCAACCCTGACGAACATATATTTGGAGTTTGCATGTTCTCCCCGTGGTTGTGTGGATTTTTGTCCGGGTCCTCCGGTTTTTCCCTCCAAATTTAGAATCAACGTGCATTTAGAATATTTGGCTGTAATAAATGTCCGCATATGTGTCACTTCGGAGAGCTATCGTTTGCTGCCAGGTTGCTTCTGAAAAAGAGCTATATAGATCAGTGGGGCTTTACCTGGTAAAATAAAAATATATATAGTTTCATAGTTTCGTAAACATTCAAATCCAACCGGTTCTGTAAATGACGATAAGAGCCATCAAAACATGGGAGTCTTGCCTTCCTGCTGCTTGAGAGCACACATTTGTGCATTGTTGTGTCTACATACATGCGTCCACCAGTTGGGCAATTAGTCAGCCAGACAATCGGTTAACCACCCAAGATAGATAGCTGATGAGGGCAACCAGCCCCTAACTGGCTTGAGCAACTCAATCCCTGTAATGGGCAGTCACCCTGAATCACGGGCAAGCCAGTAAACGAGGTGAGAGGAGGCAGCAGCACTGCCCCGCATACCGGCGCACGCTCTGGCAAGGCCAGCGCTTTCATACAGCAACCCCTGGCCACGGGAAATAGAAGCTTTTCCGGTCTCACTAAAATAGCTCGAGCCGGCAGCCCAGCTATGCGAGAAGGGAGCCGTGGGCATCTTCTGTGCCACGCTATGTCACTCGCCGTACAGTCCGACGGGCAGATAGCAGGGGCGGGGGGATGTGGCCCAACAGTAGCGCGTTCGCCACTTGGTGCAGAAGTTCGTGGTTCAAATCAGGCAGGCAGCCCTGGCTATTACTGCGGGTGTAGTTTGTGCGTTTATTTGTGCATGTGTGTGAGCATGCATGTGTACGTATACAGGCAGGGAGCAGTAGTGTAGTGGTTAAGTGTGTTGCGCTACGTATCTGCGACCAGAGTTCGGTTCCTGCTCACGGCCACCACCAGTGACGATTATCTGAACTGGTCCTGGGCCTCCCCTAGGTCGACTCGGCGTCAAATGTGTACCTAGTACGGTGTGTAAACATCGCCACTTGGGAGACAAACACAGCAGGGCGAGGTGCTAGCCACTCACCCCCTCGTTTACTGCGCCAGCTTTCATAGGTGCTCGCTAACAGCAAATGCCACCAACCAAAAGTCAGTTAAGGCTAAAGGGGGGTCTTTGTCTTTGTATATAGGTGCTCGCTAACAGCACCTTGAGTCGCGCACTGCGTTCAGAACCCAGCGACCCCAGTTCAACTCCCACTCACGACCAATATCGGTGGTGAATATATGAACCGGTCTTGGGCCTCCCCTAGGTCGAAGCAGCCTTAAATGAGTGTCTGGTGCACTCTGTAAACACCAGTGCAGGGGAGACAAAGGCAGCTGTGTATCATGTTGACCACCCACCCCCTCGTGCACCATGCCGGCTTTAATTGGTGCTCGCTAACAGCACCTGCCCCAACAATCTGTTAAGGCTATATGGGGGATATTTGTCTTTGTGTGCATGTGTACTGTTGCGTAGACGTGAGCATACGAGTTTGTCCTCGTGCAATCCTTACCAAAGCATTTTCTTTGAGCACCAAGTTCTCCAAGACAGCATCACCTGCAGCACAAAACAACACGGCAATATTATTTTATTTCACTCTTGTCCCTCACCTCCGATAAGCACGGTTCGCCGTGTACGGTGCAAAAAAAGTTCAACATACATACAGGAAGAACTTCGCTGAGTTTCTGTTGCTTTGTGTAATATCAATTGAGTCATTTTTCACGTCAATACCAGTTGGCCTGAAAATATTTCGGCACGGTGGCTAGGAGATGTTAACTACCTCGCCTGGTATGCAGGTGGTCGTGGGTTCGATCCCGACCCTGACGCCTGCTGCTGTATATTTGGAGTTTCCGTGTCTTTCTCTCTCTCATCATCATCACGTAGGCTAGGAGATGTTAACTACCTCGCCTGGTACGCAGGTGGTCGTGGGTTCGATCCCGACCCTGACGCCTGCTGCTGTATATTTGGAGGTTGTGTATTCTCCCTGTGGTCTCGTGGATATTTTACCCTCCACATTTAGGAACGTGTGTTTGGAGAACTTGTATGCTATAAATGCCCACATGATATGCCACTGCCTTGAGCTATTATTTGTGGGCTTCTGAAAAAGAGCTATTTCGCTCAGTGGGCCTTATCTGGTCAAATAAAAAATAGTTCTCTAATTTATAGTTACCTTGTTTGTTTATTTTCAGCGTTTTCTTTATGCAGGAAGGGAACTCCAATTTGCTAATGTGGTTAATCATCGGATTCATCCGTGATAAAGAAAGATTCTGATCCTGATAATGACGACATCGTCCGGTGGACGGCGACACCGACAGTTAATTTTTTTTTTACAAACTCCACGTTGACAGGCGCCACAGTAGGGAACCAAACCCGGTCCCTTCTTGCTGTAAGGCACAAGCGTTGTCACTGCATCGCCACCCTGCCGCCATAGAGAAAGGGCCAACCACGTATGACACTCGGGCTAAGAAACAGGAACATTATACTCTACACACATATACCCATGTACACAATAACAAACGCGGCCCCTGTAAATTAATCTCATTAAGTTTCACTCAAATAACCAATTGCGATGACTGCCAGATCGACCTTGCAAGAGGCACACACACTCCCAAGCACCGCTGCCGGAACGACTCCCACAAGCTTCTAAATAGAGGGAGGACGCTTAGTTTTCCACCCGGGTAAACCTTCCCCTAAGAGAGAATGCATCTCAGTTGGCTCACACCCATAAATAATAATAATACACAAAGATCCCCCATGGAGCATTGAACAGACTGCTGGGGCGAGTGCTGTTAGCGAGCACCGATGGAGGCTGGCGTGGCACACGAGGGGGCGGTGTGGCGAGCGCCACGCCCGACCGCGTTTGTCTCCGCAGTGGCGATGTTTCACGCATCGCACCAGGCGCTCATTTGTGGCTGAGTGGACCTAGGGGAGGGCCCGCGACTGGGTTCAGATCATCGTCACCGGTGTTGGCCGCGAGCAGGAATCGAAATCGGGTAGCCGGGTTCGTAGCGCGCCGCGCTGATGTCTCGACCTCCGCTCCCCGCAGTGCACGCAGACACGCTTCGTCACGCCCACCGCCAATGCGCTAACCGCTGCGCCACCGCTCGCCGCACATACGCACGCACGCAGCGTAATGGCGTAACCCCCCTGCGAGCTGCTTACACTGCGAGATAAACAAGTGGTAGGACAGGCAGCCGGGAAGGCGGCCAAGGTACGAGAAGCACCGCCCGGCTGTGTACGCACCAAATGAATAAGGGGCGGGGGTGAGCATCGCTGCTGTTGGCTGCTCGGTGGGTCGTCACTGTCCAGTCCACCATTCGGGTTTTTTGACCGAATGCTTAAAGAAAAGCGGTGCAATTCCAGGTAACGTGTGAACACACACGAATTGTAAACAATTGTTTTTACGAGCACAGTTAGCTGCATCTATGTTGAGCACCAAAATTCATTTGAATACAATTATTCATCACACGCGGAACAAGCTTTTATTCATCATCGGCATAATAAATCAAACAATCACGTGAAAAGAAAACCGAGATTTCTATGTAAAAATAACATTAAACAATTTATAAACGTTATGAGACCTCCTTTGCCAGAAACAAGATATAGGAATAGGTTTTACCCTTTTAACTGGCACAAAAACTGACACCTTTATTCAAGGCATCATGTTTGCAATGACCACAACACAAGCAGTCAAAATGCAAACAAAAAAAAACAACTCTGATAATAATATGCACTGTCCTTGAATTTGATTGGTCCACACCCGAGACAGCTTTTCTTAGCGCCTAGTCTCCATTGGTGTTGGACCAGAAGACGCCAAAAGGCGTACAACTCAAAAACAGCGCACTATCAGAGTATTGAGGGCTCGGGGTGAGCATTTACATTATGAGACCTCCTTTGCCAGAAACAAGATATAGGAATAGGTTTTACCCTTTTAACTGGCACAAAAACTGACACCTTTATTCAAGGCATCATGTTTGCAATAACCACAACACAAGCAGTCAAAATGCAAACAAAAGAGACAACTCTGATAATAATATGCACTGTCCTTGAATTTGATTGGTCCACACCCGAGACGGCTTTTCTTAGAGCAAACATTTTGTGCCAGTTAAAAGGGTAAAACCTATTCCTATAATTTATAAACGCCTACGTTTCCGCGAGAAGGAAGGCAATTCCCAGTCGTTACTCGCATTCAGTGCCCCATATGTACGACGAAACGGATGGGACCTTCGGCTGCCTCTTAAAAGTCGTGGTGGATTTGACGCTGAGCATATGAGCCTTATGGCGGGACCCCGGGGGTCCTGAATAAACAGAAGTAAAAATTGTAATCAATTTATTTTTGGCGACTCCGTCCAATCACGCACAATAAACGCCACGATCCACCAGAAATCAATCCTCTCGTTCTTCACCAAGCATTCGTCGCTGCCAAAAATTGCCGTAGTCATAAACAAAAGTTTGAAACTTTGATTAGCGCATCGTGTAGAGCTCGTGGAGAGGAATACATTGACGTATTGTTCGCCTTCAACAGACATAAAATGACGTCACAATGCGGTTTATGCGAGAGCCGGGGGATTATGGGACCCCGGGGTCCCGCCATAAGGTTCGTGTATCCACAAGCAGTGTTCGTGAGCGTCTATTAAACAATTAGCACAGAGCACAAATTGGTGGCATGGCAAGTGTGTCACGGCCGGCCGCCTTTGTCTCTGCAAATGCTGATGCTTGCACACCACACCAGGTACTCAATTAAGGCCGAATTGACCGTAAGGGAGGCTCGACACCAATTCTGATATCACCGGGTTCGTAAAGCAGGGGCTGGCGTTCACCACGAAGTGGCTGCGACGCTGCCAAGTAGCTGGAGCCAGACAAGGTGCACTGTGCAGCCAAGTGACATCACGAAGGGACACACACACGTGCACACACACACACGTGCACACACACACACACGTGCACACACACGTGCACGTGCATACACAGACACGGGTGTTCGACAAGACATCGCGAAAGATGGGGCAGAGCGGTGTGTGGTCGTCCGCATGGAAATCCGCAGTGTGTAAATTATCCGCACAGCGAGGCTTGCGCAGACAGCTCGCCCCTCCTCTACACGGGGGGGCGGGGGGCGACACGAGAGCCGGCGCGCACATGCACCACGAGTGAATGTGGATATCATAGAGCTACCTCTGAGATCTGGTCCACACAGCAAGGGGGCAGCAATTGCCTGATAGCCGTGCCTCAGAGAGAAGTGTTACATCACGACTGTCATTCTCAAGAGCTGGAATATAGCCAAATGTAGCCACATCAAGGGCACAACAAAATGTCACGTGATGGGTCTTCTTCGAACAGTCATCGGTGACGGTAAAATCGCAGGCGGCTTCCTGGATTTGAACCCAGCATCTCAGCAGCGCCGGCAGAGCCGCCCGGCCAATTCTACTTCCGCCATTCATACGGGACTCACACTCTCAGACCACTGGGTTCATGGCGCGTTGCGCGAGCCACTGCGCCACCAATCAAACATCGGTTGAATCATACATGACCACGCGTACAACCGCCAGCAATGTTTACAATTGCGATGGTGGGCAAAGCATTTCAACAGAGAAAACCCCCCCCCCACCCCATCTCCCCACGGCGCTCTACGGCTGGCTCGGGCCCACGCTCGGATTCCGTTCATGCCGCGGCTCTTAAATTTGGTCGGGAGAGTTTCCCCTTACCGCGCGCCGCACCCTTCTCACCCCGCGGCACTGCCTCCCCCTCCCCCGGTGTCCCGTGCCAACCCCTTCTCTCCCCTCCGCGTACAAACGAAACGGGCGAAGTGGCAGCAGCGTGCACGGCGCCACAGTGTCGCGACGGAGAGTGTTGCGTTGGCCGAGATGCATTCTGTTCCACCCAGTTGCCTGGGTTCACGAATATTGCAAGTATGCATTCTCCTCGGTGGAGATTGCCCTATCTCCAAAGCGAATAATGACAATGCCCCCCTTTATACAAAAACTCCAAACATTGGTCAATAACACCACTGCCCTAGAGGGAAAACAATGGCACCATTCTTAGAGGGGGGGGATGATGTATCGAGGCGCATGACCTTGCATGAATTCTGTTGCGATTGGGTCTTCTCATCGTTTACAGAGTTGATCTTCTTTCATATAGATTAATAACAGCAGATTAAAGATGTAATTTTAGATTTGTTATCCACTAAATTGTCTGTTCAGAAGCAGAGTGGATCTCGTCCATTCCTCCTTTAAAGGAGTAAAGACAGGAGCAGCAGCAGCAGCGGAATGTTTACGAAGTGGGTCGATGGTTTGGCATTCGTGGCCGCACTCGCAGGCTGCCGAATCTTAAACGTGCCATTTGTTTCCCTTCTACGTGACTTTACCGGAAGAACCAAGAATATGAATCCCTGCAGTCACGAAAGCTTTAAATCAAAAGCCAAATGCATCTTAAAGTTCTGCTTTGTCAAAGAGTGCTCCATCCTAGCTCTTGTTTAACTCTCTGCGAATCAGTCTGGTCCCCCGATCCACCTTCAACAATTATCCTCCTGTACGTTGCATAACAAATAGCCAAGTCGACTG